TCATTGTTACAGCTGGGACTCGAACCTAGGACTTCTCAGTGTTCTTCCCTGCTACAGCTGCCAGAGATGTCATTTCATACGGGTTATGCATTAAAAGTTCAAAAGTAAAACGAGTTGAAAATGAAAAATTTAGTAAAATTAAGTGCTTTTGGTACAGTACACTGTGCTCAAAACATTCACAAATGTATCACATTCCCAGTGTGGATTTTCATCTCCAGTGGAGAGCAGGGGAAAGCCATATGTATAAGATAAAACGGCCGATAACCCTCTTCTAATTGCTGTTTTTTACCCTTTGCCTTGGTGTCAGCAGTACCATTTCTCTTCTTCCATGATGCCTACTTTCAAATGTTCTCCCCGCTCCTTGCAATATAAAATTTTCAAATAAAGAGTTAGTTCCAATCTGAGATAGAGAATGGGCTATCTCAATAGTTAGCTATTAAGTGCAGAACAGTGGCTTGGTAGGGGAGCTTGCAGAGGAATTGTTAGAGGCTTCATTATTATTGGCTCAAGAGTGTACCATTGCTTTCTCATCACAACGTGAGAAAATAAGGTTAGGGGGTCGGCTTACTCTCAGGTGTCTCCACAGTTTTTCTTTTCATTAAAATAAAAATGCTGTCTTCTATTGAGGGTGTCTGTTATCCTGAAATAGTCAACAAAGATATTAATCTTTAAGTATTAACTATGTTCTGGTAATTTGAGAGAAAATACTGAAGTGAAGGTTGAAAATGATAGAATTTACTAGACTTTTCAGTGCAAGGAATGCTTTAGATTTGTGACAGGAGAGGCTTGTGAGTAATTTAGTGTTTAGGCTTGTGAGGATTAAATCAAAGAGGGTGTGCAGAGATTAGAACAGTGAGGTGACTTTGACAGTTAATGGCCCACTAGTAAGTCCTACTAGAGCTTTTCTCTCGATAGGAGCAACATCCCACCTTTGCAGCCTTGCAGGTAAGAGATGCTGCCAGATGATCCTCGGTTACCTGATGTCTGTGTGTCTGCCCTTCCGTCCATTTTTAATAGCGAAAGATACAGTTCTGGGTAATCTGATTTAAGCGATGTAGTTTCATTGTGACCCAGATTATGCGGGAAATTTTATGATTTTTGAAAGGGGTTTTGCTTTCAGAAGCTATTTTTAAAATATGGAATAATGAATTCTCATGGAGATTAAATGAAATCGAGCATTTGTCTTAATCCTAGTCAGTATTGTGATCCAGAGAAAACCAGCCATTTTTGTACAGGCCATTTCTCATTAAGTTTTCAAGTCTTGTTCAGGCTTTGTTTAGCAGAAAGCATCATTTTGAAAAAGCATAATAAGAGTGGAGGGTTGTAGCATTTAATAGTAATCACTACATTTTTAAAAGTGCGTGGTTTTTAAATAATTAGGACAAACTCCTCAGGAGTCCATAATACGAATGCAGCTTCCAAGTTAACGACAGAACTGGCTGTCCTTTCTGTTACTTAATTAGTCCAGAATTGCATGTGGTTGGGCATTTAACATAACAGTCTCAATCAAGAATTCTCATTCTCACGACAGTAGGAATAGGTAAGTTTCAACCGACGGTGCAGAAGTTGTGAAAAGGAAGACAAAGAAGTGACATCACAGTCTTCTGCCATGACCTAGCATCTTTCAGGACTAACACTGGAAACGAGTAAAACAGATTTTACTGCTCGATAACACTACTGAATACCTCTTTGAGTATGCACTTCCTTATCTGTAAAATGAAGGTTGCCTTTGATTATCTCTAAGATCTCCTTCAGCTCCAGTGTCCAAGTTAGACAGGGAAGAGGGTTGAAGTCAGCATGGCCAGGCTGAGGGGAGGAAGTGCACAGGCGTCCCGAGCGCAGCCGCCTCCCACCTCAGGGTTGGCATCCCAGCTTCTCTTGAACTCCTTGTGGGAGGCATCAGCAAAAGCTGGGAATGCCAAGTGCTTGCTATGACCCAAGCACTGCTAGAGCTGCTGAGACCAAAGCAGTGGGCTGGACGAGCAGCTGTCCGCTCCCTGTCCTCTGCAGACGTGACCCACACAGGGGCCATCGCTGAACAGGTTAATGTGTAAGAGGATTGTGAAGCATGGTAAGTGCTCTGAAGATAATAAGTCACTATAGTTTTCTTAGCCACTTGGAGGGAGGAAGGGAGTGGAGAGGGAGGGAGGGGGGATTATTTTCTGAGCATCTGAATTTTTTTCTTAGCTAGGGCTGCTGTAACAAAATACCAGGGACCGGGTGGCTTAAACAACAGAAGTACAGAAGTGTATGCTCTCACAGTTCCACAGGCTGGAAGCCTGAGGTCAGGGTGCCACCACGGTGGGGTTCTCGTGAGGGCTCTCTTCCTGGCTTGCAGACCGCCTTCTCTCTGTGTGCTCACAGAGCAGAGAGCAAGTGAGCTCTGGTGTCTCTTAGAAGGTCAGTAAGGCCATCATGAGTAAGGCCCCACCCTAGTTATCTCTTAAGTCCCCGTCTCCAAATGCCGCATTGAGGGGAAGGCCATCAGTAAACATGGGTTGTGGGGGAGCACATTTTCAGCGCATAACAAATGTATCACAGAAAACCGAGGATGACCAGGCAGGCATCCAAGCTGTAGTGATGAAAATTACTGTTTATGCCTCTATGGCTGAGAAACTAGGCAAAACAGGCTTTTCAGAATATATGAATTATCTGTGTAGCGCTGGAGTTGGGCATTAAATACAGAAGAAGTGTGGCCCGCCTCATGGAGCAGAAACAGCGCCTGGTTTGTTTAATCTGTACTGCCCCACTGAGGATGTATGGTTTTGAGATGTCCTCTGGATAATGTGTTTTAAGAGGCTGCCTGATGACTATGATGACTTGGGGTCAGGCATCTGTTTCCTCCGACTTGGGTCTGTCTGGCAGGCACTCCATCTCGCTTTTCCGTTCCCTACCGTGGGAGTTCTCCCCTCTAGGAAGGAATTGTGCTGAATGATTAACAGAGGCTCAGAAACGAACATAGGAAAACGCAGCATTTAACTTGACTCGATGAGGACTAAGCAGATAAGGGTAGGTGGGCAAGGCAAAACATGACATTAAAAAGAATGTGTATGGAAAAGTTGCCTAAAATTCCGCAACAGCTTTCTGTGTTGCCCCTCTCACTGTCTTACAATTTAGAGACAATGGTCATGATATCTTTTTCAAGATAGCTTCTCTGACTCAATCCCGTGGTCTGTCTAGATTCTGGACAGTGATTCTCAATCATATCAGATTCAATACCCCAGTCTTTACTAATTTGAAATGCTCCTTAAAAATTTTTTTTCAGATTAATCCTTTATTATCCTATCGTAACAAATGCTGCTGGTGCCCCACTCCTGTCCCCATAGTCCTTATGATTTGTGTGCACTCTGGGCCAACCTCCAACTGCCAGCACCTGCCCTGTCAGAAAGTACGCATGTAGCAGGCTGCAAGTGCCAGAAGCAATGCCCTCTGGGAACAACCCTCAACCAATGACAGGCAGCACTGGTGTGTAGATAGCCCCACCTGCCTGCCCCTTGTTCCCCATGGGATGAAGCTCCAGTTGCCCAGAGTATTTACTTGCCTGATACACCTTTTACTGGTGTTTCCCCTCTGCTCCACCTCAAGACCCTACTTCTCTACTGGTGTCTTCTTGAGATCACTTTCCAAACAAATCACCTCCCTAGAATCCTTGCCCTGTGTCTGAATCTGGGAGAAACCAAACCAAGATACTTCCCTACACAAAACTTCAAAAAAGTCCGTATATATAAAAGGAAAAATTAAGTGTAGCTAATAAGACATTGCACACTTCAATAGGTAAATATGGGATATCACCATACCTAAGATACACAGAAATAACACATATTTACACCTATTAAAAAATCCATTAGAGATGCAGCAGCTTTGAATGCAGACAGAGTTGTGTGTGGTAGTAACACCCTCTAAATAATACCATTAATGACATAGTTTTCTGACATGATGAACAACTTGATAGAGTCCAAGGAAAAAAAAGTAAAAGAATCCCTTGGTTGTGGTAGCAGTATTCCAGAAAATTTGACGTGTATTAAAACTGTGCAAAAATACTTTGTATTTATAGAACCTGTAAAGAAGAGTTGAGTTCTAGGCTCAGATAGTAACAGAGGTTTTCTTCCAGCAACATGAAATTCCAGTGGGACATTTGAAGGTTATACAGGGCATGAGATGATTCTTCATTGTGTAAGGCAACTTCTGGGAAACTTCCTCAAAGAGCAGTGGGCATATTTCCTTTGCCCTCATTTCCTTAAGGCCTCCCCTCTCCTGCTGGCTGAGATGTAGAAGTGATGGCCGGAGCCCCAGCCACCACCTTGGGGCAGGAGGATAAGCAGGAGGATAAGCACACCACTTACCCCAGAACGGTGAAGCGATGGGTGGAAAGAACCTGTTCTCTGAGAATGTCATGGAGCAACGCTACCCTGCCAGCCCTGGATTGTCTCTGTCTCTGGACTTTTACAAGAGCAAGATATAATCTTCCATCCTGTTAAGCCACTATTATTTTGGGTTTCTGTTTCTTGAAATTAAACCTACCTAAAGCAACATAGAAAATACACTCTTAAGAGTATGGCTCAGCAGTAACACATGACTCTTGCCATCGCGGCCAACACCATGAAGGACTACAGGGCACAATAGGAGGGGACAGGGCACAAGTGCAGTCAGGCCAGGAAGGCTCCACTGAATGATGGTAAAATCAACTAGACAAGGTGGGAAATAAACAAATACGTATCACTTGTGAAAAAAGAAGAGAAGAGTAGAGGGAGCGTTTTATAGGATAGTTTTCTCTTTTGTACAGTTGGTGATGGTTAGAGAGAGAGGGCCACAGTGCAAGAATTTTATATTTTATCAGTAAGGATCCCTGTGTGTAGCACAGTGTCTGACTTGCCCAAAAATGCTGTTGAAAATATGTTTCAGTGCACTAAGAGCTTCATGGCCTGCATGATTGAGTGAACGGTGTGCTGTCTATTGATCTTCCTACTTCTGAATTCTCTCTAGAGGCTTCGGCCAGGAGGATGATCCAGTCAAACAAAGGAGCAGAGCCGCCGGACAAGGACATGAAGGGTCCTATGGCATCCAGTACAAAGAATGGTGTGTGGTTCCAGGATCTTTTTCTAAACTAGGAAAGTCTGATAATATCACTCAGAATATGTGATCAAATGAATGGGTTGAAATTCTGATAGATTTACTGTGATTCCTGTAAGAAACATACATTTTTGAGTGTCCTATACATAAGCCTAAGTAATTTTCAAGTCAGGAAGGAAAGAACTTGACACAATGTTTTACTTAAACTTAGAATTTCATAACTGTTCACATTCAATACATCACTGCAACAAATAGAATTTCTATGAAAAGATCTGTAAAAAATGAAGCTTTCACTAAAATCTCTTCAGTCCCTTTAATCAGTGGAATCTGAGATGTGTGTTAAAAAACTTGCTGGGGAGAGCAGACAGACAGCTGTCGGAGGGGAGGGGGCGTGGGCTGGGTGGAAGAGGTGACGGGGTTAAGAAGACAAAAACCTCATAGACACACAAAACTTATTGGGAGAGTTTTTCAATAACATTCTTAAAAAGAATTTTTAGAAAGGGTAAACACAAATAACTATGAATTAAAGGAGCGTCCAGAAAACAACTAGGTAATTTTGGAATAAGTGAAAGGCTGGTAAGATTGAGGAGGGGGAAGCAGTATTGTTCTTATAATATCTTAACATCTGTGTACAATGATCTATCATTTCATCTAACATTAGCAACACCCCATGGGCTAGCTAGCATATGCTCATTTTGCTGCAAGCAAACTGGATTTCGTTTAGTTGGGTGACTTTCTGAAGTTCACGAGCAAGTGACAGAATAGGGCTTGAAGGTAGGTCTTCTGGCCTTAAAGCCAGGGTCATCTCCACCCCTCAGAGCCCCAGCGGCACATCCCCGCTGACTTGTCCTTCACAGTCACACCTGCCTCCCTTTCCACACACCGGCCCCCCTCACACCGCCCACCGCCCGGACTCTGCCTTCTCCCTTTCCTAGGTCTCTCCCAAATCCTGAGGCTTGTGCTGCAAGAGCTAAATCTATTCTACAGCCGAGACGTGACCGGATTGTGTCTCCTGTATGACCTCCTCCACTCCCCGTGGCTGCAGGCTCTGCTGAAGGTGAGCACCCTGAAGCTTGCAAGCCTTTGCTTAGTGTGGCAGCAGAAGCTGCTTAGCCATCGCTGTCGCTTGTCAGCTGGCAGGAAATTTCTACTTGGAAGGAGTCCTGAGGAGACAATTCTAAGAGAGCTAACAAACCTCTTAGCTTGGGAAGGAATTAACTTAGACAGCAAAGAGTACTCACAGCTCCTTTCTTTCCTCCCCGAGGTCCCCGGGAGCACAGAGCGGCCACCTCGATGGCCATGGGCTGCACTCAGTAGCCACCTGCAAGCCTTTGTCCTTGAGGCCAACTCAGGACAAATAAAAAAGCTTCTGAAAAATTATTCCACTTTTTTTTTTGAATCAGAAAATGGGGTACTATAGTTCTGTTTCAGTATCTTAAGTGTTTTTTATCCTGAAGATTTCTTCTTTAAATTTTGGCTAACATTTCACATACCATACAATAGCATCTACTACCTGACTATAATTTTGTTTTTCTGAGCAAATGTTATTATTAAGAAAGATCCTTTAGGAGCTATTTTTTGGGATGTGGGTGTTTTCTTAAGTGTGAAATGTGGCCAGCACAAGCAAAGAAGCACTCCTCACAGCACGTGTTTCAAAACTCCCGACTTCTTTGTTCATTCATCCATCGAGGGGCGCTTAGGTTGTCCCCATGTCTTGGCTCTTGTGAATAATATCGCATTGGAAAAGGGGTGCACAGATCTCTTTTAAAAAGCGATTTCATTTCCTTGGGACATATATCCAGAAGTGGGATAGATGAGGGAATATTATTCAACCATAAAAAAGAAGGAAACCCTCCTGTTTGCAGCAACATGGATGAATCCATTTTGCTAAGTGCAGTAAATCTGACAAACACAAATAGTACGTGTTCTCACTGATATGAAATCTCAGAAAGTGGAATTCATAAAGACAGAGTGGAATGGTGGCTTCCAGGGGCTGGGATATAGGGGAAATGGGGAGATGTTGGCCAAAGGGTACAAACTTCCAGTTTAGGATAAGTTCTGGAGATCTAATGTACAGCATAATGACTACAGTTAACAAAACCATATTATATCCTTGAAAGTTGCTAACTAAGAGAGTAGATCTTAAGTGTTCTCACCACACACACAAAATAGTAATTATATGAGGTGATAGAGGTGTTAACTAAACTTAGTGTGGTAGTCATTTTGAGAGATATACGTGTGTGTGTATATATATATTTACTTGGTAGTCATTTTGAGAGAGATATATATACATATATATATACATATATATGTATATATATATAAAGTCGTGTTTATTTCTTAAACTTACACAATGTTATATGTCCATTATACCTCGATAAAACTGGGGGGAACCCCACCGGATTCCTGTCAGGCACTTTCCTTCCGGGAACTGGCTAAAGCACGAGTTGCAAGTTGCGAGTTGCGATGTCACTGAAAGTGCGAGTTGAAGGTCACTGGTCGGTGCACCGACCGTCCAGCCTGCTCCCTTCCAGGGGAGCACGAGCCCTGGCACAGAGGCGGAGCAGGGAAGTACCGTCATTCCAGGTCTGGGTGGAGGGGACCCTGCCAAGCTGGCCTCTCGGGTCTCATTGCCATGTCTGTTAGAGAAGCTGCATTTCTAAAATAAGATCAAGGGCTGCCCTGGAGAGCCAGGCAGGCCTGGGTGTACTCAGCCCAACCCTAGATCCTGGTATGGAAGATTCCCAGGGGTCAGCAGAGACAAAGTTGGAATTTCCATAAATGAACTTTTACTGGAGGATTAAGGGAGGAGAAGGAAACAAACAGAAGATAAAAGCAGAGTACGAATGAGCATATAGTGTGCCCAGCCTTTTGGTGAGATCCTTTGGGGAACCCTGGTCCTGTAGCTGGTGCCCTGCCCAGCCGCCCAGCCCAGGTGCTTGCAGGTGTCCGGCCCCGAATCCCCATTGGCTTCAGCTCTAGACACTTTGTTTAGCAAGAGTAAATGTTTGGATTTCTTTCCATGGAATCAGTTAGAGAAGATCACTTTCCAATGGCAACCGGTGATAGAGCCTTTGGAGCCATAGAACCACCAACCTGCACTTCATTTCTCTTTGACAACTAGAGATACCTTATCAAAGGCCAACACTCATGCTATTCACATTTCCCAGGCTGTTTCTTCCCTTGGAGATTCTTAAATCCAAAAAAGTCAACAGTCCTGTTATCCACATGCCCTTCTGAACCGTTGCCCTTCCGCAGGTCTATGACTGCCTCCAGGAATTTAAAGGAAAACAACTCGCTCCTGCCACCTCCCACGCACAGCAGTTATGCCATGAGGTGAGGTGATTTTTAGTTCACAGAACAGTGGAACTTTAATATGATGCCATTTTACTCATAGTGCTAGTTTAAATGAATTAAAGGCTCTAATGGAAAAGTCTAATTTATGATTATGCATCTACTAAGTGTTCTGATTGAGCTTTACTAGAAGGAAGAAAATTGGCCTGCTATCTCCCAAATTAAAACACGTAAAAAACATTTTTAGCACGTGTTGATTCTCTCTTTTTTCTCTAAACCTTGGACTCCTTTTGCCCTGTATAAACAGGACAATGTTACTACAATGACTCCCAGATTCAGAACCCTGGCTGGGCTTTTCTCCTGAACACACACTCATGTCAAACTCACCCTAGTCAGACGTTTAGTGGACCCCTCACACTCACTCTGTCCCACACTGAGCTCCTGACCATCCCCACCCCCCACCAAAGCCACCCCTCTCCCAGCCTTTTATATCCCAGTAAATCCATCTTTGTTCTCGCCGTGCTCAGGCCAAAAGTCCTTGAGGTCAGCTTTGACTTTCTCTTTCTCTCACACCTCACACCCAATCTAACGGAAAGTCCTCTCCGTTCTGGGAATACCAGCTCTCACCACCTCCACATGCCGCCTAAGAGTATAAGCCATCGTTGCCTTGTGTAGATAATTGCCATGTAGCCTCCTACCTGGTCTCCTGCCTCTACTCTTGTGGTCTTGCACCCTGTAGTCGGTTCCCAGCATAGCCACCAAAGCGATCCTCTTTAAGGACAACTCAGTCATGTCGCTTCTCTGCTCAAACCCTTCCAATGACTTCCCACCTCAGAGGAAACGTCAATGTTCTCACATAACCAAACAGAATGTAGCCGCATCGCCTCCCTGATGTCCCCCTCTCTGCCTTCCCCCTTGTTCACTCTGCTCCAGCCAGATTAGCCCCCTGTGGTTGTTTGAACCAGACACGCTCCTGCCGCAGGCCCTTTGCACTTGCTATTCCCTATGTCAGTAATGCTGTCACCTGTATGTTCATGATTTCCTTCCTCATCTCCTCCGGTCTCCACTCAAGTGTTGCCTTCACCCTGGCCACCCTATCTAAAATTGCAATCCCCGTGGAGCACTCCCTATCTACCTTCCCTATTTTCTTTTTCTTTTTAACCCTTCTCACCATCAAATAAAACTATTTCTTTGACTTTTATTGTCTATATCTCCTTACTAGAAGGTAAACTCTATGAGAATGGGGATTTTTGTCTGCCTAACTCACTGCTGTATTTGCATCACTCTGAACAGTGCTAGCGCATAGCAGACAATCAATAAACATTTGTCAAATGAAGGAATAAGGTAATCCATTATTTTATTATTTATTGCTCAACCCATATTAAAAGAAATAGGAGGAAAGAAAGAAGAAGAAAAGCCTTACCCTCAATTCCAGTAATCAGCTAGTCAAATTGTGCTTAGTGTCCAGTTGTAATCCTGCTGAACAGAGGCAAAGCTTGGCAAACTGCCCGTTTTCATTTGGCTGTAGGTGATGACACTCGACTGCTAAAGACTCGTGGGGCTGCCTGAAGTCTTGAAAGGCCTTATGTCCTGACAGAAAGCAGGTCTACACCTAAAACACAGCAAAGAGATCAGAATTTATTCTGTTTAGCACTTTTCCTTTGCACAATTATTAAAATCACTAATCAAAAAACAAAATAAAATCACTAATCAAATAATAAGCCCTAAAACGCACATTACTCTTCCCATTTTCCAATAGAAGACTCGAGCATCCCATGGGATTAAGCTACTTGAGTTCTCCAGGTATTTGAGCCTGTGCCTGGAGAACTCAGGTACCTTAACCAGCCCATAAAGCCCTCGTATTAGCAAACAGATGTTTTAGAGTCACTAGAGGGAAATTGGAACATATAATGTCACAAAACTATGTCAGTTCTTCTAGGCCTGTGAATTGCCAGGCTTGGGGCAAGGGGCTTCAGATCCAACCCAAATCTTGAATTCTATCTGCTGTAGTAAAACTTAATAAATAAAAAAGGATCGTAGGCCTTAACTTTAAAGAGGAAAAAGAAGGCTTCTATAACAGCTTTTCCATGGTCAATATCATGCCAGTCAGTATATCTGTTATGCAGCCTGGGTGGGGTTAACTAGGTGAAAGACTTCAACAAATTTCATAGTGTATGCTTTTTCCATCAACCAGGTGGCAGAGATATTACGTGCAACCTCTAGTTCCCCTGAGATCCAAGAACTGAGACAAATCCTCCAGGCTCCACACTTGAAGGCAAGTTCTTACCAAAACAGACATGACATGCCCATCTGGCACAGAGACACAGGGCGGGGAGAGAAAGGAACGTGATGGGAAATGTGCTTCCTGAATAGATGTCCTGTTACTGTACACGGGTTACCAACAGTTTGTACCAAAACAGGTAGGACTCAGACATGAGCCAAACCTGACATATTTATGAGAAGGCATCCAAAACTTTCCTTATGTCCCTCCTGCAAAGCCTCTAAAATTCTGGGGCAATCAGGTTAGCATCCTTCCTTTCCACCTTGGGACTATTTTAGGTTATGGATAAAGTGTGTGTAGGTATTTGGAGAATAGAGTATAATGATGATTTTCTTGGGAGAGGGGAGTATGTGAAAAACAATTATGGCAGAACAGAAGCCTACCTCTTAATGCTTACAGATTTTTGAGATCAATTTATTAGCAAATTAGGACCTTACAAGAATGTCTGCATTTGGAGCAATGGAATTTGAGTCAAAAATTTTAGTTCACAAGATAACCCTAGAGAATTTTCTCTCTTTTCTGGTGAAGTTCTTCCTAACAAACTTAGGCAGGGCTGTAGAATGACAGCTTCCCCTCCCCATGAAATGAAAAACTTAGCCTAGTGGGTCATTAGAAGGAATTTTTTATGAGACCTTACACCAGGGAACTACTTTTTCTCATTCTCTTCTACACGGGCTTTTGATGTCACTGTCAGGTTAAACCAGCAAGGTAGTGTGATTACTGCCTCCCTCATTCTGCCTTAATTAGGGAAAATATTAGAAAAACTGTGTTTTAGTTCAAAATCATAGGAGCATCATGGATGACATGGGTTTCCAGAAAGTGAGAAAGTGATAGAATAATACATTTTAACAGAAATGAAAGAATATATTAGGTATGGTGATAAACAGATCACAGATGCAGTTTGAATCCACTATGAGGTATTGGCTTCAGGTCTGGAGCAAATCAAATAACCCCTCTGACCTTTATTTTACTTATTAATAAAATGGTGATAAAATTTACAAATTACAGACAGCTTCTCTGTGTCTTGTTTCTTTATCTGTAAAATGGGGACAATAAATGCACCTGCCTCATAGAGTTATCCTGAAGATTGACTTAATCTACATAAAATGCTTAGAACTGCAGCTGGCATGTATGTGTTGGTTGTTCTCATTGCTGTGTCTTACATAGCACCGAGTCACTATTTTCTAGATGGATATGCCTTATGTGTGACACTTATTCACCATCTCCTTCTCTGTTCGCAGGCCTTGCTCAGTGCCCATGACACTGTTGCTCAGAAAGATTTTGAACCCCTCCTCCCCCCACTGCCAGACAATATCCCGGAGAGTGAGGAAGCAATGAGGATTGTTTGTTTGGTGAAAAATCAACAGCCCCTGGTAAGAAAATTGTTTTATACTTTTCTTTAAAATTATAATGGGGTCAATTGTGAGCTAAATATCTCTAGTAGTTACTTGGGCCATATTCTTGTCTGTGGTCACAGACAGAGTTTGAGGCATTTAGAAAATGTGAGGGACTCTGTAATAATAATGACCAACGTGTAGCTTAAGGATTTTTGCCTGTAGCTTCAAACATATTACGTGTGATGTTTTCACTAGGAAGGATTTCAGTCCAGTGTTCTTCTTTTTAGACAGAGCTATGAGAGATAAGACATTTTAGTATTTGGCTTTCGGACATGTACATATATTTCACTCAATCCCAGTGTATTTGCCCACGTCTTTTTTCCTCCATTAATGGGAAGCTATGTAAGGCATTCATTTGATTTTCTGAGAAGAGCCTCCTTGGTTAGGTTGTAGTTGTGGAAGGTTTCTTTATCTTTGGAAGGATCTAAACCTTCTTTTTTGTCGACATGGTGGTTAGAGAACTCAGGGGCCAAGGGTGCATGGCCTTTCCCTTTTGGTGGCACAGTATGGCCCCACTTGGCACGAATACCCTCATCTGAAAGAGCAGAGCTGCGTTGAGGGAAGCCACCAGAAAAATGGTCAAGTAGCTGAGAGAGGGGTTCCACTGTGCCCTCTCCCCAGGGAGCTACCATCAAGCGTCACGAGATGACAGGGGACATCCTGGTGGCCAGAATCATCCACGGCGGGCTGGCCGAGAGGAGTGGTAAGCTGGGGTGGCAGGGTGCAAGTGGGACCAGAAAAGCAGGAAACCCTTCACCGTTTAGTTTCCATTGCAGGGAAACCCCTGTTTCCTCACTAAGGTCAGATCTTCAATGAGCACCGTTGCATTGCATGGTTACTAAAGAAAGAAGGAATAAATACTCCGGGGAAATCCTGTTCCCCTCCTTCAGTGAGCCTCTCCATTCTAGGCACCACATTAATGTTCTCTCAGTTTACATTCCCGTAGCAACCTAACAAGGTTAAGTATTATACCGTTTTATAGATGAGGAAACTGAGGCTCTAAGTGATTAAATAACTGACTTGCTCAGTTTGAATTAGGGTTGAAGTCCAGGTTGGCCTCATTCTATGTTCCCAACTTTCATCCTTTACTTGGTCCCTCTGCTTCCAAAAAGGCATAGGTCTCCCCCACCCTGAACGGCCTCGTGCTGGCCCTTTCTGCCAGTGACCGTTTCACTCCTCTGCTACAAGCGACCAGTTCTATGACTTGCTGCCCCAGCCCCACTGTCCATGGCCCTGGAAACCTGGCACAGGGATTTGCCCCAACATTCTTAGAGTAATTGCCCCAGCATTTCCTAGTCGCTAAGTCCATTGGCCTTTCCTTCGGCCTGAGTTGTATTTGTACTTCTCCAGCACATTTGATGTTGTTGACCATACCTGTCTTGAAATTGTCATGGTTCCCGTCACATCATCCTGCAGCTCGTCTCCTCCCTCTGACAGTTCCACTGTTTTCCTCCATATTCCTCAAGGCTTAATCTTAACCCCCATGTTTCCCCACAAAGGGCCCCTTTTAAAGTGTTCCTCTCCTTCCTTTTCATTTATCATTTCCTCGTGACCCTGACATCTTTATCTTCAGTGCTATCTTCTTACCAGTAGTCCAGTTCCTCTTTACAACATCAGATTACAAAACTAAAGATATCACCACCAGTTAACCCCCAGTTAAAAATGCAATTCTCCTGCACTTTGATGGTAGTGCAAATTAGGATAACCATTTTGCTTTATTAGTAGTGTTAGCATTAGTATCTCACAATAAAGTTTGAAATATTAGAGCATGCTTGAGTTAGCAAGCTTGTTACATGGCTTTGGGATAGGTACCTCTATTTTTGCCAGTATCCCTGTACCCTTCCTTGTTTTGTGTTCCTGTTTGCCTAGGTTTATTATATGCTGGAGACAAACTGGTAGAAGTGAATGGAGTTTCTGTGGAGGGACTGGACCCTGAGCAAGTGATCCATATTCTGGTAACAGTCCCCTCTTGATCTTCTTCAGGACTCAGTGAAATGCAAGGCTGAACAGGGGCCATCCAGCTGACGGCGTGTGTGTTCACTGCAATGCGAGGGGCGCTTGATCCCTCTGACAGCTTCCTCTCTCCAGGCCGCAGAGCTTGTCTGTTTCTGCATTCTGTCCCTGCACCCTGCCGACCCTCGACCCTCGGGAAGAGACTTCTCTGTCCCAACTGCTCTTTCTGTCTCAGGAAGCCTGCCAGGTTCCCTACCCAGGTCCCTCACTTCCTGGGTTGCTGTGCTGCAAACTGAGACCGTGTGGGCTGAGTGAGACTCTGCAGGAAAGTCTGAAGCTGAGCAAACCGCCCCGTGCTCCCCCAGCATTTGTGCGCAGCTGAAATCCGCTTGAGATCTTCCTTGAGGCAGTTTGGGGGCAGGAAAGAGGTCACCGGAGGGCAGCATGTGGGGCGGGGGGCATCCTTGCTGGTTCTACCACTGTCCTTGGTGTTTTGAACTGGAAATTTCTGACCTGATTATACAAGCCTTTTTCTCTTTTTAGGTCCCCACTCCCACCCTTCAAACAATTGCCTGAATCACAGTCCAGCTGTCAATAACACAGCAGCCCGCCCCCCCCCCCCACACACACCTCAAGTGTGGGACCTGAGGTCAATCACTGTGTATCGTGTACACTAGTGGTTCTCATACTGGGTTCTCTGGGGAACTTTTTAAAATTTTATATGCCTTGGGACTGAGAGGAGGCATGGTATTATAAGGAGTTTATCAAGCATCTAAATATTTTGCAACCACTGCTATAAGATTCTGCGTAGTATACAAGATACTATTTAAAGAAAACTTAGAGTGTCAATCACAGACCCACAGGCTTCCACCTCAGGCCTGGTGCCAGCTGTGGAGTTGCCGGGACAACAGGGTTGTGAAATTCCAGAGAAGGGTGAGAAGGGGGTTTTGTTAATTTCTGATCTCCAAAGCTTGTCACAGTGTTGGTGACAGTGATTCTTACCATCCCTACTGGTTTGTCAGGTTCTCTTCCAAATGTTTGAGGGCTTCCCATTAGCTTGGAACTTGTCAACCCCCCACCCCCTCCCCCCCTCCGAAGACTAGGGAGCCCTTCATTTCACCTATCAGACTGGGCTTCCTGGTGCAGAATCAGGAAATAGTTACTGACTGAGGTGCGAAGAAGGAGGGGCAGACTGAGAACCTATCTTCCGCCCTGGTGTCTGTGGGAAGAAGACCTTGCTGAGCAGGGTGGTCCTGGTGGCAGCGAGCTGGAGGGTCCCTGTCAGTCCTTGGTGTGCGTCTTGGCAGACCAGTGACTCTGGAGCCCCACCAGAGATTCTGGAGCAGGACAGAAGCAGAGCTAAATATCTTTCTAATTTCCATTTCTGGGTGGTAATATTTAGCTGTTGAACCCTTGTAAAAGTCCCTGTGGAGGAAATCACATCAGACTTGAGCATTCGAGTTGAAACTCCATGTGCTGAATCCCAGTAACCACTGAACTCTGTGACTTGTCCTTTTTCTCCCTTTGACGTTTTCCAGGCCATGTCTCATGGAACAATCATGTTCAAGGTGGTTCCAGTTTCTGACCCTCCTGTTAATAGCCAGAAGATGGTAAGAATTTACTGAGCCTTCAGACTCACACACAGTGTGTAAGGTACCATACTACTGTTCTCTATACTATGGTGAACATTTGTTCAATATCGTGTTGTAGATTTTTCAATACTGATCACATGAGAGGCAAATGAGTAAATGAATACAATAAAAGGAGATGAGGTGCCAAGAAATTAGGAAGACACATCAAGAATGGTGAACATTTGAGGGAAAACTCTCAGTGCTAAGAGATTATATTCCCAAAGTCATTTTTCCCATAGTTCTTGAACTCAGTTCAAGAAGCAAGTTCTCCTTTTTTGTGAGGATGGAGAGAAAAGATAGGAACAGCAGGCGGGAGAGTGGGAGAAATTGTTTCATCCTGACGGCCCATGTGTGCATGGGTTCTTCTGATAGTCCCATTACGCACCCACCATCAGGTGTATGTTCGTGCCATGACTGAGTACTGGCCCCAGGAGGATCCCACCATTCCGTGCGCGGATGCAGGGCTGCCTTTCCAGAAGGGGGACATCCTCCAGATTGTGGACCAGAACGATGCCCTCTGGTGGCAGGCCCGGAAAATCGCAGACCTTGGTACCTGTGCGGGCCTCATCCCTTCTAACAATCTTCTGAAGAGGTAAGCAAAGTTATCACTCCTGGACTCAGGACTGAGCCATGAGGTAATGAAGCATTTTCGCAGGCCTCTGCTATTGCAATTAAGATGAGATAAAGAGAAACAAACAGGTGAACAAACTCACACACTGGTTTATAAATCCAAGTGTCGATTTATCCATATGCCCTAAGCATCTTAAATACCAAACGATCAAAATAATAATACCAGCTAGAAAAGAGAGGAAACATGTAGAAAACTAAATTAACTTAAAATGGTAGTTCTAACTCCCTCTATTAATCTTTCAAGGCTGAGTTGAAACCTCATTTACTGAATCTCAATCTACCACCTTCACTTCTGTGCTATTGAGATCCAAGGGAGCAAGTAAAGACAGGGAAAAAAAAAAAAGATTTTAAAAGGTTTATGGCTCCGCCCATGTTAAGAGATCAGGAAGAAGACAAGGAACTAGCAAAGAATATTGAGAATAAATGACCAACGAGGCAAGATGAAAACCAAGACAGCATGGCATTCTGATCAACTATGTCAATTGCTATTGAAGGGACTGAGAGTTAACCATTGAATTTAACAATATGAAGGTCATTGGTGATCCTGATAAAAGTGACTTTAGTGGAGGGGCGGGGCCACCGTCCTTAGAGAGTGAGATGTGAAAGAAATTGATGACAATGAGCATGGGAAAATCTTCAAGACATTTTGGTATAAAGCAGAGCAGCATAAATGGCTGGAGGGGAAAGTAGAGTGGTATGAGACTTTTTTTAGATGAGGTAAATAATACTAGTGGGAGTAATCCAGTGAGAAAGCAATTTTTTATGACAGGAGAAAGAAGAGAACTGCCTTGAGCAGGCAGAAGAAGAGGGGCTGGCTTAGGTGGGACCATAAGCAGTTCACCCCCATTGATGGGAACAGTGGGGACCAGAGTGTGCAGCAGACTTGACACGAATGGTGGAGGTTGCCGAGGGTCCCTTCCAACAGCTCCTACTGTCTCAGTGACAAAAGAGGCACTGTCATGGGCTGAGAGTGAGGGGGTAAGGGGCTACTGGAAAGGAGAGGGGAAGCATCTTGAGAAGTTTCTATGAGAGCTGGAGAGCAAATGGATCAGGTAAATACGGTGTGATCCACAGTAAGGGACGACTCAAGGTTAAAGGTCATAAATTTGAAGTAATTCTGGTCCGTTTCCTTGGGGGTAGATCCAGATTAGATAGAGTTGGATTTAACAGTAAATCAAGAAAGAGCCCAGGGAGGGACTAAAATGAAGGAACATGACATTTAAGCTGTTGAGGAGGGAGGTGAGGAGGAAAGGGTCAGTAGAAAGGTCCTAGAAAGGTCAATGGATTATAGGTCCCACGGGGTCAACAGATTATTGGGGTTGGGAAGATGGGAGGTGTTGGTGAAAGAAAGGGATGCTAGGAACTGAAATTCTTAAAGGAGGGATTGCAGCTATTGGTTCTGGAAGGTTCTAGGGCATGACAGTGGGCGGCAGTGGCTGAGGTAGAATGTGGGAAGGGCTTTGAGAAAAAGGAGATCAAGGAACGGAGAGGCCAGGGTGTAATAAAATCATCAGGAATAATGACGACAGTGTTGAGTGCGAGAGCGAGGAGTAACCTGGGGATGGTTACCAGGAAAGTGGGGGGAGCAACAGCCAAGAGCTGGGGATTCTAGACGAGAGGGAGCAGGCGGGAGGTGGCCCCGAGAAGCAAGGACCCGGACCCCACCCCTCCAGGCCGCGAGCAGCCGGGGGCCGGCCGGCCACCAGGGCCCACTGTGGGCGCTTCTCACGGCCGCGGTCAGCGACGTCAGGGCGGCGGCCTGACACCAGCCGCACGAGAGCACTGACGCCGGAGAAACCGGCAAAAGCTACACAGCAGGGCTCCCCTGCTCCCGAGCTGCCGGGCCAGCGCACCCCTGGGAGGGGGAGGCAAACCCGTGTCCCCTGGAAAGATGCAGGGGAAGCAGCGACCTCAGGGAGACCTGGGTTTGGGTTGGAGCTATCAGGTGAAGGGCTCTCGCAGAGAAGGGGCTGAGTTGGAGTCTGAGGATTTTGCTTCGTGTTTACTCGAGCTCCAGGGGGCGGCGTGTGAAAGGGCTTCCGAGATCAGAATGCAGAGGATAAGGGATGGCTTGGGCTTTGGGGGCCCGAGGACACGAACAGGGACCAAGGCCTAGAGAGATTAGTCCGGATGGGCTCCCGACCGACCGGAGAAGAGTGGCGAGGAGGCTCCGCTGGGGGTCTCGCAAGGAGCCCATGGCCCGTTTACTGAATCAGTGCCCAAGTAAAGAACAACAGAAGGGACTGAGATCGCGTGTCTCTAAAGGAACTGTAGGGGCATCCTCAGTCTGGGAGAGACACCGGGACGTGGTGCGAAAATTCTAACGGGACCGGCTGAAGCGGGGCCGTGAAGCAGGGCAGGGCGCCGTGGCTCCTCTATGCAGCCTGTGGCCTGGGAACTACTGGTCACTCCCAGATGTTCCCTTTCAGCCAATGTGGCTCTAAAAATATCCCATGAAGTGGGGTGGGGGGTGGGGGGTGGGGGGTGGGGGGTGGGGGGAAGGAATCAGGCTGCTTATTTAGAGAATGTGTTTGACAACGTTTGGAGAAGAAATCTTTTTTCACTTGGGTGGGGGCAGCAGAATTCTAGGAAGATTCTAGCCTGCATCTATTTCACCTGGGTTTACCTGGGTTGATTTTTATTTTTTTTCTCATGGTGTATTTTTCCCCCATAGGAAGCAACGAGCGTTCTGGTGGTCCCAGCCACGCCAGCCTCACACCGACCTCAAATCCACCGCCTGTGAGTGTGCCGATCCCTCAAACCCAGCCCGCGCGCCGCGGCTTCCTCTCGCCCAGGGCCTGCTTCCTGCCCAAGGCGGGCGCTTTAACTGTCCCCGCTGCCCCCCATAACCAGGCAGCCACCTGAAACCCTACACAGACATTCTTTATTCCTTTACATTTAGAAGAGTTCTCTGCTTATGAAAATGCACGGGTTCCTGGGTCGGTGACACCTTCGGGGATCACTCCCCACGTGAAGTCCTCTGAGGTCTCCAGGGCGGGCACCTGCACCCGCCCTGGGCCCTGGCCGGCAGGGCTGCAGAGCCTTCACACCGGTTCCCTTTAGGGCGGTTACAAGTCACACTGTTCAGAAGCTCTGATTAACAGCTGCGTGTGCCTTTGATGGGTAGACATGGGCCTGAATAATCACTGAGTGGATGTAATTTGTTTGCTAGACAGTATTGTTCAAATGGCAGGGGAGGAAGGCTGAGTGAAGGGATCCATGGTGGGAAATGCTTGTGAACCGCGCGAAGGGCGCTGCGGCTGGCAGAGCTCAGCTGGCCCCCACGGAGCAGGCCCTTCAGAAACACCCTCCGGCGGACCCTCCCCGCCTTGGGAGGACTTAGCGCAGGGGGCAGGGCACCTGGAGGAGGGAAGGAGCACAGAGAGGTAACGCTGTCAGCGTCATATTTGCCCACGGCATGTCCTCTCTTTATTTCTCAAGTCTCTAAGCCAGAAATCATTTTTCATCTTTTTTTTTTCCTTGAAGAGAGATGATGACAACTATAGAGACATTTCTGAAAGAAGAAAATGCTCTTGTAATTCTTCATATTGGCTATATTTTCATACTACCTTCCAGTTATGAGAATATAGTTTATGTGTTTATAGTTAACAGCTACAATACCACTTTCTTTCTTTCTTTTAACTTAACATATTATCAGAAACATTTTTAAGGTATAATTTTCCAAGTGATAGTTTAGTTATTTCCCCTGTGTTTTAAAAAAGTTAGTTTACCAAACCAGATTGAAACACTTCTTTAATTCATTTTTCTATTTCATTCCTCAAAGACACATGGAAATGCGAATAAAGTTTCTAATCAGCATCCGATAACTAGTCTGGCCACTTGATTTGCTCACCATAGCCTAATAGCTGGGTTTTGGGAAAAAACCCTCATCTCCAAAGTTTCCTAGAAATTTTCTATAGGTCTCATTCAGTTCAATTCAGTTCAGCTATTTATTAAGCTCTTATTATGTACCTAGCAGTAGTATGCCAGTACCCTAATTCACCAGAGTTTTTGAAAAGTCCATCCTGAAAATAGCTTGCAGACCCTATTACTATCCTCACAAATCTGTAAGTCCAGGAACAGCAGGGTTGGAGCCACTGACTGAAAAGGTTACCTCACACAGGGATGTTTCAGATGGAGTGTGATCATCTTCTAAACTGTTAGATCATTTCTTTTCTTTTTAACTGTTGTAGACAATTCTGTAGTCGATTTAATTTTGTATCTTCCTGCTCTGCTTAAATGTTACCTTAAGAAAAAGAAATCTCAGGAGCAGTTTACTGAGTCAAAGGATTTAGACTTTTTTTTTTAGTTAATCAAGAGTTATAGAAAAATTCCAGACCTATGTTAGTTTGCAGCTGGTTATTAAAAAGTTATTTACTGAAGAGTCACTTAGGGTTGTTATTCCCCTTTTTTTATTTCCTTCCCTCTTTCCTTCTTTCCCTCCTTTTTTCCTTCCTCCCTTCCTTCAGTCAAGATGCTAGTTTCTAAAATATGCTGTACTAAGCATATTAATTCAGAAGAGAATAGAATGCAACCTTTTACAACTTATTGGGACAGAAAGGAGTAGAATTTGCCAGAAACAAGTAGGTCCCCATTTTTAACAAGGCTCATAAATACATTAGTTCTATAGGCTATTTACCTATCATTTTGTTGCTAAATATTCACTAAGTCTCTAGAGAATAAGGCTAGACTATTAAGTACTATAATTTTGGTACTTTGCTTTTCTTATTTTAAGTAAGTTAATCTGAGAAACTGAGCATAAACTAATGCATGCATTCTCTCTCTCTCTCTCTCTCTCTCTCTCTCTCCCTCTTTCTGCTTCAATCATTTTTGTTTGTACCCAGCAATTTCTATTGAAGAAGGTAAGAAAGTGTATTTGGAAAAAACCCTCATCTCCAAAGTTTTCTAGAAATTTTCTGTAGTTCTCATTCGGTTCAAATCAGTTCAGCTATTTATTAAGCTTTTAGTATGCACCTAGCAGTAGTATGCTAATACCCTAATTTATAAAAAGATGCCAGTCAAAAGAACACATACACACAGTGTAATCCTCCTAAGCCTGAAAGGAGTAAAAGAAAAGAGAACCAACGTTTACAGCATGCAGTCCCAGAGTCTCTAACATGGTGCATTGTAAGAATTCAATAAAAGTCATGAAATTGCTCTTCTGTTTTGTGTCAAGCGCTTTACATACATTGCCTTCAAAATAACCCTGTAAGGAAAGTACTATTATTCCCATTTTACGGATGAAAAGATTGAGGTTCAAAGAAGGTAAAAAGAACATTATCAGAAGTTGCAAGTAGTGTAGTCTGGGTGGGAGCTTCTGTCTGACGGCCCTGCATCAAGGACCGATGGGACCTCCAGTAATTACCTCTCCCCTTCTCCTTGCCCAGACACCCGGGTGACTCACCATAATGTCCATCACACACACTCACAAAAGCAAGAAAGCCAGATGCCGTCTGCCTGTGGAGAGGAGAGAGGAAGGAGAAGAGCAGTCCTCTTGGCCACCTCCCCCATTTCGCCCTGACACTGGAAGGCGTGGGGAGCGTGGGCTGGCCCCTGGGGAGGGCTGGGCCTCTGCTGTCTTGCTGGTAGTGGGCCCGCTGCCTTAGTCTGCGTGGGCTGCCATGACAAGATACCACAGACCGGGTGGCTTAAATAACAGATACCAGTGTTTATACTCCCACTGTTCTGGAGGCTAAAGTTCCAGGTCAAGGCTCTGCAGGGCTGGCTCCGGTGAGGCCTTTCTTCCTGGCTTGCAGATGGCCACCTTCTCTCTGTGTGCTCACGTGGCCTTTCTTCTGTAAACGCACAAAGAGAAAAAGGGAGAAAGAGAAAGATCTGGTATCTTCTCTTCTTTATAGTGTATAAGGCTACTAATTATTTTTGGATTAAGGCCCCAACCTTATGACCTCATTTAACTTTAGCCCTGTAAAAGCCCAGTTTCCAAATGGGGTTAGAACTTCAACATGAAGCTGGGTGGGAGGGCAGAGCACAAACGAGTCTGTAAGAGCCACCCTAGCCAATGGTGGGGAATTGCTGATCTCAAGAAAGTAAAATCAGGGGTTCTTTCAGATCACAGAGTTACAGGTTTAAAAAATGCTCTTACGGTAGATTCACTCCTGGCCTCTGTAAAATAAGAATGACAATTGTAATTTTTGTCTGCCTTAAAAAAAAAAACACCACAAACCAAAAAACCTCTAGTTATGTCCTAGGAACTAGTAAATTCATTGTTATAAATTACTAATCTGGAAAATAATCTCTAAATGAATATAGGACATTGTATGACACTGTGAAAAATCTTAGCTAGGTGCTTGTTTATCTGTGCACCTACCTCTATAAAATAGTATTTCAGAAAATGTTTCAAATTGAATATTTTATGTTAAAAACAGTAATTAATGATGTGCCCTTTAAGGAGGCAATAGGTGCTACTTTATAATATTACAGTTTATTATATAGAGTATAATATGTACTTTTAGAACATAGAAAAGATTTATTAAACCACTATTTATTGATCCCTGGGGAAGTGCTGGACACTATGCTGGGCACAAGATGCACAGTGCTGAAATAAAAAGATTTTTTCAGAATATATATTCAAAGCACCATTTTTTATTTTAAAAGGTAAATTTGACTCAGTTTAATAAATAATTCATGTAATTACTATGTGCCAGACACTGCATGAAAATCTGTAAATTATTCAAAAAAATTACTACATTTCCCCTTTCAAGGAGCTATCTAGAAGGGTAAATAAGGCAAACACGCAAATTATTCTATTACAAGGTGGCTAGATATATAGCAGCAGAAAGCTCAGGGCAGCAGGAAGAAAATGCAATTCTGTTCATGGCAGAGTTATTCATTTTGACCAATGTTTGGGGTGGACCTTGAAGCATTACAGGCAAAAGGAACAGCTTAAGCAAAGGCACAGAGGAAGAACCAGTGATACCTACTCTAATGGGAGTATAAGATGTGTGAAGGAGAGAAGTGGACAATAGCCTTCAAAGTTGGGTTTGGGTCATTTCATTTGGGCCATGAAAGCAGTGATTTTCAACCTTTTTCATCTCATGGCACTGAAATTCTGCAGCACACCAAAAAATTTTTTTTGGCTGATCTGACCCCAAAATAGGTAAATTTTGATTAATTTACAAAAAAGTTGTAGTAATTACCTACCCTTTTTGACCCAAAGTGACTTTTTAAAAATTCGGGTACCTATACATGTATATAAGGATTTCTGGTACCAAGAATTAACCAATCAGACACAACCTTATCATGCGATGTGACCAATAAGATGTAACTCTGTTACATGACCTATATATTTATGGCATTCACACCTGATGCTATTGTGTTGGCTGTTGCCATTTTTTTTAACTTGACAATCTAAGGGAAGAAAGGTCAGTGCCCCTGGCTAAATAGTCAGGCATTGCATCTTTTTAAAAATTCTTGGGGCACACTGGTTGAAAATCACAATTGTAAAGGGTTTTCAGTGTTAGGATGAATGGCTTTAAAAGTTACACTCTTGCATTTTCTTATATATACCCAAGCTGAAAGTAAAAAACAGTTAACATTTATTGAGTATTTACCATGTGCCTGAACTTTTCTTACATCACCTTACTTATTTCTATCCTATATAGTAGGTATTATTACTATCCCCATTTATAGAAAGAAAACTGAAACTTAGAGGTAAACTATAATAATTTGTCCAGCATTCAAAAGCATATGCTTTTCAAATTTTAACCACTTTATGACGTGTAGCTTCCCATATCATATATTTTCATTTAATACAGTAGAGTCCTCTTCATCTCTCCAAGTCAGCAATAGTTGTAAGAGTATCATTATTATAAGGTGGCCTGTGGTTTATTGGCATAAGCCTAGATAGAGGGATTTTCGTTCGTGGTGCTAACACATTTTAAGTTCTATTCTTCTCTTTCTATGCTCTTTTATAGATGACGACATAAAGATTGACGAGAAGTGTGTGGAAGCAGGTAACATGTCCTCTGCAGCGTCCCTCGGGCAGAGTCAGCCACAGGGGCCACAGGCCTTCCCGCCGGAAGAAATGTGTAAAACGAACCCCCCACCCTATCCTTGTTCCATGGTTCTGACACTCGGAAGGGAAGCACAGCTCTGGGAATATCTCCAGGTCCAAACCAGCCTCCTAGAAATCAGTATCTTGGAAATGGCACAGTAACACCTAGTAACACTCAGGTGTTACGTTCAGTGACTTGCAGGTGGAGCATCTGGCAGCCACCATGCTCTTTGTGAAATACTATAAAATGTGGAGGTATCACATTTCTAAAAAGCAAACTATGTATTTTGTTACTGTCTGATACCATCTTCTGGTAGATTCTAATATAGATAAATAGCAAGTTCCAAATTTGAGAAATATATGAAAGCTTTTTACATTTCTATACTTAATTTTTTTGGACACTGGGAAAAGATTTTTTTTTTTTAAATATTTAGTGGTAGAACTAAGATTGGCTCAAAAATCACTTGGGTTTTGTTGGGAGGCTAGTTGGAGAGACTTTGTCTTGGCTTTATGGTGCTAAAAATAAAAATTCCACACTGGAGATCTTACTGGCTTTATTCAACAGTTCATGAATCAGTCAGCATCTCAGTGAGCAGAGGAAAAGGAGCCCTGAGGCGCGTCACTAGATGAAGGACTTTCGTGGGCAGAGGGGAGTGGGAGCGCGCAAGTTACCTTAGCAAAGAGCGGACTGGTTCCGCAGGGCCGCTTTCCCCGAAGGGACAGCAGGGGTCTGTCAGTCAGAAGTCCAGTTATAACCAAGGTGATTCTCAATTTGGTGATGTGAGGCTTCGCATAAGTGACTTTGTTTTGGGACTATTGTCTTGTTTTTAACAATAAGCTAAACGAGTTTTTAGAAACTGAAGAATAATGTGAAATCTTTAAATAGTGGGTATTTCAAAGATTCACATATACTTCCTAGAATAACTACAAAATAATTCTGAGATTATTATTTATTTTTCCAAGGACAAGTTCTGTTTTTTTTTAAATGTTTCAGTAGTATTCATTTCCTTTTGATAATTTTAACTTAAAACTTTTATTAGGTAATACTTTCATATACTTCAAATTCAACAACCACAAAACTATACTCAGTAAAAAGCCCCTCTCTTTCCCCACTGCTCTGATCGGTTTCCTTTCTGGAGGCAATAAATGCTCTCAGGTTCTTCCATAATCCCTCCAGACTATTCTGTGCATATAAAAGCAACGATGTATGTTTTTCCTCCTCTCTTCTGCCTTCATCCTCACCAAAACAAAACAAAACAAAACAAATACAATTACCCTTTGATGGTATGCTACACAAACTACTCTGTTCCTGGCATTTTTACTTAATATTATATATCTTGGAGATGATTCCATCTCAGTATTTTTTATCAGCTTCTTGGCTACATAAGTTATGCATTTATGCAATCACTTATTGGCACAGATGTTTGAATTACGTCCAATTTTTTTATTATAAACAATGCTACAATGAATAGCTTTATAAATACTTCATTTTGCACATGTGAGTGTTCCTTAGATACAGCATTGCCCCACCCAAGCATGTGCGCATTGGTAATAATGTTGCTATGTAGTTCAAGTTGCTCTTCATGTGCAATCTAGTGTCTTAACCCTTAGTATCTCTTTAAAACAAAAGCAAGAATGTTTTAACTGATGAGAAAGTTGGGTTTTATCATCTTTCCCAGTCACTTAAACAAGCCTACACAATCAAACCATTCATATACTTATCCTCCTCGCCCCATTCCCCAGGCTTACGGAGCCCCAAATCCTCAGGCAGGGCGCATCCCTCCTACACCTGCAGGCTCTCGAGTGCAAAGCTGTGCGATATCCAGGAATCTCTAGGGGCTTCCTCTGCATTCCACCTTTCCCTCCTCTCTAAGCCTCCTTTTTATTTTATTTATTCTCTTCTATTTCATTTTATTTATTTATTTTAAGCTCCTGCTGCACCCCGGCTTGTTATCATGGCCCTACTGCTTAAAGCCATGCATCTCATTTAAGGTTTATATTTGCTATGGAGACACCACTGACTTGGCCTTGATTTGGGAAGAAAATTTACAAGTTGGTGTGTGTGCAGAAGCATAGGGTCAAGGGATTATACTGTTAAAATACAGGTTCCGTATTGCTAGTAATATAATGGCACTTTTGGGTTTTTGCCTCCATGGAAAACCACAGATGAAGAAACGTTTGAATCTGGTAAGTCAAAAATGAGTATTTGGTACTGATTTTAAAATGTATATAGTATTTCAGATTTTGGTGTAATTTAAACACAGATTTAGGGATTATGATACAATAATTGTTTAAGTTCATCAACAGTTTAGTTGTGAGATGTAAATTGCACCTTAATCGCAAGAGCCGTTGTGGAACTCTAAGGGCATTTTTGGTTGTCAATTGGTTCCGGGCACTACTGGCTTTTCATTGGTAGGAATCAGAAATGCTAAACATCCTGGAGTCTATGATACCATTGTGCACAATGTTTTGAATTTCCAGGTGAACAAAACTCATTACAAATATAAATGAGTAGTCCTTTTATACACAATAGTTACGTGAGTTTTCATAAGACTAACATGAAAAGGCTGGTGGTTTAGAAGACAGTTATCATGGAGAGAACCATTTGAACAGAATAAAGACATTGCCTTGCAATTACCGAATAATTTATTCCACACATTCTGTCTACTCCATACCAATAGTGAATAAGCTGGAAAGTGAGGTATGAATACTGAATCAATTATTTTCTTTTTCTTTAATATGTTATTTGTCATTATTGATGACACACAGTATCGTCAAGTGTCTGTTCCTCAAAATAATGTTGATATCATTAGTAACAACATAGATCCCACAGAATAGTTTTGGAAAACTGGCAGCCTTTTGGGGCATGTCTGCATTACTCACGCTCCTTCATTTTCTCCGCTTCGTCAGTCTACGACTGCTTTGGCTGATTATCCCTAGGTCAGTTTAGGCGATTTCTCTCTTCCTCTTATCATATACAAATAAATGTGTGTGTTCAGTTTCTCCTGTCTTCAAGGGCCCAGCTGGAGATGGAAATGTCTGCATGGGCCCAGAGAGGGGTGAGGAGCAAGGGGGAGGCTCAGGCGCGGCTGCGGGCGGCGCCTGGCCCACTTCCTCCACCTCGCAGGGCAGCAGCCACACGGCCTCTGGGGGACAAGGAGAGCAGGGGCTCAAATCAGTTCCCTTCCTATAATTTTTCTCTTTCAAACCTCATTTTGTGTCAAGCAGAGAAGAGTCTTTATGGGGAAAAAAGCCATCAGGGAGAGTCTAGATAAGCAAAGTGCAGAAAAGGTTCTGTCCCCTGAGTAGCAGAGCCAGGACAAACGAGTCTCTGGGACCCCCACTCTGTGCCAGGACTCACACGACTTAAAATTTCTCCGAGGGAGACATGAACACCTCACTTTTGCCATTTGTCTTTATTCGATGGCTGCCTTGGTCTTCTCAAAGGCTTAACTTTTTCATGTCTTTTTTTAATACTTACCCAAATATCCAGAGGAACTTTCAGAAGGTAATTATTTTTATTTGCTGGGTAAGTCAAATAGAGCTCTGTTTAAGATCTTTCGGTGCCTCAAAGTGAATACTTGACAGAATAAATTTTAAGATACATGATGTTTTAAGGGTGAAATTAGTGGTAAAATATTCAATTTCATTGAAAGTATTTTAAAATAAATAATGAAAAAAATTCAGTTTGATGGATATATCCTTAAGTAAACGTTTCCTTTTAAACTTACTGACATATTTCAGTTAGAAAATTGTGCTTATTTTACCAGAGATGGAATTGATATTGGTGTGTTTTCCTTATAGTCAATGTTTTAAAATGTGTGTTTTTTTAAATAAAAACAGAGGTTAAGAAAAAAAGAGTATATGTAACAGTTCATTCTATGAACAAATGCTCTTTATGTATTTTTTTCAATGATCAGAACAGAGTTGAATAAGTGAAGAGAAACATATATTAGTAAAAAGCAATTTGAAAATGACATTTCTATACTATTTTTTTCTGGAGTTTATAACAATTTTTCTGATCCCCCAGGAGTTTCAGAGCTGCTGGACACAGTTTTCCTCACTCTTTGTCTCTCTCATTGGACAGTGAGAAGTAATTGGCAACTGTAGAGCAAATACTGATCATACAGAATGAACTATTTTATAAGGGAGAAAATAAAAACCGATCTTTAACAAAGAGGTTCATTATAGGACCCACAGAAATCAATATCTACAAGTTAAAGCCAAGCCAGTCTATTGTTTTTTAAATCAGTTTACTTTGGGCATGTTTAACAGTGTATATAGCCAATTTTTAAGTTTTTACAATGATTCAGTATCTTCTTTATAACTTTACATAAGCCTAAAATAGGTTTTTGTTCCTAACCATGCTAGAGAGAATATATTCAGTGTATTGCTAACATTCTGAAGAGTGTCTCCACATAGTTTGGTGCACATGGTAGGGTAGAAAGAGCTTAGGGCATTCAAGTCACCCAAGGCTAGAACAGCTGTGCTGCCATCTACTGGCCTAGTGTCACTGAGATTTGGGGGTAATTTCTTGCATCTGTTCTAAGTAAACTTCTCCTCCTCCTCTGCCTGTTCTGCTGCTGCCATTCTCTGTGTTCCAGACAAGGAGGAATTTGTTGGCTATGGTCAGATGTTCTTTATCGGTAGGTATGGATTAATAAGAGGTGGGTCTTCGTCACTTCCTAAGTTATATTCATACCAACCCAGCATTCTTCTGAAAGCTTGTTTTGCTGATGGACATTTCCCAACTTGTTCCTTGGTCTGGTTTCCCCCTCTCTTTTTTGCAAGGAGAGGAGCTCTGTATTGTAATGTGTTGATTGTTTATGGTTATTCATCTGGTTTCCACTGAATATTTCTTAATTATTTATCAAATATAAATCTTTGGTTTTCTTTCAGACAGTCCTATAACATAGGTATCTTACTCTAAAGAGACCAATTCTCTGACCACTAAACTTAGTTTCTGGGGGCCACCTTTTCATAATCTGCCAGCTGGGCAGGGCTTTCTGAAGGACTAGGCACTGCTCATTTAAAACTGCGCTGGGCTTCCTGCTTCGTGACGTGGGGGGAGAGAGGCAGGGCTGCATGGTCAGCCAAGTACAATGTTGGTTCTCAAGCCTGGTGCAGCTTGGAATTATAGGGAGAGTTTAAAAACAAGACACGGGGCCACCTTTCTGCATCCAGCCCAGAATAGTTCATCGTTGAGCCATCAGGTAGGTGGAACAAGGTAGGCAACTGCACGAAGGTGGGCGAGAAGCAGGTGAGGGGAGGCATCTACGCAGGGACGGTGCAGGCTGGTGCAGGTTGTCAGGGATAGAATAGTGGGGAGGAGGCAGCTGCTGTCCCATGCGCCCTGACACCTCACAGCCTCTGCGAATGTGCCTTCCTCACTGAGCCTGGGCTCTGACACTTTCTGCCAGGCTGCTGACACGGTCTGTCCCCGCCCTGCACAGGTGCTGTTTATTGACACAATATGTCAATGTATTGAGGGATAATAAGTGCCTATTTTCTTCATTAGAGAAAAAGTTACACATATTGAAAGAGGGGGTGGGGCCTGCCAAAATGAAACCCATGGTGTTGAATTGACATTGTAAGTACTAGTGTGAACTCGTGGTTTTAACATATACAAAAAAACTATAGGGGGGGTGGGGTGTGTGCATGTGTGTGTGATATACACATAGGGTCCCTATGTCAATCTACTGAGAGGACCTGGGAACCACTTTGGAACTACCAGAAAGCCCTGTGGTTGGGTAGGCACATCAAGCAGGATTCTGGGAGTTTGGATATCATGACTAAAATATCCAAACCTGCCACTGAACATACAGTTGTGAGCAGTCACTTAACCTGACCTGCCTGTGTCTTAGTATTTCCCCCTTCAGAATGTGAGTAATAAGCCTGTTTCACTGTTTCCACCGTGGCCCGAGCCACTGGCCCCCCTCATCTGGGATAGTCCCCTAACTGCTATCCCCTGAGCCTACACCTGCTGTGCCTACAGCTTACATCCCCCCTTCAGCAACCAGAAACATAAATCAAATCACGTCACACCCATCTCTTTACCATCCAATGACTTCCTATCCCACTTTGACCACCATCCAACCTTGGACTGAGGCCCTGGGTGACCTCCAGCTTCCTCTCCAACCCACTTCCTGCCACCATCCCCACTGCTCACTGCCCACAGCTGCAGGGGCCTCCAGGCTGCACCTTCCTCAAGCGCTTCCACCTTTGCAGTTGCTGTTCCCTCGGCCCGGACTGCTCTTCCCCACAGACGTCCCCTCAGCTGGCTCAATTACTTCGTCCAGACACCTGCTTCATGTCAACTTTTCAGACACTTAACTGAACCCTCTACTTAAAGAAGCACCATGTCAACTCTATCCACTGACCCTCCTCTAAGCACTTATTTTTATCTTTGTTGATTTTGGTCTCTCCTCCTCGATAACATGTAAATTTCACGAGGAAATGGTCTTGGCTTAGTTGACTATTATATGACCAGCACGTGGTACAATGTCTGGCACATAGGGGGCTCTGGGTGCCACTTAGAGGTAATATGTGGGACATTTTTTTTTCCTTCATATTGCTTCCTCTCTTCTACCTTTAGACAATGTGACTGTGTAAATCAACACTTTGGAATCTCAGTCACTGTGTGTGCCAGCAGGTTTGAAGCTGGAAGGGATCTCTCCTGCCCTACATCTAATGTTCCGTGCATTTCCACCCTCCCCAGCTGGTTTCCGCCGCAGCATGCGCCTGTGTCGCAGGAAGTGTCACCTCAGCCAGCTGCGCACCAGCCTGTGCGGCGCCAGCTGCAGTAGCAATGTGGCCGGCGCCCCTTACGAGGAGGTGGTGAGGTACCAGCGACGCCCTTCAGACAGGCACCGCCTCATCGTGCTCGTGGGTACGTCGCGCAGGCAGCGCCTCCCCGGTCCACAGTGAAGTGTTCTTCTCGGCTCACGAGCCTTGCATTGGGAGTAGTGGTAAAAGGAGGACTCTCTATGGACTGCCATATAAACACCTTAAAAAAAAAAAGCCTCTGTCATATGTGTGTTTATAAATAAAACATTATTGTATCATGCTTTTATTTTCTGCAATTAAATGTGATATGCCATAGTGTATTTGAATTTGTATAACGAGGTATATTGTGATGAGGTTGTAACTGAGGGTTTTTTTGTTGTTGTTTTTTTTTCCTGTTTAGAATTTGTTCTATAAGCATAGATGAGTGTTCTCCTAAACTGGACCATTAGTCTGTATAAGAAAATAAGTTTTTAAGATCAATTTTTCTAAGATATTTATAAGCACCTCTTTTAGAGAAGTGTGAAAAAAAGTCCTGGACTATGTCATTGGTGCTAAAGAACATGGCAAATACAGTTTTTTATTTGGGGCAACCTGTTTTTGTGGCCAAGATCTCCCCGAAGCTGGTTCTTCCAGCAGTAGTAACCTCCGTCTTACTGCATCTTCTCTGCACGTTCCAGCTGCGAGCAACGCGGTTCCCCACAGAGCAAACAACATGGCTGACAGCCAGGACCTGCTACAGAATTTGCAGGGCACAGCGCAAAATGAAAATGCAACGGCCCCGTATTCAAAAATCATTAAGAATTTCAATGTGGCAAAAGAAGAGCATTTCACCAAGTGCAGTATCCTAAGCACAGACCTCGTGTAAGGGCGCGGGTTCTATACCCCTGAAGTCAGCCCTGTCTCCAGTGGCTCCTGGGGTGTTGACTCACCTGTCTGTCAGGAAATGTGCCCCTTGACTTCTCCGAGTCACTGGACCTGTCATTGTGGAGCCTGATTTCTGGGATGTGACGTGATATAAACTTCATTTGAAGAGGAAAGGCAGGTTGTCTCAGATGACCTGAAATGAAGCCAAAGAATTCCCACAGGGTCCAACATTAGACGAAGTTTGTTGAGGTGATAGGTTCTGGCAATTCCCCACCTCGTTTCCAAATGTTGGAAAAGTGTGGGTTCTTCCGTGGGTCACCAGGAAAATTCCCAAAAGTCTTCTGGGGTTGTTCCAATTCGTGAGCTGAGAAGCTGTATAATTTCCCTAAGGACATTTGCTCTCAAGTTTCTTTAGTTAGGACTGAAATGATGATTTCACCACATAATTATACTTATCCACATCTAATGATTTCTGTATGTGACTGTTTGTGTTTAGGACCTTCTGGTGTTGGAGTGAATGAACTGAGAAGACAACTTATTGAACTTAACCCTAACCATTTTCAAAGTGCTGTGCCACGTATGTTTAATTTTTCTTTCATCGCAGTTCACGTTTTGGTAAAACTTTCTTTGCATCTTAATTATGCCTTACCATTTTTGTTGTGAAAATATAAGACACAGGGGATAGTTCTTAAAATTTCTAACTATATTTTAATATAGGGAAATGATTTATTAACTAGGCTACCAAAATGTGACTTTGTCTTTTTTTCATTTCTTAACAATCATGTAAGTGACTTCTCAGGAAACACCAATATTTACAGTAATAGCTAACATTCATTTAGTACTTATTATCTTTCTGGTACTGAACTTGACTCCTGTTTTTTTTAAATTAAATAATATAACATATGCATATTTAATGTTATATAAACTTGTAAGTATGATTATACCATACATAGTGGGAAGAGCTTGTGGGTGCTTCCCCTTCATCTCAAGGCAAGACAGAGCAACTTAGGGAAACCACTCAGAGAGCTTAATATATGTTTCCTGCAATTTAGGTGGCAAACTATACCTAAAGCAATCTAAAGGACGAGAGCTTAGAGGAACTGACCGATGCTGTAGTTTGGCTGCCCTTTCAGAGTCTGTCACAGCAAAAGTGTTGTGATGTTTCCCAAGGACCAGATCTGGGTGGATACTGTGGGGGAAAGTCACCTTGGGGTTGTCTTAGTTTCTACCCAAGAGGAAGTCTCAGCAGAAAGAGGCTGGAAGCGGACCCTTGGATACCTCGGGGTGTGGAGGAAATCATAAATGACTAGCTGGAACAAAGATGGATTTGAGATACTCGGCAGTGTGGTGTGGTGCTGGTAAGGGTTGCAAATTACCCAAACATCCTCTCAGAGAGAAAGAAAGAGCCAGGTGTAAACATGTGCCAAGTCTAAAGGAGCCAATGGCAGCCAGCATCAGTTATGTGATAATTTTCCTCTTCCTGCTTCCTCTCCTCTCTCTCTGCTCTCCAGCCTTGGCGACTTATAATACTGGGGAGGAGCCGTGGGAATGCCAAGACAGGGAAGAGAAGTGGGTTTTACTTCCTTCCCTGACTTCAGGCTCCCTGCTTTTTAAATTGATTGGTTTTAAGCTTCAAATGAATATGTTGCATTATGTAAATACCAATTCACAGACTTTAACATACCATATAAGATTTAGTCCAATAGAAGCCCAGGAAAAGGGATCATCTTGAGTTTATATTAACATAATTTACTATCATCTGAGAATGACAGTGTTTTTTTACTAGAACTTTTTTTAGTACAAAACTATGGAAGAAGTGGCATAATTGTAGCAACTCTAAGAATCTGAAGAGAGGTGTGAATAAAAAAAAAAATGACCCCTGATAATGTTTGTTTTTTGAGCCTCTTGAATGCCCTTAACTCCTTTTGTAATTTTGAACCTGTTTCAAGCTCCTACTATAGATCAGGTATTGATCTTTTTTATCCTTAAACTTTGTCAAATACAAATACACAAATTTTTTATGAATGAGGACAGTTTGTTGTAATGCAGATTAAAAGACTAGCTTTGCAGCATATATAGGACACAACTAGAACTGTGCCTTATGTATCTTTGTGTTGGGAGAACCGCATGATAGCTGAAACATAGACACTCAGTACATGTTAGTTGAATAAATGGATGCGCAAACAATGAATCACTCTTAGGGATTCAATGAACTCCTATGTTCTATACCAGGTGCTATGTAAGTTAAAGACTCTATAATCAAAGTGGTTGTATTAGTGAATTAGACTACATTCAGACTCCACTGATCTTTCCCTTTTAGAGATCCCTAAAGCTAATCTCCATTTCACTTGTTTATTAGTGCATCTGGGCAAGACTGCAGACCTTCATTGGCTTTCTCCATTTCAAATCTGAGACAATCTGGGTTAGTAAAAGAGATTAGTCTAGGAAGAGTCAGAACACCTAGGTTCTTGTTTTCAACTTTGCTTTTCATTAGTCTATGTATATGAGCAAGTTAGTTGCTCTCCAAAATCTTCAGTTAACTATGATAATATTTCACCTCACTGTGAGTGGGAGAGATGAAATGAGGTCTTGTGAAATGTACTATCTAAACATAAGATATTGCAGGTATTGCTACCTGGGAGCCTTTAGGTATCTTAGGGCTCATACATAATTCATTTATTTAGAAGTTAGAGCAACCGTTCCCTTAGGGCCTCCCTATCCTGGCTTAATACCGAATGCATTCTTGTCCACACCATGATTACTAAATAAAGGTTTACAAGTTAAATAATTTTGATATGAGAACTACTTCCTTATCACCCATTCAGACACCTTCTTTTTGGTTCTAGCATTTTTTAAATCTACCTGTTTATATATTCATTCATTTATCTTGATTGAACATTTTTATTCAAATGCATATTGGCAATAAATCAAAACATGTTGAAGACTGTAAGATCTTTTGAAAAATTCACTTTTTTTGGCAGATACTACTCGTTCCAAAAAGAGTTATGAAATAGATGGACGTGAATATCACTATGTGTCAAAGGAAACATTTGAAAGTCTCATGTATAGTCACCGGTAAGTTAGACGTTCAGAATCTAACTCTTGCTTCTGATTGTTTTACACTGCTTAGGCACTTTCCAAAGCTTCTGAGGTAACTTACTTTTGTTTCTGAAGAATTAACCAAAGAAATGTAAATCAATCTACTAGTACACCAGTCGTTGGGTTACAAGAGGGAGCAGAAGCGAAGTGCAAACTGTAGAGAATTCAGAGAAGTCATCTTCATAGTCCCAGATCTCCGAGTACTTTTTTTCTCCCGTCAAATGTCCACTAAATTTTTTGTGCTAGCAAAGTCCAATATTTCATTCCATTCTGTTTTTATTTTCATGGTACTACTAATAATACTTTACTTGTAGAAAGAGTTCTCGTTTTCTTTGTCCCACCCTTGCAGGATGCTCGAGTCTGGTGAGTACAAAGGCCACCTCTACGGCACCAGTGTGGACGCTGTGCAAGCTGTGCTGGAGGAAGGCAAGATCTGTGTCATGGACTTAGAGCCTCAGGTGGGTCTGCAGTGGCGTGTTTTCCATCTTCCCAAAATAACGAATGTATGTCATCCATTTTATACACATTCTATAGGTTTTATTCTGTTAGCCTTTTAAGGATAAGACCACTTCCCATTTCTAAGGGTCAGGATGTTATGTAAAAGGTCAATTGCCAATAGCTTGTCTTTAGTTAGGGAAGAAATTTAGTTTCTCTAACACAAAAACTGAGCAGCTGGCCATAAAGAAAACTTAGAATCTTGCTTTGACCTTGATCACAAAGGCATCGCAGTAATGTCTTCTGGAGAGAATAAGATGTTGCTTTATACAAGGAGATGAGGTTCCTGTGTTGTCATATCTATAGCTACCTCCCCAAGGCTGTCTGGGGAATGGAGCAGGAGTGAGCAAATTAAAGTAAGGTAAAGGGCATACAATGTTTGTGGTGCACTGCAAGGGCCGGGGACCATGGTGGCCTGGCGGACCCTGCGGAAGAGCAGTCCCCCTCCTCTCTGCAGATTCGGTCCTCCAAGGAAATCTGGCCATGACCGGATAGGACCGCCAGATAAATATTCAAACCTTCATCCCATTCATTTTTACATCCATGAGCATGAATCACCACTGCAACAAAAGCTCAGAGAACTGAGACAAGAAACATAAGAATGGAACCAACAGTTCTGGACAAATCAGAATTTGACATTCTGGAAGGAAAAAGAATTATTCATTCAAGTCTAAAAGCTAAAGACCTGGAACTGAGATCGGAATGAGGTCAAAAAGCAACATTGAATGCAGAAGAAATGACAACCTTTTACAAGGAATTTTTAAGTAAAAATTTTCAGAAGCATATTTATTATAATAGATACTGATACAACATAATTTTTCCATCACCTTCTTCATGAGAAGAGTGGCCCAGGAGAGCATTTGGGACAAGCTGAAACTGAAACAGAAGAAGACCAGCAGTTAGGAGCCCTCACGGACCCACCCGCCGCTCTCCATCACTTCCCTGAGAAGTGGCTGGTTCTAGGAGCTCATTTCATGAGGGCTCTAAAAGCCTGTAAGTGACCAGAGTCCCACCCCTTCTTCCTGGAACCCCTCGATTTCTGTACTTGTAGGGCGGGTCTGGGAAAATGCAGGTCCTGGTGGCCAGGAGCCACGTGGCTTTGTCCTGACTGTGGATTCGCAGCTAGCTCTTGGTCATGGAAGTGATAAATAAAACCCAACCACTGTGTGCCCGTTTTGTTGTATTTTTGAATTATACCAGCTTGAAACAAAAGAATGTGAAAACATTAATAAAACTTCGCCTGACAATTTTGACTGACTCCTCGGACGGAAATCAGTTGGAAGCTGCTGCACTGTCTCCAGCCCTCAGTAACCAAGCCCGAGAAAGGCAGCTGCCCTGGGCCACCGTGAGGACAGACTTGGAAGCAGGTGCAGCTCCTCTGTCAGAAACCAGGTGACAGCAGATGCACTTCAGAGAGCTTTCCTCCATTTGTGCCAGCAAGGTAGTAGAGCCCCTGTTTCCAAATAGCATGTACTAGACTACGTCCCTCTGTTTAAATTCTTGTAAAATCAGCATTGTTCGAATGAAGTTATATAAGGTTATGCGATGATGAGGTTCTCTGTCTTGCATCCTGCAGCCATGTGGCATGGGGAGGTCACGGCCTGCAGGAGGGGACACCTGCCTCAGCAGCCTCACCAAAAGCCACTTGGCAAACAGTTTTTATTCTAAAATGAGACAATAGACTTGTAAGACTGGATTTTTTTTTTTTTTATGGCTTATAAACCGCCACCGAAGATGATTTCCAAAGAGAAATTCCTCTAACTGGAGGGAGCTCTTCACCTACCTTGAGCCCCGTAAGTTCAATGCGCATGAACTGAGGGTGACAGTGAGAACCTCATCAGCCAGCGTCTGGGCGCCGCCGCCTCGGTCAAGCGCAGCCTTCCCTAGAGACACTGCCCTGGGGCCGGCTTGCTTCCTGGTCTGTTAACCGCAGAGGGGAGTTCATGCACCAAATAACACGGAATGCGGTTTCACAGAAAGAACAATATATCATTAGCCCCACGACTGCTGCTAATCGCGGATTCTCAACCTGTCACCCGGCATGTGTGACACTGCGTGCATCTACAGAGAAACGAGGGGAAAAGGGGTCCGCAGCAGGGTTAGGGTCCCAGACTAGGGTGTGGGGGAGCGGGGCGCAGGAGGCGGGGATCGGTTTGTGTGGGCGAGACCAGAGGGCCTGAGCTGTTTCCTAGCTTTTAATCTCTCCTCTCATCCGCTCGAATTCCCCGACTGACTTCAAGATCGTTGTCTTCTCCCTGGGTAAAAATGACCCTAAAATGAACAGCAACGTCCACTGGAATCCCATTCAGAATCTTTTTGCACATCAGTTCTTAGGAGACCTTGACAGTGACTTTTCATGGGAACAGCAAGAGACAGGTGGATCGTCTTTTGGAAGGATATTTGCTTTTCAGGCAGGTGAATCCCAATGTGGGCGGCAAAGATGTGTGAGTGGGCGTGCGCGCTCACTGCGTCCTTACAGACCGTTAATGGTACGGTATGCTGTTACAGGCCACCTGCGGTGGCAGAGGGAGGACGCGAGAAGGGCGAAGTATTTGTAAACTCTGGGATGACTGAACAACCACGCTTAGGTTGTGCTGTGCATAGGGCTTTGCAAATGTAGGAGTGCCCTGAAACCCCTACTTGGAGACGTTGGGATTACGTTGTCCCAGGTTGTTACCCTGGCACCCAGGTAGCTTATTTATCAGAACCTGGAGCAGATGGATTCTTCTGCCGGAGGCTTGGGGCCCAGGACCTGTGATTACATCGTGCAAGAGATTCTACCAACCGTAGCCCTTCCTGGTGGCTGAGATCCTCGGGGCCCCTAGAGGCAGCCTCCCCAGGATTCAAGGAACAGAAACTTACTCAAATGAGTAAGTCAAGGGTGGGGGGCCGGCAACTGCGAGAAGCTAGAGATCTCCAGAAACAGACCACCCGGTCCCCTGCAGCAGGAAAGCCTGAGAGCCCGGGACTTCGGATCACTGTTTATCAGCTGCCAGGGGGCAGGGGCAGGGAGGCAGTGACTGAGGGAACGAGTGCCCTGCAGACTCCAGGCTCTTACCAGAGCCCCCCCCACGGCGACCGTGCCTTCACAGTTCCACGGATGCTTTATCTAAGAGTGACTTAAAAAGCAAACATGTTTTGTATTCAGACAACGGAAAGCACAAGTGATTCTTTGACTCTGTAAAGTAAAAATTGTGACAGTAAAGCCTTCCTTTGACAAATGTCAGCCCGAAGCAGGGCCCCATGGTGACCATGCCAGCTGGAGGGGAAGCAGGAGTTGCTAGTGTCCCGGTGTCCCCCGTGAAGGGACCACGGCTGAGGCCCCGGGGCGCAGAATCACAAAAAGCACCCAAGAGGCCCAGAGTCCCAAGTGGTTCTCCTAAAGTTGTCTCCAGTTGACATAAATTGCGTGGGGATTAGGCACTGAGGGTTGGCAGGAGAGTTTTAGCCACTCAGGACCTAAGTGTAGTTTAAATCTCAGTGACCTTCACCTTTTCCTTTTGTAATAATAATTTAATGCCAACAAGTTTAATTTGACTCGTGGTGTTGACTGTTGCTAGGTTCTTAAATGCTCTGAGTGAATTCACCAGAAATGACAGTGCTGTTTTCCTCTTTCTTGGATTCTTAAACATTAAAGATTAAATGGCTGTGGAAAATATTAAAGTCACAAGTAAATGCAAATAAATTGTAATTAAGGTTATTTTGAACCTTACATTTGTATGCTAAGTTAAACAGGTACTGTGTTGTTTTAAGATGATCCTCTGTCACAGCCATATTCAAGTAAAGTATTTTTGTGGACTTTTAAATAATTACAGATTAAAGGTTATCTCAATGATATATTTTACACTGCTTTTCCCAGAAAATGTCTGGGATAAAATTTAATGCTTCTGTTTTCTGAATTAAAAAGTGAAATAAAATTGAGTTTCTTGGGAAAAAAAAGAATATTCAATGTATAGGCCCAATTTCTTTATTTTCTTTTTAATATTTTTATTATAATTTTTCCCATTACCATTTAGTCCCCTTATACTCCCACCCCCACACAATTCCCACACTGTTGTCCGTGTCCGTGAGTCCTTTTTCCTTTTTTGCTTCACCCCTCTACCCACTAACCTGCCCGGCCACTAGCCGTCAGCCTGCTCTCCATCTATAAGTCTCTCCCCATTTTCCTTGTTAGTTCAGTTTGCTCATTAGATTCCACATATGACTGAAATCATGTGGTAGTTGTCTTTCTCTAATTGGCTTATTTCACTTAACATAAAGTTCTCCAGGTCCGCCCATACTGTCACAAAGGGTAAAAGTTTCTTCTTTTTTATGGCTGAGTAGTATTCCATTGCATAAATGCCCCATAGCTGTTTTATCCACTCATCTACTGATAGACACTTGGGCGGCTTCCATATCTTGGCGACTGTAAATAGTGCTGCAATGGACATGGGGTGCTTATGTTCTTTTGAGTTAGTGTTTTGGGCCAATTTCTATAATACTTTTATTTCCTTTGAATTTTTTTTGTAGTCATTTAAAAAATATATGTGTATCTTGTGTGTAAAGAGAATCAGGGGACAATAAATTTGTTCTTACTTGGGTCAAAGCTGGTTTCAGTGTAAATATTTCAGTGGTAGCAACGGCAAGAGGTGATCGGCCTTGAGAGTCTGTTTTGGTGTTTGTCCTGTGAGATCACATATAGAATCCTTTTCTCAAATTTCAGTAAGGGAGTCATGGCTAGTAAGAGGAAGATCAGGATTTACAGTAAGTTTTAATTCTAGAACCCTATCTCTTAATTATTAAAATGATATTTTTAGACATGAGAACTTGAGGGCACATGAGAATATATTCTGGCTAAAAATAATTGCTAATTTCTGGTCTTAGAAATTTGGCAAATATTCATGTTGACTCTAGGAAATTAGGACTTCTGTTTTGAAATGTGCACCTAATTTTTCTGTGTAGGGTATTCAAGTGGCTCGAACCCATGAACTGAAGCCCTATGTCATATTTATAAAGCCATCTAACATGAGTTGCATGAAACAATCTCGGAAAAATGCCAAGATCATAACAGACTACTTTGTGGACATGAAGTTCAAGGTAAGACACAGAGGAAATGGATAAATATATTTTTTCTTCTAGTGAGAAATCACTGTATTATTGCCTCAGTATCCCTTTGTTGAGGAATATAATTTGTTTTTTTAATAAATAATGCCCTTATAATTTATTTTTACTGGACATAGTTTTAAATATTTTAAAAAGGTTCAATAATTGCTATAATGCTACTCTTATTTTTTCTTCTTTTTTCGGGGGAGGGCCTAGCTCTAAAAAAAGACCTTCAAACCACAGCTTGTAAACCTACACAGAAACTGGGTGTGCACAAGCCTGATATTTGTATTTAAAATGAATTATTTTACAAAAACATTTGAAAGTTTACTTTTAAAATGCTTTGGTGGCCCTGAGCAATGTGGCTCAGTTGGTTAAGCATTGTCTCACAAAGCAAAAGGTCCCCGGTTCAATTTCTGATCAGGGCACATGCCTGGGTTGCGTGGTCCCTTGTCAGGGTGCGTACAAAAAGCAACAGACTGATGTTTCTCTCCCTCTCTTTCTCCATCTTTTACCCTCTCTCTAAAAATAAATAAAATCTTTAAAAAAAATAAAAATGAATTAGTGAATATAGCTAAGTCATCTGTAATTTGAGGTATCTTTAGACATATTTCTAAACATAAAACATTTTATTAATATGATGCTAATAATAGAGGGGCCAAGCCAGGTGGGATTAATCAGTGAACCCCTCCTAAAATAGGTGATTTCCCCCCAGTTTTATATGTATATTTCTTCATTAAATTCACTTTAAATATCTTAAGTCATAGCATGTATTCAATGATGTGTATAAATCGTAAGTGTACCCCTCAATGAATTTTCACACCCAGATAACCATTGCCTTGATTAAGATATTGCATCCATTAATTTTGTGTGTGTGGTAAAAAAAAACAAACTCACATAACATAAAACACAAAACTTACCATCTCAACCATTTGTAAGTGTATATAGGTCAGTAGTGTTAAGTATATTCACATTGTGAAAACTATCTCCAGAACTTTTTTCACCTCGCCAAAATTAAACATATGAAATGTGTCACAAATTTGCATCCCATCTGTGCATAGGGGCCATGCTAACCTCTGTATCTTTCCAATTTTAGTATATGTGTTGCTGCAGTGAGCATGAGAGATCTTTACAGTATCCTTTTATATTTTTAATCTTCATATTTTTTAATGACTATTGTATGAAAGTCTCACTCTCCAATTTGCATTTCAGATACTGGGGTCCATGGATGTATGTTCTGAGTCTGAGTCTATGGGCATTTAAAATTATGTTCTCATGTTTATGGCAATCTAAACAAGTTAACAAAATTACTTTTGGATCATGAGTATGGATACCTTGTAAAGGAGTACTGCCACAAGATTATAGTGCCTGCATTTATATGTTTATGATTGCATTGGCAACAAGTTGTACTATTGTAATTGTTATGGACAAATAAGAAAATAACAGCATGAATTTAATCCATTGGTGCCAGGTAAAGGCCAAATGACCTTCACTGAATGAACATTTCACAACAATAGAAATAGACAATATTATAGGTAATTAAGTCACCATGAAGCAAAGTGTAATCTAGGTATGCCTAATTCAATAGAACCATGTCATACTATTCTGTTAAAAGTGACCATTTTGTATCTGCAAAATAATGCCATTCTTATCAATTACATTCTATTTAAATGTTCACTTGAAATTTATGGTTTTTATTTATATTTAAGTGGTAAAGTTTTTGATTTTGTGTTATGTGTACATGGTTTGAGAGCTTCAAGTATTTAATAATAGGATATTATAATTTAGTCCAAATGGGGAATTGAGAGGATTGGTCTGTCTACAAACCATTACTTAAATTTGTAAAACCTTGACCAGGGAGACATTAGTAAGGCTAAAGATAGAAACATAAGTTTTGTGATTTAAAATAGAGGACATTTATTTTATCTAATTTTTAAATAAATAGTTTGAAACTGAATGTAACAGCATAAACTGTATATTATTTCTACTTGTCTTGTTAAGTTTGTGGTATTTGTATTTTTCTGCTTCTCCCAAAGGATGAAGATCTACAAGAGATGGAGGATTTAGCCCAAAAAATGGAGACTCAGTTTGGCCAGTTTTTTGATCAAGTGATTGTGAATGACAACTTGCAAGACGCATGTGCCCAGTTGTTGTCTGCAGTTCAGAAGGCTCAGGAGGAGCCTCAGTGGGTGCCAGCAACATGGGTTTCTTCTGATACTGAGTCTTAAGGGCTTCCCTTTAATGTTGGAGTTTTAACAGTGTTCATCTGTTACAGAGCTCTGGAATAGCTGCGAGCTAAAACAGTGTTTGCCCTATTATAATGTATGCAACTTTAAAAGTCCTGCAGTGTATTAATTAATCTTACTTGAAAAAATATTTGCACTATATGGTTATGCAGTTACCTATTTGGCTTTTAGGGAAAACATTTTTTTTCCTTTCAGTTTTCCTTTACTTTTACAGCAATTGGTAGGAATGTGAACAAAGTCAAGTCACTGAGTTTGAGAACCATTTATTGATTTCATATAGTCCTTGTACAATTCAGATAAAAAGAGCTTTTCTAAATAAAATAATATTTCATTTCAGAAACTGTATTTTATCTCAGGAAACTTGTTTTATGAAAATGGCTTTTACAAAGAGTGGTTACTTGACTACCTCAGTAAGAAAAATGGGTTAATATACACAATTCACATCTAACATCAAAACCTGTACACACTGCACTGCCCTCATCATTTTACACATTAGGCTACAAGAAAAAAGTATTCTGATCAGAGCTGTAGCGATCACTAATTTTCCTGAAAATCAATATCTACTTTTATGCTTAAATTAGGAGAGGGCAATGAATTTTAGTCCTAGAGACCAATATCTGAGCAAACCACAAGATGAGGATGTTACTCCAAGAAGTTTTTTCTTTCTTTCCCTCGGTCTGAGACTTCCAGTCGCTCTCCCTGCCCCGGTATCTACTGCGTCTTCTCCATATCCGCGCCATCCCTTAACTATAAAAGAGTGCATGCTTCAAAATATTTGCAGTTTTTTATTTAAAGCGAGTATCATCTTTCTTTAAAAAAAGAAACGAAATTTAAGTATTTTTGATGAAACTTATGTGAGGCCAGATCTGATTGTGCTTCGAGAAAAAAGGTGTCCCGAGGGTAAGTGACCGGAAAAAAATCACCTCCCCACCCCGCTTCCGAACTGTAACGTGGTCTTGGTGGCTAAGAGCGTGCGTCCCCGACTCTGAACCCTGGGAACTTCGGGTGGGGCGGAGGCAGGCGGACACCCGGTCCCGGGGGCGGTGGCCCAGTTAGGAGCCGCGAAGTCCCCGCCTCCGGCAGGTCCCGGAGGCCGCGGCGTCGCGGGGAGCCAGGCTCGGGCCCGCGGCGGTTGCGCCGAGGGAGCCCAGCCGCGAGAGCGCCATGAGGGACGACACGGCGATTCGGCTGGAGGATCACCCGGTGAGCGGTGAGGGGCGCGTCGGCCACGAGAGGTGGCCGGGGAGGAGGGTGCTGCCCTAAGGCAGCAGCTACCCCTGGGGCGGGGCCAACGCCAGCGCGCGGGGATCAGAAATGGGACAGCCTGGCCGGTGAACTTGCGCACGGACCCCCTTCGGTTCCAATAGCATTGGATTCGGGCGCGAACTGTAAATTCGTCCCAAGACCGGGACCCGAACCCCCGGAGCCAGGCGTGAAGTTTCCCGGGCCTGAGTGAATATGTTGCCATGACGACGCCTCCTCCCACAGCCGCTCGGGCCCCTGCTGGTTCTCGGCTGCCAGCGAAGTAATTCCAACTGACTCCTTCCGGTGAGCATTTACCCGCCCGGGAAAGAGATCGCTTTCTGCCAGCGGAGACTTTTAATCATGGTCTTCTGCCACGTTTCTCGAACAAATCACTTGCGAAACCATGGGGAAAACTGTGATTGCTACCCCACGCCTACTGGAATCTCTCCTCCCGGACTCCTCAGCCACGACGCCGACGCCCCCTTTCTGGCTGGGGTAGACCTACAGGCCCAGCAAAGGGCCGGTATCCGCCCCCACCTCGCTCCCACAGCTCTGGGAGCGAGTTGGGGGCCGAGCGCCTGGGCGACGCAGCCCGATGACGCATTGCGCCTGCGCGCGCGGCCGGCGGGGGCGGGCTTGAGCGCCGCCGGGGAGTTTAGAAAGAATGGGAAAGAAGCAGGTGGTAAGCGAGCCTTAGTTACTTTTAAGTTATTTGGATTTGGTGTGCAGTTGAACCATTCTACTTTCGAGGGACTAAAGTTTGGGTTTTTGGACGGGTGATTCGCAGTTTTTGCGGGACTTTTGAAATGTGGAGCTCTGTGAACTGAGCCTTGCACGGAACGCTATTCATAGCATCTTTAGAACAAAAGCGCTTTCATGTGACTATCGTACCTTCCTTGCTGTGATTTTGGTTAATGGGTAGTGTCAAGGCAGCCTGCCTTGCTTTCATCTTGTAGCATTTATATTAATACCCAGTTTAAACGAACGGATTGCTAAACGGGACAGCTGCAAAACCAAGTGCAAGAATGGCTAAAATTTAACCCTTTAGAATCAGTGTTCTTTGGAAGCAGCATGAGATACTTGGAACATTAAACCGATTTCTAGGCATTAATGTTAGTATTTTATTTTTAAAGGTTCCATAATGCTTAATTATAATCTCTCTGAACTGCAAACACAACTCTTCTTATTAATGTGAACCTGGCATGAATCCCCCCTCCCTCATTCTTCGTCCTGTATTCAGAGCGATCTTTTTAAAAAGTATGTTACTGTGTGGCTTAAAACCTCCTTTGGCTTCCTACTGAATCAAAACAAAATCTAGATTCCTTCCCTCCGTCTTCGGGACCCTAATTAATTTGGACTCTGCCTGCCTACCTCTCCTTGGTAACTGCTGCAGTCTTACTAGCCTTTTGCTCGGAACACTCCAAGTCCAGTCTCCCCTAAAGGCTTTTGTATTTCTTTCCTTTGTCAAAAATGTAAGCTCTTCTTTCAGTTCAGTTCTCAGCTCAGATATCAAAGAGACTTTCCATAATTAAAGTAGTAGCCCTCATCCACCCTCATTTATTTCTATATATATACACCAACACTATCTGCTAATACTCAACCACTAGGATGTAAAATTTCATGAAAGCAGGGTCTCTTCGTTTTGTTCACTAATATTTCCTTAGTGCTTAGAACAGGGCCTGGCCTGTAGATAAAAAGGAACACAGAAAGGAAGGAATTGTATATGAAATTTAGAATAGGTATATGAAATTTAAATATTGTCCACTTGAATCTCATCAGTACTTCTTGGATTTCACTGATGAGCAGGGTAATCAAAAGATTGGAACTATCTGGAGTAAAGATGCTCTAGGCTTTTACTTATAAGTAATTTTCTTCTTTCTTCCATAGCGTCCTCCACGAGCCCTTCCACCTGTGCCAAGGTAAAAGTAATTTACAGTAATTTTATTATTGAGTTTTTAAAATGCAAAAATGAATAAAGTGAAAAATTAACTACCATTGTAAAACTAGTATTTCAGAAAAGACTTCTTGAAATTTTTAGGAAAAGGCTTCTTAACAGTTTAAAGGTGAAAAATCCTTGAATCATTAGGGTAACTATTATAATTAAATATTCTGTTTCAAAGCCTGAATGTCAACATGGCAGAGTGATGGATCCATTCTGAATGTTTTAAGTGTCTTGTTTCTTAGAATTCCAGCCTTCTTTTGTTTGCTAGAATAGTTCCTTCAGAGTTTAAGCTGTTTTTAATCAGTGACAAAGTAAGGGTCTTAATCTGTTTAATCTACCTTATTAACAGATAGTATGGAATATGTACATGTAGATTCAGAAAATATTGGGGTTTTATTAGCAGTTTTATTTAAAAAGATTATTATTTGTAAATAAACTAGTTTATAAACTAGTAGACTGTGTGAAAGCTAATTTTATTTTAGATTTGTAATGATTTAAGTCAGTTTTCAGTCTGGCTATATAATAGATTTCTCATTAATAGAATTTTATTTTTTGTCTTTGCCCTGATTAAATTTGGTCGGTGTCATGTAAAGTGATATTCAAGGTGAGTTAGTTCACTGTTAATGTAAAACTTTCTAATTATAGTATTTGATGTTTAAAAGTTTAATTTATTAATGTTTCTCTTAAAATTGAATCTGAATGGTATACCTTATAATACTGCAATATCTTTTTATGATAATAATCTATGGCTATTCTTTTTAAATGACAGTTAATAACACTGTTATATGGTTGATATTTGACCTTCATAATATAATAAAAATATAAAAGGACCTATCCCTGAGTGAAGTCACCCAGATCATAGCTCTTGGCTCATTTGTAATTTTGTCTTAGAGACTGCATCTTCCTTTGTCTCATTTAGTCAGGATAGTCTGGATTATGCTATACTAAGCCCCAAATCTCAGTGCTTTAATGCTATACAGGGTTATTTCTGGTTAATGCAAAGCCCATTGTGGCAGCAAATCAGGGCATTTGCCTGTTACCATCTCTTCACTAACGATGCAGTGATTCAGTCTATTTCCATCTTATTGTGAGGTATCCCCAGTTGCCACCGCAAGGGAAGAGAAAGCTGGAGGGTTTACCACTGGCTCTTTCAGTGTTCTGGCCTCCAAATGACACAGATCACTTCTTTCACAGCCTGCTGGCCAGAACCAGTCATAGGACACACCTAAGTGCTAGGGGGCTGGGAAATGTAGGGGATCAGATGACTATTTGGTAAGCACACTTTATATATCACAGTTTCTAACTGTGTCCAAGTCCCTTTGACTTTTTCATTTTCTTGCCTTCTTCCCCTGAAGTGTAGATGTTGGCTGGATTCAGAGAAGAGAGGGAAAGATCTTCCCTAAAAGTTCCCTTTTGGATGTTCCCTGCATAGAATTTTAGGCAGTCTTTTGTGTTGTTCTTTTTGTTTTATAGATGACATTCCACTTAGTCGTCCTAAGAAAAGGAAGCCAAGAACAAAAACCACACTAGGTAAGAAGTTGTTCTTTGTTGCATGGAATCACAAGGTTTCCGGGACTTCAGGCATGATCAATATCACAGATCAGGGAGAGACAAGTCACAGCTGCACTGAGGATAGAATCAAGGTCACCTTGAAGCAGTGGGATTCCTGGTGGTGGTGAGGGACAAGACAGCAGGCAGCCTGAAGAGTATCTAAAAGGATTCGTAAAATAAAGGGTTGTGCCACCAATACTCTTACTTCTACTATATCCTTCGACTCTTGGAAGTCTTTAATTCCTAGACAGCATAAGTTGTCTAAAGCTATGCTTGGTTTCAGAACCCTGAACAGGATACTGGATGTAGAGTCACAAGGCTCTTGGGTATCTCATTTTAGTCAGAGAAATCTCTATTTTAGAGCACGAGTCTGAAGGCAGGGCCTTGCCATCCAGGTATTAGAGTTCCAGTAATGTGCAAGTTCTATGAACTCCTTTTTTTTTAGTTATCCCCTACTCATCCTGGATGTTCTGTCAATAACTCAGACTCGCATATTCAGAATTCAACACCTTTCACAATAAATCAATTTTTACTTTTCACTCACAAATTCCTGTTAATGGAACCCATCACTTCCCAGTCACTCAGTTTGGAAACCTCAGGGTTGCCTCTAACTGGTCCCTTCCTTCTACTATGGCATCTTTTACGTCTCTTTTTCCCCTTTCATTTCCACTGTCGCAGCTGTAGGTAGCTTAGCTCCTTTCCTCTTCTAACCTGAGCTATTGTGGTTGCCTCCAATATTGTGTTTCCAGCTTTCCTTCACTCTATTTGGTCATGTCTCCACTGCCGGGTGAGCTTCTTAAAGCTCATAGCTGATCATACCTTACACTTGGTCAGAAACTTATTTTGGCTTATTATTGATTTCCTAGCAAATGGAGGAATAAATGGAGAAAAAGAAAGAAATGGAGACGGATACGTAGAAAGAGAAAAAGACATAGACACAGATAAAAAGAAAAAAGATGCAAAGAGACTTAGATTCACAAAGATACTGAAATGCTAGGCTTTAAAATGCACTCACAGTTAAATACAGACTTGTACACCTGGACTTAGGAAGGCTGCAGGTAGAGAACACAATAAAGACGGAGTGTGGAGCAGAGATCTGGCTCTGTCCCGGCTACCAGCACTTCCTTCTTGTAAAAGTCAGTGCTCTAGACATCAAAGGGGATATGTTGTTAGATTATTGAAACTGTTCATTTTGATTATTTCAAATTTTTCACTTCTCTACTTTTGCAGTCCTAAAATAGTGGGTGGTGGGGAAGAACTGTTTTCGTAGGATGGGTTGCTAGCAGTGAAATTGCTAGAGAAAGGACAAGTGCATTAGTAATGTGATAAGATTCTGCTGTTGCCTTCAAGGAAGCTTTAGTTAGTTATCGCCACCAACAGAGTTTGAGCGTCACATTTGCTAAATCCTTGACAACATAGGACAGTATCAGTCCTCTAAATTTTTTCTGTCAATCTAATGGGCAAAAAGTACTTATTTTAGTTTTCATTTATCTGAATTATGATGAAGTTAAGCATAGTTTTATTTGTTTATTAATAATTTATATTTCTTTTTTTCTGAAGAAGATGGACAAGATTGTGAATGCAGTCGAGTGAAATTCAAATCTGCCAAAATATGTCAAAATCTGTTCAAAGACATGATGAGGGAAGACATTGAAATTAATGACCAAATGAAGAGATTTATAAATTATCTGTTAACTCCAATTATCCATGATGACATTATCATCTGTTCATTTACTAATAAAGTACTAAACTATAGAGAGGCTAATAATTCTTAAGGCATAAGACAGATAAGAGGGTTCTCTATGGTGACAGTTTCTATTATGTTTTTACCTTGTTGAAATTCTGAAGCAAATTCTCCACCTCTCTTCTTTTGTTTTTCTTCCTAACTTCCCCAACCCCCTCCCCCATCATTTTCTTCTTCATTTTCCCTCGTTCCCTCATTTATTTCCTTTCTCAGCTTAAAACCTGAAGTTACAGGTGAGGTGGAAGGAAATCAAGATTTGGGGCATAATCAGTTCTCTAGGAGAAGGGGTTATTATGTAGGAAACATTCCAGTTCTTTTTCCATCTTTTGAAAACTCAGTGATCTCTGCTCATGTTATCCCATTTTTTTTCACTCTATTTGTGTAGCAAGTGCTTCTTTGGAAGGCCTTGTTCAGACTGCTATTCATAGGCAGCCTGAGAGCATTGAGTCAGCAGCTAAAGAACCCAAAGAGCACATAGAAGCTCCTGTTCAAAGAAGACAGAAGAAGACAAGGCTACCTCTTGGTACGTAAAAACACAGGGTTAGGTTGTGAAAGCAGTTGTGATTTTGGGTGTATTATTAAAAACCTGTCCATTCCCATTTTTTTTCCTACCCATATCCATTTTGTTTTTCCTTTTTGCTTAAAATGTTTATTACTAGAGTAACTCTAATGGGTTAAGTCAAGACCACTTTAGAGGGCCTTTTTTGATCATATGTGTGTAGATTTTAAAGGAAATGGTGCAAATTCAGGATTCAGAAAATTTAGATCTTGATATGTATAAGAATTTAGTATATGATGAAACGGACATTTGATATTAGTGGGGAATGATTAGATTCTCTATTAACAATTATATAATAAGGCAACATCCAACATTTATTGAGTTTTGCTACTGTTCACAAGGTAAATGATACTGTATCGTTTATTTTGCCTATCAAAATGGCAGTGCTTTTTAAAACTTAAAAAATCCAAAAGTATTGATGAGAAATGGGAACATTCGTATGCTGTGGATAGGAGTATACATTGGCATAGCCTGTTTGAATTTATTGGAATAGAAGTAACTACAATAGCTTCAGTAATTAAAGGATGTTAACTGTAATATTATTGATAAGTAGAAACTAGTAATGCCAAACATTTAACAATGTGATCCTGGCTAAACAAAACATTTTATCCATTTAATAGAAACTAAGTATCCACTTAACAGGATTGTCAAAGTGATATAGTGACATGGAAAACCATCAGTAATATATTGCTGAGTCAAAAACAAAGGTTATAAAATAGTATGTGTCAGAAGATCCCATTTTGTAAAATAAGTTATACTAATTCTTAGGGCTGCTGTAACAGATCACTACAAACTGGGTGACTTAAAACAACAGTTCTGGACGACAGAAGTTCAAAAGCAAAGTGTGCACATGGCTAGACTCCCTCCCAAAACTCTAAGAAAGAATCCATCCTTGCCCCTTCTGACTTCTGGTGGTTCCTAGCAGTCCTTGGCTAATGACAGCATCACTACATTCTGTGTCTCTTGTCCTCACATTTTTCCATGTGCGTCTCTCTGTTGAATTATGTAATTTTTTTCCATATATTTTAACATTGCAATTTCAAATTTTTGTTGTGTATTTGAAGGTATAAAATTTTTAAAATAAAAACTGTGTAAGATGCTAAAATTTTTTTTGCCCAATTAAATTTTTTACTGTTCTCTTGTATTACAAAAGCCTGTACATTATTTTTCTTTTTACATTATAATACTTAAAATATTTAATTTACTTTTTTTCAGAATTGGAGACTGCCTTTACCCAGAGAACATCTAGTCCATCTTTATTACAAAATGAAAATGGTGTTGATGTGGAGCCAGCTGAGGAGCCAGTTATTCAAAAACCTCGAAGGAAGACAAAGTAAGAATTTATTTGATGTTCTAAATATTCTTCAGGGACACTGTGATGTTTAGTCTGGAGCTCCCAAACAATAGCTTCTGATTAGGTCCTGTGAATACTTGTAGATGTATATCGCCAGGATAGGTTGTATTACACAAATATCAGTTAAACCAATCTAGTAATAAGTTTGAAAAGTGTAAACCACCGAGAAAAGTAAAATATTGTACTTAAATAAAAATTCTTAGGAGCTGTCTCTAAAAAAGAGTAACACAAATATAACATTTTATATAAGTAGCAAAAAATTACATATTAAAGATATTAAAATTAAAGGTACTATTAATAAAATATGTGATTATAATTTATTTTCTCATGTTAACAGAATTCAAATTATGATTATTTCAGCAAAAAGTAAAAATGTGTATTTTTAGCATGGGAAATTGTGTCAGATAAAATAGTATAGCATACTTTAGAGAAGTACACTGGAAATTATATAACACTATTATTTGTATTTAGATATGTCCCTATAATTAGTAGTGAGTGTCTATATAAAATGATATAATTTTAAGTCTGAAAAGAACCTTACAAATCTAGTTCAGTCACTTCATTGTCCAGAGGAGAAAACTGAGGCCCAGAGAAATATAGATGGCTTGCTGCACATGACAGTTAATGACTGATTTGTCTGAGTAAAATCCAGATTTTTCCACTCAAAACCTAGGGCTCTTTTCACTCTACTCACAGGTATCTCCTTATGTGGGTCTGTAAATATTCAGTAATTCCCCATTTTTTTAATATTCTTCCTGATTACAGGAAAACACAGCCAGCAGAATTGCAGTATGCCAATGAGCTGGGAGTAGAAGATGAAGACATAATTACTGATGAACAAAGTGGTCCAGAGCAACAGTCTGTATTCACTGCACCCACTGGCATTAGCCAGCCTGTAGGCAAAGTGTTTGTGGAAAAAAGCCGTAAGTTGTTCCTTGTTTTGGAACATAGGATATCCTTTGATCTAGGAATTACTCGTCTAGAAATCTGAATTAAGGAAATAAGCAAAAACAGGGACAAAAATTTATACACAAAACTAATCATCACACTGTTACTCATGAGAATGAAAAACTGGAAATAACCTAAATATAAAAGAGCATAGGAATAGTTTCAGTAAGGTATGCTTTATCTATACAATAAACTCTGCATCATCCAAAACAATGTTTAGGGGAGAATTTTACATTTTGTGGAAAGATTCTAATGAAAAATAAACATACACACACATATACTTTGATCTCAACTATAGAATGCATAGGACAAAAGACTAGAAGGAAACATGCCAAAGTATTAATGCTGGTTGTTTCTGGGTTATGGGATTTTGGGTAATTTTAAAAATCTCCCCTTACCCTCCACCCATTTCTTTCTTTGTTTTATTTTACCAGTCTTCTGCAGTTGATAGTGGTGTTGTTGGTGGGGCAGATATTGATATATATTCTTAATTAAAAATAAATGAGAGAACATATATGATATTACTACCCTATTAAAAAAATGCAACATTATAGCCATATATTCTTTTGGAAAACAGTTCTGATGTTATGTAGCATGCACTGGTTATAAGGCTGCATTTGCAATGTTTTAAGAAAAACTTCTGGGAAGTATGGTCATGACCACATGCTCCTCCCATGGGCATGCCATATGCTATGAGTATACTGCCTAAAGAACTCATCTGAGGCAAAGATCAGTCCTTGAAATTTGCAATTTAGATTTTATGTGAGTTGTTCTAAAACTGTGTCTCTGCAACCACCTGAGGGACCTTTGCCAGTGAGAAACCTGTGAGCTAGAGAGGCTAACTGACTTACCCAGGGTCTCACAGTTGATTAGTGCAGACCTGGAGCTCAGGGTTTTATGACTTCCAGTCAAGCGCTTTTATTAGCATACCATGTGGCCACTTAGTTTATTTTACTTCAAGCTATTATCAAGCAGTATCCCTTATTCGTTTTTATTCTTGCTTCCCTTAGCACAGAAACTTCCTTACTAGAGTAACTGGCCATAAAAAATACTAATTGTCTAGAAGTTGTCCTTGCTTAAGGGAAATTAGGTGATGCACCTCTGCCTTTGTTCTCCAAAATACCTGGTGGCCAGGTTTGGCAAGCACAACTGAAATGGAACCTTTGCTGCTGCCTGAGGTCCGTTTGTGGATTGGTAAATGTCTGAGAAGGGGCCTCCTTGGCAACAGTAAAAGGGTAAAGCTCTGCTCACACAGTGTTGCAGCGCTGACACTTGACTGATACTTTTCATAGGGATCTCCTTAAAAGAAATTTATGAAACAACCCATTTCTTTTCTGCCATCACAGGACACTATGCTACATACGCTGGTATCTTTTCCTAAGAAATGTAAAGTGTTTTCAAATATTGGCTTATCTTTATTTGGTTGACACTTGAACTCCAGTCCTAAAATCTCTAAATCAGAATATTTTAGACTTTGTCAGGTTAAAGGTTTCTAGATGTTTTTCTTATTTGGTAGTTCATTATTGTAGTTCGTTAAATATAATCAATTTCCAAAACTATTACATTTCAACATCATTTTGGTTTGAGAAGAAAGCACAAGGACATTGTTTATTTTCCCTAAAGATGAAAAAAGCACTGTGTTTGCAACTGAAAGAAAAGAGCCTTATGAAATAAGAACCGAGTGAAGGAGGGATTTTAGAGGGAAAAAAACAGCAAACTTTTGTACTCTATCTAAGGCTCCTTAGGTATGGAAGAATAATAATAATAATAAAAAGAATATCAGGGTTCTCTCTTGTTAATTGATTATTGTGTAATGTGTTCTTAGGGCGATTCCAGGCCACCGATCGTTCAGAGTTGATAAAGACCACAGAAAACATAGATATGTCAATGGACATGAAGCCTTCCTGGACGACCAGAGATGTTGCACTTTCAGTGCACCGAGCTTTCAGGTGGCTGCTTTTGTTGGACTTTTCTTAAAACAAGCATATATATATGTATATTTATTTATCTTAAAGTGTTGATTGTTCAGCACTGGTAAATAATCTGCCTTCAGTGTAATAAAAAGAGAAGTCTTGTTTTTTTATTTTTTGTTAACTGGCAAATTTTATTCTTTCATGAATAGATTGTACAAATATTTTAGCTTTTTACTTTAGTAATTCATGAATACTAATAAAACCCTTCTCCCTTCAGGATGGTTGGTCTCTTTTCTCATGGTTTCTTGGCTGGCTGTGCTGTGTGGAATATTATTGTGATATATGTTCTAGCAGGAAATCAGCTTTCTAACCTCTCGAATCTTCTGCAACAATACAAGACCTTAGCATATCCATTCCAGAGTCTTCTCTACTTGCTTTTGGCTCTAAGTACAGTTTCAGCTTTTGACAGGTAAGACTGTTATGACTATAGATCCTGCTAACTTTTCTTCAGGAGGAAATGTTGAGCAAAATCTGTCACTGACAGTTTTCAAAACAGAATTATAGGATATTAATATTATTTTGACTTATTTTTAGGCCAGTCTGTTTTTGTTATTTTGTGGGGGTGCAGAGTGGTTATACCGTGGGAAAAAAATAACCAAAAGTCTTAACTCATTTCAGCATCAACTCTTAAGTTCAAAATTTCTTCCAAATAAAATCTAAATCATCTGAATCAGGTACAGATGAGAGTTTGCATATTGTCTCAGTTTCTTATGGTTGTTGTTACAAATACAACAAACTGAGGGGCTTAAGACAATAACAATTAATTCTCTCACAACCGGAGGCCAGAAGTCTGAAATGAAGGTGTCAGCGAGGTCAGTTCCATTATGGAGGGCTCTGAGAGAGACTATTCCATGCCTCTCTCCTAGCTTCCAGTGGTTGCTGGCAATTGTTGATGTTCCTTAGCTAAGAGATGCATCACTCCACTCTCTGCCTCTCTTGTCACATGGCATCCCCATATATCTTTGTGTCTGGGCCTCTTCTCTCTCTTTTTTAATCATCATCTGAAGATACGGTTTTTATTGATTTGAGAGAGAGAGGAAGGCTGAGAGAGAGAAACATTGATTGGTTGCCTCCCATACACTCTCTGACCAGGGATCAAATCTGCAACCCAGGTATGTGTTGAACTAGGAATTGAACCTACAACATTTTGGTGTGTGGGGCGATGCTCCAATCAACTGAGTCACCCAACCGGGGCAGTGTATCTCCTCTCTTTTAAGGACACCAGCCATTTTGGATTATGGCCCATTCTAATAGCCTCATTTAACTTGATCAAATCAGTAAACACCCAATTTCCAAATAAACTGTAGTTACTTAAGGCTTAGTAAGAAACAATAAATGCAATGGCATCAGAATAGAGAAGGAAACACTACAGTCAAGAGAATACAGTTTTGTAAGAGGTTTACAGTTGCACTGTGACAAAAGACTTTTGTATTTTCTAGGATTGACTTTGCCAAAACATCAGTAGCAATCCGAAATTTTCTTGCCCTAGATCCAACGGCTTTAGCATCTTTCTGTGAGTAAATAGTTTAATTTGACAACTGTGTTATACTTGAGTTACATTGTACTTTTGAATACGGAAAAGTTTTATTTTTAAAAAGCTTTTATATTATTGATATTCAGTAGAATTTGTAATTGAAAAAACATGGTAGGCATAATTTTGATTAAAGTATTTTTCAATAGAGGTTGAACTAAATAACTTAAAAGTTAATTTGTTCTATATTAAGTAATATTTAAATTGTATTTTCTACTTCACATTAAACAGACAGCTGGCATGAGATTTCAGTAATATATAATATTTATCTTTTGGATAATTTGGAATATATTTTCTAAGTTATGAAAATAAATATTTTATTAGTTATAAAACTAATAAAAATAGTTTTAGGACTTTGAGTCAGTTACTTAATTTCTTAAAAGGTATTCTAGGTTCTAGTCAGTTCTAATGATGGAATAGTGAGCACCTCAAAAGACCCTTCTGTGTTCTTGAAAAATAATCCAGCCTGTTGAAATTGATCAAATGGATTTCTTCTGTATCATTATTCCCTAAAGTACAGATTATTTTTTACCTTAAAGTAATCTCTAAATTCAAAATAAACTTGGCTGTTAAAAATACATTGTTAGTAATGTCATTTATCTTTTTTTTAGTGTACTTTACTGCACTTACACTATCTCTGAGTCAGCAAATGACAAGTGACAGAATACACCTTTACACACCGTCTTCTGTTAATGGCAGCCTCTGGTAAGATTCGCAGTAGCACTGGCAATTGTTGATGGTAATAACAGCAGTTATGGGAGTAATGGTGGTAATAACAGCGATAATGGGAGTAACAACAGTGATAACTGGAGTAATGAGCAGTGATAATGGGAGTAATAACAGTGATAGTGGGAGTAACACATATATGTAAAAGAGTGGAAGGATTAGAGTGGTATCCTGATCTATAAAAAATAATAAAGGCCCTGTTTTTGTCTCCAAAATTGTGGCAAGAAAGTAACTATTCCAAAAGAAAAAAGAAAAGAACTATTCCATTGGTTAATGGATGACTATTGTTATGAACGCTTGCATTTTTAATGAAATGTCTTCTTTTTACAAATCTGTTTTAAATCCCTTAAGTTACAGTTTTAAAATGCGTCATTACACAATGAACTGGAAGAACCCTGCACTTTCACCCCCAATCCGCAGCCTAAAACCCCAGAATGGTGATGGGAGTGAGGAGCTGGGATAGAGTAGGAAAACCAAGCCGTGCTAGGACAGCAGACTAGGGAGCGCCAGCCTCCACACATCAGTGGCCAGCCGTCCAGTTCACAAAACTCAGAGGGGCAGTCGTTTTTGAGAGAGTGGCTAGAAGCATGAGGTAAAGAGAGAAAGACCAGCGACTTCATGAAGAGTAAGTAACAACATAGTAGTTGGAAGGTAAACTTAAAAAAAAATTTTGGCAACACTGAAATTCTGTTTATGTCAGTGTACGAAGCAGATCTGTTTAGAATTCAGTAACCTTTGAACCTTTGTCCTCATGATATATACTCATATGGTGTATTTTATAGGATATCATTTTACTTCATTCTTGTTATCTCTGTCGATGAAGACTACTGTTTTTTAAGTTAATAAATGGATATATTTAGAGATATGAACAAAAATGGAGACATTAATAATGAGTATTTCTGTCCTTCAGGGCAGCAGGAGTGGAGGAACAGGTTCTCCAGCCATGGATCATGGTGAATCTGGTGGTGGCCGTTCTGGTTGGATTATCTTGGCTTTTTTTGTCTTATAGGCCAGGCATGGATCTTAGTGAAGGTATTAAAGAACAAATAGTATGAGTGTATCATGAAATCCTCTATAATGATTTTAGAAATCTTTTAATGGCTATAGTTTATAATATTGTGAAAGCAAAGACGTAGTTAAAATAACTACATGACAACAAACTGGTGAGACAGATGCTGAGACAAGCAGGGAGGAGTGTCTAGGAGAGTGGGAACCTCAAAGAACTGAATGAGGGCCTTCTGTGGCCCTGGCGCCTATTTAGGGTTTGGTTGGTTGGTTGTTTTTTAACCCTTTGGGAATTTTATAGAAAGTCTTAGCTCTTCATTTCTCCCACTCTCCCTTCAATCAAAGTATCTATTATATTTTGTTTTAATTTTTATTACAGTTTACTTTCAATATTATTTTGTATTAGTTGCAGGTATACAGCACAGTGGTCAATCATAGACTTCACAAAGTCAAAATATCTTTTAATTTGAAATAAATAATCCTTCATGTATGTAGCCTCTGTCAGATGCATATTAGAGTGAATTATTCTTACCTCTTTTTCTCCGTGGAACAAATTCTTAACCTTTCATTGTCTAATAAAGTGTTTAGTAACCTTATCTCTAGTGCGACCAGTGTGCAGTAAGATTTACTAATCTCTAGTTCTCAGACCCCTTTTGGAGCCGCTGAGGGAGAGGAGCCATATTAGCAAACCGCTAGTTCTTCAGCACTGCTTTAGGAACTGCTTGCTATTTGTCTTGTAAGTTGTATTTCATTGGCAGATGTTCCACAGTTTCACACTTGAATCTCTATGGTATTTTCTGGACTTTGGTTAGTATTATGTTTTTGATTGTTTAACATTCTGAGCATTTAACTGCACTTTGACCATCTAATTACAAACTCTCTCAGAAGTCACAACTGAGACCCTTCCCAGCACTTCCAGTTGTAAAAACCAAGACAAAAAATACACTCTTGTATTTTCATTTATGAATGTATCTTTTTGTATCATTGTTCTTATGTTGCTTCATTTCTTTTGATATATGTAAAGTATTTTTAAAAATCTTCTTAAGGTTTATGTATTTTGCTGTTTTCTTTCATTTGATCATTCAAATATTTATTTCCTCTAATACTTAGATCAGAAAACTGATCTAAGGTTCCTCAGGTTTTCTTTTTTAATATTTGTTGATATTTTAATAAATTACATATATATGCTAGTAACAGTTTAAATGTAGAAATGTCAACTAATAACATTCTATACTGTAGCTGGGATTGATCTGGCTTATGCAGTATTCAGTCTAAATCACAAGGTGTGTGTTACTTACAAAATATTTACTGAATCCTCTCTTTTTGGGCCATGGGAATAATATAACATTGTATTTCCATGTGGATAAAAAGTAAATATAAAGTCAGGATGAAATATGTCACTCATAGAGCCATTATGGTGATTAATTGGGAGGACACATTTAGGATATTCTGGCACACGCTTCATTTGTTAGTTCCATGTCCTTCCCCTACATCTGTCCCCTACATTTGAGGCCGTCGTGATCACTGCAGAATTAGACATTTCAGCTGTTTGATGATCCTGTATTCTCCAAGTGATTAAATTTCCTGGTGAACGTTATTATACTCTCTCCATTATATATGCTTTATTTTTTAGGGATTGACTACATTTAAAACTTGAAAATTTTTATTTTTACTTTTTGAAAAATTTTAAATGCAAAACTTATACGTTTGTCATTAGCTCACCTTTTAAATCAGATTTTACTATCAAGAATTCTTGTACTTGAGGGCTTTCAATTTTTATTATTTTGATATTTTAAACTGGAAAACTCTTTTTGAGTTACTGGGAAACCATTTTAAATATGGTCTGTTCATTTTCTCTTCCAGAGTTGATGTTCTCCTCTGATGTGGAAGAATATCCTGATAAAGATAAAGGAATCAAAGCCTCTTCATAATGCCAACTCACCTTCAGAGGAATAATAACTCAGTATTTAGAATTTTTCTCATTCTTGTTTTTAAATATATTTTTGTAAGATATGTACAGGTGTATTTGGAATTGATTTTTTGATTATATAATACTGAAAAAATTCTCAAGATTATGGAAAATGTTAAAATTGTATCTGCAATTTATACGTAACATTAATATCAATAGCATTATTGTCTTTTTTTTTGAATTGTGACTTTTTTTCTTTTTTTAATTATTTTTTTATTGTTCAAATACATTTGTCTCCATTTCCCACCACCACTCTCCCCTACCCCACCCACCCCCACCTCCTACGCTCAATCCTTCCCCACTTTGGCGTTGTCCATGGGTCCTTTATACATGTTCTTGATTTGACCCTTCCCCTTCTCTTCCCCATTACACCCATTTCCTCCTTCCCTCTCGTTACTCTGTTTGTTTTTTTCTTTCAATGTTGCTGGTTATATTTTTCTTGTTTGTTTTGTTGATTAGGTTCCACTTATAGGTGAGATCATATAGTATTTGTCTTTCATCCCCTGGCTTATTTTGCTTAGCATAATAGCATATTGTCTTAATGACAAAGGAGATAATGAACTAGAAACCAGTAGGTGAAAGTGTTTTTTTCCTGTTCTCTCAAATTAGGTGCATTTATAATCATTAATTTAAAAAGCAGTAATACAGAAAAAGCCGTAACTTTAATGGTACAAAAGATGTATCAGGTTTAAACATAAATTTAGGGAATAAGGGAAAAGGAAAAAAGAGTCCTTCATTATTTATTTTTGATGTCTCCTTTCTGAACTAATTGAAATATGAAATTTGTCTTTTTTTTTTGAAACTGACTTAATGGTTGTGTATCATGTAATAAGTATAATGTAATGTAATTTAGCTTGAAAGATGCTTCACTTTTTGGCTAATAAAAAGAAAATATATCTTTTTCATTTGAAAAGTTTTTTAACCGAAAAAGTTTAGTTCCCTTTTAAACCTGTATCAGTGGTTCCCATAGCTGATTGCAAATCAGACTCATATAGGGAACTTTAAAAAAACAATATAACAAAAGAGAAGCTGAGTAGGCCAGCGCACAGGGAGAGAAAGGAGAGGCCAAGGAAGCTTGTTGAGCTAACACTCAGTTGACTTCTGCAGAACCCCTTCCCCTGCCTCCATTTTTGCACGACAAGAAGTATGAGTAGAAATTCACTGTACCTATTCTCAAGCTCTTGTCAGATCTTTGATTCTTGAAATTCCACACTTGATGTGGGTCCTGCACTGGAAAAGGTCTCTTTGGAGCTGTATCCAGTGGTGCCTCAACTGTTATGAAACCCTAGGGCTCAAGATAATAAAAAAACTCTGGGGGAAGGTACAAAGCTCAAAGGCTCTGGAATTCATCAGTGAAACTATTGTGCTAGCCCTGAGTAGCAAGCAACTGAATGTTTTAGAACAGAAGAGGATTGAGAAATTGATGATAGAGAGGGATGTCTGAGAACAGGTCTGATTTTGGTTTAAGCATCATAGCAGGAGTATTTTGCTCTCTGTAAGGCTGGAGTAGCCGAAAAGGGACTTTCCCCTGCTGTCAGAACTGAATCCACTGGCAGGCTGCCATTTCCAGCTTTCACTGTGATCAGCGATAGCCTTCATGCTGGCAGCGAGCTGGTGGTGCAGGAGTTCATGATCCTTCTCGTCAACAAACTCCAGGGAAGCCATGCTCATTAGAACTGAGGCTCACCACACCTGAACACTGTCTTCAAGGAAAAATATGAGAAAACCAACGTGGGGGATTGTGGTAGGCTGAATAATATCTTCCAAAGCCTTCCATGTTCCAATTTATGGAACCTTAGCTGGCAAAAGGGATTTTTGCAGATGTGATTAAGGTTGTGAACCTTGAAATAGGGAGATTATCCCATATTATATAGTGGGCACTGTGTAATCACATGAGTCCTTAAACTTCCATTAGCATATGATGGTGAAAGAAGGGTCAGAGCATTGTGATGTTGCTTGCTTTGAAGAAGGAGGAGGGGGCTACAAGCCAAGGAGTGTGGGTGACCTCTAGAAGCTGAGAACAGCCCTTGGCTGGCAGCCAGCAAGGAGATGGATATGAGCTCCATCCTACATCTTTAAGGAACAGAATTCTGCCAACATCCTGAAAGCAAGGAAACAGACTCTTCCCTACGACTCCCAGAAACGAATTCAGCCCCGCTGATACCTTGGTTTTAGCCTGGTGAGACTGGTGTCAGATTTTTGACATATAGAACCGTAAGATAGCAAATGTGTGTTGTTTCAACTACTAAGTTTGTGGTAATTTGTTATGGCAGCAAAAGAAAGTTAATACAGGGTTGAAAGGAGTTTTGGTCCCAGCATTTTAGAAAATAGAGACGCTCTAGAGCTGCTGTGAATGCCATTGGGAAGCTAGCTACATTGATAATACTGTAACCAGTGTAGGCATAGTTGCCTTTGAATTTTCTAAGTCTTGGAAGTATGATTTGGTCTTTAAATCTCCTGAGTAACTGGTAGACCTGCACAAATTTTCATCAGGGAAAACCCAGCGGTGTCTATCAAAAAACCTTTGGCCATGATGACAGGGAAAGTTGGAAGAAGTTAATTGCTCATGTATATTTGCATGATTGGCTTCAAATCATGTTCCTCACCTTTCTCCTCTCATTAAGTGAGGATAGAGTGATATACTTAGTAGAGCTACTGAGGTGTCAACAGACAAGATCCCCAGTGAAGTTTTTAATTTTTTTTAGTGTGCAAAGTAAAGTGTTCAGTAATTAATACCTGCCTCTCTCCACTCCTCCCAAGCAGAACAAAATATATAGGCTTCTTGGCCCCATCCCCAGAGATTCAGATTCAGTAGATCTGAGATGGTGCCTGGAAAGCTACCTTTAGAAAAAGGCACCCCAGGTGATTGTGATATAGCAAAGTAGACCTGAGGGCATTTGGGACCTCTGGCTTATTTGCAATCTATTATGAAACATAAAGCTTGGATTGAGATAGATGATTTGATCTTAAATTGCTAAGCCTGTGTGTGGGGGAAAAAAAGGAAAACATGGTAACTGCCTTTTAGGGGCTTATAATCTAGCCAGAAGACAGGTATGGGAGTTGAAGACTCTAGGAAAGAATTGTAATTACAGATTGAATCATAAGGGATGTAATCTTTTGACATTAGATTTTTCCATTCAGCATAATTCCCTGGAGATCCATCAAGGTATTCAACTAGACTGCTGGAAATATAACACCGGGAACTCGGGGATAGTGAAAGCAAGTGATGATCCATATTGTAAATCTCCCAGAAAGAACTGGTGCAGGGAGGAGGGCCCATGATGGGTTAGGAGGCAGACCAGAAAACGAATTACGGTGATCAATCACTGTGCTTGAGCAGCCTGGCTGCTCACCAGCATGTCCTGACTTCCTTCCAGGGGAACCTGAAATGACCCTCTGGGCTCACTAAGCTCGCACGCCCCCAAAGCCCGCCCTGTACAGGAGCCGGCCCTACACGTGAACATCACGCAGTGTTGTACGTGTGTGCGTGGGGCGGGGGAGGTTGGAAGTGGGTCGGGTGAGCGCGGGAAAAGCCGTGAGAGGGCCGCGCCTGCGCAGTAGCCCGCCGTCGTCGGTTAGGCAGAGACCCTCCGGGCAGAGGATGGAGGGAAGGATCCTCCCCAACAGATGACCAAGGTTTCCAACACGGCTGATAACCACGGTGGGCGGGTCCATTCCCTGTTCAGGGCCCCTACGGTCAGCGGAGTTCCCGTACCTGCCTGGAAAGCACGCACATCAGAGGATCGGAGTTCTGTTCAGTCCGTCACTTCCAGGAGTTGGTAATAACCACGGGCCTGCCTGAGGACCAGGCCAAGGAGGGCACTGGGCGCTGCCTGATCGACGTGAGTGTCCCCCCGCCCACCAGGGGAGCCTGTCCCTAACCCGACCACCTAGAGGGCCAGGGAAGGGCAAAAGGGTCAGTGCATGAAGATGGGAGGGAGAGAGACCTGCCCGAAACTGGAAGGTGGTAATACTTGAGAAAGATTTTGACAGTTATTTAACTTGTCAGAGCTTCGTTTTATTAACTGTTATATGAAGACAATAACTGCCTACCTTACTTATAGGGTTATCTGAAGAACTAAAGGAGATAACGATATAAAGTGCTTAACAATGCAAAGCACTGAGTAGAGTCCATAAATGTGAGCTGCTGTCCTCATCGTCGTTGGGATTTCATTTATGTGGTTAAAAGCACTGAACTCCGGAAACATTAGTTACCCTTGTTTTCAGTTCCTGAGGTTTTCTTTTTCCAAATAAGTTGTCCTAACTTTTTTTTTTTTTTTTTAATCCATCTTTGGCCCTGGCTGGTGTGGCTCAGTGGATTGAGCGCCGGCCTGTGAACCGGAGGGTAGACAGTTCGATTCCCAGGGTGGAGCAGCTGTCTGGGTTGCAGGCCAGGTCCCCAGTAGGGGGCAGGCAAGATGCAACCACACATTGATGTTTCTCTCCCTCTCTTCCTCCCTTCCCGTCTCTAAAAGAATCAATCAATCAATCAATCTTTAAAAAAAAAATCCATCTTTGCCCTAATGACTGGAGATGTCACCTTTACACTAAGTTACCATATGTATTTTTATTTTTTTTCTTGGACCCTCTATTCTATTCCACTGGTCTATTTATCAATTTCTGTATATTACATCAATATAACATAATATATAATGTAACCCGTGCCATGCTTCTTTATGCTTTTACACGTGTTTCTTCTATTTGGGCTCCTCTCCTACTTCTTGATTTTTTTACTTCTTCAAACCCACTTGAAGTATCATGATCTCCTTCCCTGACTCTCTTTCCCCAACACCCTATTTGCCCTGTGTTTCCGAGATAGTTCTAGGGCATTCTGAATGGGGCTTGGTACTAAAATCTTACCCCTTGTTCTTCTTTAGTGCCAGCATCGCAACCATTAGTATTTGTGAAAAAAGTGGGAAATCAAATGAGGAACTAAGTCTCAGCTTTATCCAAGCCTTCCTAGTAATAAGTCTGAACTGAAAACTATTAGGCAACTCCTATCTCCATCTTAAACTGAAGGCAGTGGGGCTGTCAAATGGAGACGTGAGCCTCACTCGTTCTAAGCAGACTGTGCCCAGGTGGACATAGGCATGGAAACTGGCAGCTTAAAGCCTCCAGAAAAGACGGATTTAGGACAGTGAGACATAATTATAGACACACAGAAGTGACTCTATATCCATGGTCTCCATACTTCTTTAATTGCACAGTCTTGTCAGTAAAAATCGTACGAGCATCACCAATGTTTGTATATTTACTTGTACATTATACAACATACTGCAATCTACTGTATAAATTGTACAATATACAAAGTTAAATTAAAAAGTAAATGATTTTTAATTTCATTTTGTTTACTAGTGGTAAAAAGTCAATAAGGATCACTATTTTTTTGAAAAGCTTGATTTAATACTTTGTTATGTAGTGATTTGAAGGTCTGGTTCTAAGGCACGTGTATTCCAGTACTTGTTTTGAATGCTTTTTATGTTTGAAAAAGATGCTGTCAAAGATTTAAATTCCAAAATGGAAGAGGTACAATTTGGTTGTGCTTAGTAAATCACAATTCTTATTTACATTTCTGTTCTATTTTGCAAATTTTAATTCAGATATTATCAGTAAAATATCATCTTTTCTGATTAATTAGTTCTGGCAAACTAATTGGAAAGCATTGCGTCTTTGCATTTAAAAGGAAAAATGGTCTCTTAACCTGTTGAAATTTTCACTTGTGAGATTTTTAAACAAATAAGAAACTTGTTTCTAAGTTTTTAAAGTGTAATAGCATGAATTTCTAGTTATAACACATTTGCATACCCACAAATAACATTAGATAGGAGTATTTCCAATAATTTTCAAAATTTTATCACCTTAACACAAATTTATTGCAAAGATATGATTCTTCTCTTTTTTAAATTTAGAATTTGTTTTTTTAATTACAGTTGACATTCAATACTATTTTGTATTAGTTAGACAATCACATACTTTGCAAAGTGTTCCCCCGATATTTCCCATACCCACCTGGCCCGCTACCATTATTACAATATTGTTGTATTCCCTATGCTGTACTTGACAGCCCCGTGACTATTTTGTAACAACCAATTTGTACTTTTAATCCTTTCACCTCTGTCACCCACACTCCCAACCCCCTTTCCTCTGGCAACCATCAGTTTGTTCTCTATATCTAGGAGTCTGTTTCAATTTTGTTTGTTCATTAATTTTGTTCTTTAAATTCCACACGTAAGTGACCTGGTATTAGTCTCTCTGACTGACTTATTTCATTTAGCATAATATGCTCTAGATCCATCCATGATGTTGCAAATGGTAAGATTTCACTCTTTTTATGGCCGAGTAATATTCTATTGTATACATGTACCACCTCTTTTTTATCCACTCATCTATTGATGGGCATTTGGGATGCTTCCATATCTTGGCTATTGTAAATAATACTGCAATGCACATATGGGTGCATATTCTTTCAAATTAGTGTTTTGGGTTTCTTTGGATATATACCCAGAAGTGGAATCATTGAATCATAAGGCAGGTCCATTTTTAATTTTCTGAGGAACCTCCATACTGTTTCCTGTAGTAGCTGCACCAATCTGCATACCCACCAGCAGTGCACGAGAGTTCCCTCAAAGGGATGGTTATTTTCACATTCATTAAAAATGTCGTTACCTTACTCTGAAAGGGGGGATAATATATATTTTAAAATATTCTCTAGTTTACATACTATGGACAGCAATTTGTTATCACAGAAAAGATTAGAAAATTTGAAACATTTGTTTTTGGTAAAAGCAAAATGCATGATATGTCTTTTTTTTAATTAAATATATTGGGGTGACATTGGTTAATAAGATTATATAGGTTTCCAGTGTGCATTTCTATGATGCATATCTGTATATTGCACTGTGTGCCCACCACTCAGAGTTACATCATCTTCCATCACCATATGCTTGGCCCCGCTTTACCCTTTACTACCCCCGACCCTCTTCCTTCTGGTAACCACCATACTGTTGTCTGTGTCTATATGAGTTTCAGTTTTATATCTCACATGTGAGTGAAATCATAAAGTTCCTAGGTATTTCTGACTGACATTTTGTTTAACATGATAGTCTCAAGGACTGTCCACATTGTTGCAAATGGCAGTATTTCATCTTTTTGTGGCTGAGTAGTATTCCATTGTATAAATGTACCACATCTTCTTTATCTAGTCCTCTATCAAATACTCTTTTGCTGTCTTCATGTCTTAACCACTACAAATAATGCTGCAATGACCATAGGGGTGTTTACATCTCTGTGAATACATATTTTCAAATTTGGGGGGTTGGTAACCAGAAAAGGGATTGCTGGGTCATATGGTAACTCTATTCTTAATTTTTTGGGGGAATAGTCACACTGATTTCCACAGTGCCTGTACAAGTTTACAATTCCTTTTCTCCACAACCTCTTCAACACTTATTAATACTTGTCTTGTTGAATTGGAATGAAGAAGTAAAAAGTGTCACATTTTGTGGATGACACGATCCTTGACATGTAGAAAATCCTAAAGACTTGACCAAAAAACTATTAGAAACAATAAGCAAATACAGTAAAGTTGCATGATAAAAAAATCAATGTTCAAAAATCCACTGCATTTCTATATACTGACAATGAAATTTCAGAAAAAGAAATGAAAAAATAATTCCTTTTGTAATTGCAACAAAAATAAAATAAAATATTTAGGAATAAACTCAACAAAGGATGTGAGGGATCTATATTCTGAAAAGTACAAAGCATTATTAAAAGAGATTGAAAAGACACATCAAAATGGAAAGATAATTTGTGTTCATAGATTGGGAGAATCTGTCTGGTTAAAATGTCCATATTACCCAAAGCAGTGTACAGATTAACGCAATCCTCATCAAAATCCCAATGACATTTAAAAAAAAAGAAATTGAACAAAAAAATCATCAGATTTGCATGGAATCACAAAATACTCTGAGTAGCCAAAGCAATCCTGAGAAAAAAGAATGAAGCTGAGGTATCACACTACGTGACTTCAAATTACACTACAAAACAACGATAATCAAAGCAGCATTGTATGGCAGAAAAATGAACAGTGGAACAGATTGAGGGTCCAGAAATAAAACCACATGTATATGGGTAAATAGTTTTAACAAAGGAGCCAAAAACATGCAATGGAAGGAAGAAAGAAAGCCTCTTCAATAAATGGTGCTGGGCAAGTTGGAAGGCCACATGCAAAAGGACAAAACTAGACTACAGTTTGTCCCCATGTACAAACAATTCAAAATTGATCAAAGACCTAAATATACAATCTGAAACAACAAATTTCATAGAAGAAAACATAGGTACTAAACTTATGGACCTTGGTCTTAGAGAAGATTTTATGTATTTGACCCCAAAGGCAAGGGAAGTAAAGCAAAAATAAATGAACTATATCAAACTAAAAAGCTTCTGCACAGCAAAAGAAACTGCCAACAAAACAAAAAGGCAACTAACCGAATAGGAGAAAATATTTGCAGACAACAGCTCCAACAAGGGATTAATATCCAAAATACATAAAGAACTCATACAACTCGATACCAAACAAACAAACTCATACAACTCAACACCAAAGCCAATTAAAAACTGGGCAGAGGACCTGAACAAACAATTCTCCAAAGAAGACGTACCCATGGCCAACAGATATATGAAAAGGTGTTCATCTTCACTAGCTATTAGGGAAATGCAAATTAAAACTACACACCTCACACCTCTTAGCATGATACATCTTTATGTTTGCCAACTTTTAAAAATGTTTTTCCATGAATTTTTTTATGGTCAATTCTCATCTACTTGTAAAGTAGACTAAATAGTCTACTACTTAAGGTCATATAGTTGGTTAATCCACCTAACTAGCCAACACAATACCCTGAAAGCATGAGTATGAAATTCACACTTTTCCTCAAATTATTTGTATACTGTTTAGAGTCAGCTATATGTGTATAGTTTCTTACTTGTTAAAGAAAATTGCTAAATTCTAATATTTTCCCTTGCTACTGTAGGGGATCATCCTTGGGCCTTGCTGTGAGTATCCTTATTTTGGGGGGACAGAAAACCAAAGAGGGTGAAAAGGAGCCATTGCTCTTGAGCTTAGGCAGGGAAAGAGAAGATTAAAAGAAACCCTTTTTTAGAGTTAATAACTCCATGTACCTGTAGCTTACACAATGAATGGCAAGATCTGACTAATCAAATAAAGTACTCTTTTTCCCACAATGAATGGCAAGATCTGACTAATCAAATAAAATACTCTTTTTCCCATGTAGAAGATCTGGGTTGAGCAAAGATAAAGATAAAATTCTCTCTTCTTGGCAATTGATTTTCTTATAGTGAAACTGTAATTGTTTTTCCACCTGTCTGTCTTCAGTCCCAGGCTGAAATTCTTAAGGGCAGGAACACTTCAAGCTAGAATCAGCACAATGTCAGGCATATGGCTATAAATGATACGTAATGTAAGGATACTGAGGTTTCCATTAGGGCTAGGAAGCAGGAATTTTCCTACGGGAAGGTAAGCCTGTAGGTTAGTGGTTTTCAAAGAAAACTGGAATGGAGGAGAGTGGATCACAAAGATCATTGGGAAAGAAACTGCAAAACAGTGTGAGTGAATGTACAGACTTTTTAATAGACATGCCAAGGGACTTCTATTCAGGGTAGGGCCAAAAGTGACAGAGAGGATAGGCATAGTAGAAGCAACAAATCAAGATTCTCTGCAGGTTCAGGAGAAATTCTAGGTGGCGTCAGAAGGCTATGAGACTGATTCCTAGAACTTCCGTTCAAAGTTCTAATAGCATGTTGGCAAATGATTGGTTGGCTCATGTTGCTGTCATTGAAGAGAATTTTGCTCAGGTGAGGAAGAAAAAATAAAAAGCTAGGAAAATGAGGGGAGAGGTAGGAGTTTCTGCCATTTTGTTAAGGATAAATTGAGCATCAGTATTTTAAAGTTTTTTTTCCTAATTTGAATTTGTTAAGAAGATGCACATTCAAAAAAGTAATAAAAGCACATTTGAAGTAGACTTTATAATAAGGTTATCAAAATATTAAAAAGATGTTCCACACTAAACACACATATAATGTACCACAGTTTGTTATTTTTGTGACAGTACAGTAATTGTCACTCAGTTACCTTAAACTACAAATTAAATCATATACAGGGTGGGGCAAAAGTAGATTTACAGTCATAAGTATGCAAAACACAGAATTTATTCTTGTATTATTATTGTATTATTTCCATATGAAAAACTGTAAATCTACTTTTGCCCCATCCTGTATATAAAACATATTAAACCAGTTAGACTCAACAATAGCAAAATGATCCAAAATATAGAAAACAGGGAAGGGGAAAGTCAAGGAACGTATAGCAAGGACTCATGGACAAAACCAAAGGGGAAGAGCTGAGAGAGGGAAGGAGGGAGGGGGCAAGGGAAAGTGGTGGGGGGTAAGCAGAGACAAATGTATTTGAAAAAATAAATTAAAATAAATTAAAAAAATCAAAAAAAAAGAAAACAAATCGTTTGATACAACTAAGGTATTATATACCTTAAAACAAAAATTTCAGCATGACTAAAGATTTATTATATACTTTAAAAATCCAACAGTAATTCTTGAAAGACATAACAACAAAGATTTGGGGGAAGTTAATGTTTATAAATAAAGTCATATTAATTCAAGTTCAGCAAAGGTTGGGGTGAATATACTTGTTTTCAAGTTTAGAGAGTTAAAATTAAATTTGTTGGAGCAACGTTGGTTAATACGATTGTATAGGTGTCAAGTGTACAATCCTATGATACATCATCTGTATGTTGTATTGTTTGCCCACCACCCAAAGTCAAGTCTTCTTTCATCACCATTTATTTGACTCCCTTTATCCTTCACCACCTCCCACCCCCTTCCCTCTGATAATCACCATGCTTGTCTGTGTCTATGAGTTTGTTTTCATTGTTCATGTATTGCTTTCAGCTTTATATCCCACATATGAGTGAAATCATATGATTCTAACTTTTTCTGTCTGAATTATTTTGCTTAGCATGATTTTCTTGATATCCACCCATGTTTTTGCAAGTGGCAATTTTCAAGTTATATTTTTAATAGGCAATTTTCCTTATTCCCTTCACCTCTCCCCTCCATTTTCCCTACCCCTTTCTCTTTATTTTTAAAATCTATGTTAAAATGTCTTACAGTTTTTAAAGACTAACCATTGTGTGTAATGACTGGAGCCCTTAGAAAAAAGTTAAATACCAACTCACAAATATTAGTGGGTTGGTATTTAACTTTGACCCCCAAACTATCTGTTCATTGCTTCATTCCGGTGTACTAACTATTACAAAGGATTAAATTCCAGTTTCTTCCTTGACTGATAGCTGAAGGAATATTGGGACAATTTGCAAGTAGAATCACTACATTTGTAGGCTACAGTACCTAGTCCACATCAGATTAGCTGGAATGTTGTAACGATGGTCTTTTTTTTTAGATCGCAAGAAGTCATTGTTTATGCTGCCATGCACTTCTCTCCTTTGTCTCTCTGCTAACTTATTGATAAACTTGTCGAGGGTACGGATGAGTTTTCTAGACATATTAGTATCCTACTTCCTAATGTAATACCTGATACTAGATACTTAGAAAATTGAAGTAAACTTTTAGTTATGTTCTTCTTTGCCTTCTAAAATCTTAATTTATTTACATTGTAGATGCAGAGAAAAAGTGAAAGTAAAGAACCGAATATAACACCTGAAGCAGCAAATTTGGTGCCATTTGGGGATGTGGTAAGTATGACTAATCTTAATAAATCTGTACAAGTTATTTCTTACTTTACATTAAGAATAGTCAATGTTTAGTATTTGGTAATCAAAAAGTATGTATAAAAAATGGTACTCTCTAATGATATATTCATTAGTTTTTCATTTTCATGAGTCAGAAAAGCATTCTAATAATCACTGAAATTTTGGAAAACATCGTGATTCACAGAAAAAAAGTTTTCTATATTAGGTACTATTAGGGATTTCCAAACCCAAGTTACATAAGAATCACCTGGAATAATTTTTAAAATCATTGATTCTTGGGCCCAACCTAAAATCCACTCACTTAGAATTTGAGAATAGAGCCTAGGAATCCGTATTTCTATTGAGCTCTTCAGGTGATTGTATTTATTGTCAGATTTAGGAACCTTTGAGCTATAGTTTGAAAATTGACCCTACACCTGTCTTTCATCCAAAATATAATAAACCCCTGAAACAAAAATCAAACACGTATACATGAACACACAGGTAGGACCTAATATCTAGACTGAGGACCAGAAAAATCTGTTTTCTCTTTTGAGTGCTATAATGTATAGGACGTGAGGATCTCTGTATATTTAGAGCTATCAAATATGGTGGTATTCTTTTATAGTTATCTTTTTTCTCTGAACACTATGAGAGTAATTTTTGGCTGTGAAATGAGAGTTTCTCTTATTCCTCTTCTCTAGCTCCTCATATACTAATATATTTTATTGATTAAAAACATGGTTAATTTAACACAACTCTTTTGGGGGAAATAATAAGGTTATATTCATTATACATTTTTGTTTTTACAAATGACCATATACAATATAGTTACAGCTCACAGTCCATGGCATATTATAGTTTATGAATGATTATTGATGAATAAAGAGGTTTTAGAATACTGGATAAAAAAGCTTATCTCAAGCAATGCATATTTCTTATTATGATATGCAAGATGCTACATTTTACCACTTCTAACCTAATATACCTCATATACATTTTTGTTTTTACAAATGATACTACAAATAGTGTTGCCCACCATTTAAAGATAAAGAACTCTTTTTTTCTTATGTCACAATCAAAGTTGGAATATATGCCTTCACTGTCTGAATCTAAACTTAGAAAAGATTCTTTGAAATCACTTTTGTCCATAAACAATTATGCATATCATTATGTTGACATACTAATTTCTGTAATCCATACTTTTTTCTTTGTTTTTCTATTTCTCTCTAAAATCAATAACTAAAACGTAAAAACTTTAAAAAAAGTTTTAAAGAAATAAATTCTACCCATTCTATTGTATTATCATTCTTTTAATGATGTTTCAGAACAAAGAAAATGTCACCAAGTTATATGGGGTTTTTATCAGGTATAGAGGGCACAGAAAACCCTTATCAACAGAAAATATTTTTATACCTCCAAAATATATTACTTACAAATATTTGCAAAGTTTATCCTTATGAGGTTCATGTAGTTTTGTAACTTGATATGACAGTTCACAGAGATGGAGAATGAAAATAGTTTTTTTATTAGGAAGACAATAATACATATTAGCCCTTGCTAAAGGTATTTGATAAAGAAGTGGAGATATTTTTATTCCCAGGTAATTGTCACATGCAGTCTCTCTTTACTCTCTACTTCTGCTACGTTCTCTCTGCATTTTTCCTTTTCTGTATATATCTGTGCCATGGCTTCTGGTGTCATTTCTTCTATTCTGCTCTTCACTGGGACTTCGCTGTGGCCGTTTTATTTCCCTTTGCTTGTAACTACTGTGACTTCTGCTCCGGCTTCTCCTGCTCCTCTCATCTCCGCTCTGGCTCCTGCTGCTCCTCTCATTTCTTTCAGAACTTCTCTTCTCTAGGCTGTGGTTATAGCTTCTGGACTCTGTCAAAATCAGAATGACTCCATTTGCTAGTCTCCCTAGAACTCTCTTGTTTTAAAAATCTAGACTCTTCCTTGGCTTTTTCCTCGTTACAGTGATTGCTAGAAAGTTCTTCATAAAGTTTTCTATTCCTAGGCTTGTCCTTTTCTTCTATATCACTGTTTTTATTTCTTGAACATTTGTTTTTCTTTCTTTTCTTCTTTTGTATTTTTTTTTCTTTGTTATCACTCTCACTGCTGCTTTCTGAAGTCTCACCACAGGAAGAGGAAGAGGAGGAGGAGGAGGATTTGTTTTTATGGGGTTTTTTTTTTTGTTTACTTCTGCTCTTCTGAAGCTTTTTCTCTTTTCTATCTTTTTTCTTTTTCTTTTCTTTCTTCTCAGGTCGATCCAATTTCCTGAGAAGTTTCTGTTTTTGTTTGGTTGTCAGTGACTTTAAAAATTCGACTTCTGGATCTTCTTCACCCTCACTTGCAACATATTCCTGAGATGGATCATTTGCAGTCAAGTTTCTCCCCAGTACATTTCGTTTCAATGCAAACCCACTGTTTCTCATCTCTGCTATTAGCTCAGAGGGGTGCATGGATGGCCCTGAGCCATCAGCAGGAACTGAACTTGCATTGATTCCAGCAAGACCAAACAAAGGACATTCTCGATCTGTGTTGTCATGGCCCCATTTGTGACATTTAATGCACCTCACATTTCAAACCCGAATACCAAAGGGCTGATCTTAGACGTTCATGTCATCTTTGGCATATTTTTCTCGTGCGGGCCTTTCTGCCACTCAAATTTGTATTCAGTCTCACCTTTTGTTTCTTCTTTCTCTTTGTTTTCTTTTTTAGCTCCTGGCGGAGCCTCATACATGAAGTTAAGACCATTCTTTACACGTTCATCTCCCATAAACAATCTATTATCATATGATTCTTGTTCTTTCAGATACTGCTGCATTAATTCTTCTTGCTTCTTCTTATCATATGATATTTTCTGTTCTGCCATCCATACTTTTTTGATATTGGATTTGGAGGTGGGATGAAAGTCCTTCTTGCACATTAAATTGGCGAAGGATTTCCCCATCTTGGAGGAACATATACAGAAATCAGCCGCTAGATCTGAGAGCAATGTAAACAAACCTATAATCCATACTCTTGAATATGACTTCTACATCTTCTGAGAACTGACATATTGAAAACCATTCTGATTTCACTCACACTTTATAACTTTCTAATTTGTATTTCCCTCATTTGAATTATATGTTGCTAGATATGAAAAAGCTTCTGTTAAAGGTCCACTGGAAGTTTTTGACAGAGATGTTTAGCATGTAATTGATAGCTCTTCCCAATTCATGATTTAGTCTCACCAGTTCCTCTTTGAAAGTTCTGTGACTTATTTTGAAATATTTGGCAAGGTTTGCATGTGTGTAAACAATGATAACTACGTCACTACCCACTACCCCTGCTTCTGATAGCCACACCCCATTTTCAGAAAAAGATCTGAAAAACCTGTGTCCTAAAATTGGACACAGGAAGTGTTTTTGTGAGTAGCTTTCTGGTTGCTTTCTTGTTTTAAACGCCTATTTGAGAGTGTTTGGGGGTGAAGATCCTGACATGGTTAATTGCTTTGGGCTGCAGGTGGGTCTCAGATTCTGTGGTAATATTTTTTTGTTATCTGAAAATCTATGAATAATCATTATATTTTTGAGTGTTAAATCTTTTTTTATATTTGAATAGAAATTATCTTTTCTGTATTATGGATCTATTATGTAAAAATATAAAGAGCTCTTGAAACATAAGGAAAATTAAGGTTGTTGCTCATGGCTTCACGTTGAGATTCTTGGCAGGCAGTCAGTGATTTGCATTGTGTAGAATTATACAATACAAAATTATAGCTATACTTTCCTGTTCTATCCTCCTATATACAACCCAATTTTAAGAAATAAACAATGATTTATGGAATCACATACGGCAAAAACATTTAAAATCCCTCCTAGATTATATAATAGGCATTACTCCCATCCCACTTTGAATTTGAAAATGTAGAATCTTTTCTTTACCCTAATATTTCATACCTATGTTTCCTTAAGAATTGGACCATAATATTTTCTTCTTTTGGATTCATTAAGGTACAGTATTCTTTTAATTAAATATTGAATGCTAACCTCTTGTTCTGTATTGCTATCCAGCCAATTACATTACATTTAAAAATATTGTTGGGGCATTTATTTTGTTTCATAATGTTTAATATAATATTGTTGTTACTTTTGCTCTTTTTTATAAAAGACAAACATGCTAAATATATTTGGCTAATATTGCATGTCACTTTTAAGTGCTTCTGTATTCATTGTGTATTTAATTTTATGGTTAAACACTAGATACAATTTTCTTTAACATTTAGAAACACTTTCTATAAGAGAAAATGAATATTTCAGTCCTTGGCATATTATAGTTAATGAATGATTGTTGAATGAATAAAGAGGTTTTAGGATACTGGATAAAAAAGCTTATCTCAAGCAAGCCATATTTCTTATTATGATATGCAAGATGTTACATTTTACCACGTCTAACCTAATATAAAATAAAAATTACTCAAAGAGTGATTACAGGATTTAAGTTGGTAATGAACCATTGTTTTGCTTTGTACTCTTATTCATTTTAGGTTTATTTTGAACAAATCCTGCCTATTTTTTTCTGTATTTATGCTTTCTGGTGTTTTCCAATCATTAAATTATTTCTAATGAGAAAGACTAACAAAGTGGAGCTTTTAAAAAATATATAGTTCAGTATAGAGTAAAATGGAAGAAAAGTTAACTTTAAAAAATTCATTCACTGTGTTTTTATTTTGATTGTTATAGGTTGGCTGTCTGGCTATTCATATAAAGAACTGCAGTTATTTTACACCTCAGAGTATCCTTTTTTTAAAATTCAAGAACCACGCTATGATCATGTATCACTGTTTCAGTTACATGTTACTGCATTACAAGACACTCAGACTTACTGGCTTCAGACATTAACTATTATTAATCACTCTCTGTGCATTCACTAGGCAGTACTTGTGTACCATTATGACAGCTGAGGTTCAAAACAGCTGGAATATCTAAACTGGCTCATTTATGTGTCTGGTGCTTTAGTGAGAATGCCCGGGAGACGGGACTGAGCCTGGATGCGGAAACTGTTAGAACTTCCTTTCTGTGTAGCCCCAGGGCCTGTCTTTTATTATTCTTTCTGTATTCATTTTGATTTTAAAAATATATTACATTAAAATATTACTTATCTTCATTGCTGAAGTTTTTGGTGTCCTCTTAGGTTTTGCACCCTGGCTAGCCCCTCTCTGACCTTATCCAAGTCCCAGCCCTGGGCATGTCCACTGCGTGTTCAAGGAGTCACAGGCCCAGGCGAGAGTTAAGCACAGAGGTGTGTGGACTCCACTGTGTGACGTGGAGAGCGACAAAAGATTTTCCGTCATCTGTCACCCACGTCAGTCACCATATAAGTTAAAAGAGAAATATGTATCTTGGAATTTATAGTACTAATTTATATATAAGTAATGACTGTGCTTCTCTTAAACATTATTTAAAGGATTTATTTATCTCAGTGCCTTTAAATAAGCTGAATACCTAGGATTAGATTTATCGTGGCATTAACCCAGTCTAAATTTGAAGACTTGGTGTTTCTTTTTGTATAGATGATTTAGTGAAGAGAATTCTATATAATATAGAGATTGTTGAAGATAGTTAAATCATAAAAACAAAATTGTTTTAATGCATGAGTGCTATGAAAGATAAAAATGCAGGCCAGTATAATATAAGTGAAGTATATAGTGAAGTGAATTAGAGTAGAATGCTGCTTTAAATTTTGATGTCTTAAAATTAAAAATAAATTGCTTTCAAATGACATATTCTTGAATTTCTATATAATTATAGTTGAAAAAATTTTCAACAATATAATGTAAATGTTTATTCACCTTAAAATGTAGAAAAATTACAAAAGATTTATAATGGAAATGTAAGGATAAAAATATGAGAATTGATCTAAGGAAGAATCAACCTTTTCCTACTTATACTGTACCTAACTAACATTGATGGACAAAAACACTATTTTAATGGACTTTTTTTATTGTTTAATATACTTTACAATTGCCTCTTTATTTATTGGTTGATTCCTAGGTTTTAGCCTGCGTTGTTTAATGGATAAATTTTATAATATGTTATTGTTCAATTACAACAAAATTTGCTTCCTAAATACTTGTGTTTTCAGTTGATTTGCAGCATTGCAGTAATTTGTGCGTTCGCATCTCTGTAAACAATGTTGTGAAATGTACAAAAGCATATGCCTTGCAACCCCAGAACACACTACAAAACAATGATAAAAAGAAAAGTATAATTAAGTTTGATGAAGTGAAGTATTTTTCTGTACAGGTAATGTTAACACTCTTTTCTAGTTATAAGGATGCATTTGTTTCAAATATGCTAAATTAATTATATATTTTGGGGTGATAGGAAAGAAACAAAAGCAGTACCTTTTTACTTGATATTTTACAGTATTCTATTTATATATTTTAAACTAATTAATGTATTTTTAAATGAATAGCTTACTGTAAAATGCACAATCTTGGTGGTCTTTTTCCCTGACATCTTACTGCCTGTGGTTTATCACACATGCATTTTTCTCTGTCTTGCTCTTCCCCTCCCATCTACCTACCCTCTCCTACCCCGGCTTAGTCATTTTGGGCTGCTCTAACAAATTACTGTAGACTGGGTGGCTTAAAGAAACAAACATTTATTTCTCATCTTTCTGGAGAATGGGAAGCAAGATAAGGTGATGGCAGATCCATTGTCTGGTGGGAGCCTGCTTCCCCTGCTTCCTGGTTTGTGGATGGCCTTCTTCCTGTTGTCACAGTGATATGGCAGGGAGCAGAGAGATCATCTTTTTTGTGTCTCTTCTTACAAGGGCACTAATCCAATTCATGAGGGTTCTACCCTCATGGCCTAATTACCTCCCAAACACCCTACCTACAAATACCATCGCACTGGACATTTCGGATACAACATAGGAATTTTGAGGGGATGCGAACATTCAGTTCATAGTACATTTCTTTTTTTCTCCTCTCCCCCTTTCCCTCTCTCCTTTTTTCTTATATAAAATCCCTCCAATTATTTTAGCATGGAATAATCTCTTCAGTCTTTATAACAATCCCCCCCTCAAATATATAACTCTCATTAGCATCTACAAAATGAAAGCACAACCTACAAAATGGGAGAAAATATTTGTAAGTCATATATCTGATAAGAGATCAGTATCCAAATATATATACATATATAAAGGACTCATGCAACTTAACAGAAAAAAAATAATCCAATTAAAAATGGGCAGAGGGTTTGAATAGACAATTTTCCAGAAAAGATATCCAAATGGCCAACAGGTACATGAAAAGGTGCTCATCGTTAGTAATAATCAGGGAAATGCAAATCAAAACCATAGGGAGATATCACCTCACACCTGTTAAAATGGTTATGATCTAAAAAACAAGAAATAGCAAGTATTGGCAAGGATGTGGAGAAAAGGGAACCCTTGTGCACTATTGGCAAGAATGTAAATTGGTGCAACCACTATTGAAAACAGTATGGAAGCTCCTCAAAAAATTAAAAATAGAATAACCATATGATCCAGTAACTTTACTTGTGGGTATTTGAAGAAAACAAAACTATTATCTGGAGAAGGTATCTACACCTCCATGTTCATTGCAGCATTATTTACATGGAAAAGAACATAAGTGCCATCCAGGATGAATAGATTTAAACACTTTTAAAAATGAAACATTCAGTCATAAAAAGAAAGAAATCCTGCCATTTGCAACAACATGGATGGACCTGCAAGACAATGTGCTGAGTGAAATAAGTTAGAGAAAGGCAAATGCTTCATGATCTCACATAAATGTGGAATCTAAAAAAAAAGTCCTGCAACCTCACTCATGCACACAGAGAAGAGATTGGTGGTTGCCACAGGCAGAGCTCTGGGGTGGCTGACATGGCTGAAAGTGGTCGAAAGATACAAACTTCCAGTTACAAGACATTGGGTTGACCAAAAAGTCTGTTTAGGTTTTTTTCCATAAAATAAAAGACATTTTTCATTTTCACCAATAATTTTATTGATTTGGATATTTTGAGCATGTCGGCTATCTCCCACGTAGTATAATGATTTTTCTCAATGTCTCGACTTGATCGCTATCAGCTTCAACTGGTCTACCTGACCATGGAGCATTGTCTAGCCAGAAATCTCCAGCACGAAACTTTGCAAACCACTTTTGACATGTTCGATCAATCACAGCACCTTCTCCGTGCACAGAACAAATCTGTTTTTTGCATTTCAGTTGCGTTTTTACCTTTCTTGAAATAATAAAGCATAATATGCCAAAAATGTTGCTTATTTTTCTTCCATCTTCAATATTAAAATGACTACCCCAAAATTCACCAATTTTGATGTGTTTTTTTAAAAATGTGTGCTAATATGACATCTGTCATAATACAATCTAACAAAGCTGTTTTGAATTAAAGTTAAAGACAACTAAGCACTACTAGAGCCATCTTACAAATGAACTGTTTTGGCCAACCCAATAAATATGTTCTGGATATCTAATGTATGGCACGGTGACAATAGTTAATAAAATTGTATATTTGAAAGTTGCTAAGACAGTTGATCTTAAAAGTTCTCATCCAAGAAAAAAATTGTAACTGTGTGGTGGTGGATGTTAATTAAACTTATTGTGATACTCATCTTGCAATATATACAAATATCAAATCATTATGTTATATACCTAAAAGTGATGCAATGTTATGTGTCGATTATGTCTCAGTTAAATTTATTTTTTAAAGACACTTAGAATCTTGGGTGGGGAGGCATGAGATTTCTTTCTAATCAGCAAGAGTATATGGATTTTTTAAAAAAATTTTATTTATTTTTAGAGATAGGAGGAGAGAGAGAGAGGGAAGAGAAACGGTTACCTCTTGTATGCCCCCCGCTGGGGACCTGGCCAACAGCTCAGGCCTGTACCTTGACTGGGAATCTAACTGGTGATCTTTCAGTTGTGGGACGATGCCCAATTCACTGAGCCATACCAGTCAGGGCAAGAGTGTATGGATTTTAAAGGTGACATAAATACGGTATTGTATTACAGATTTCAAAGTTCCAAGTTGAGAAAACAGTGTACATTTTATCAAAAAGTTAAAGAAAAAAGACTGAAAAGGATATTAATACCGGTGTCTTTTGGTATTGGATTTTCGGATTATCTAGATTATTTGGACTGGATATTAGATTACCTTTGATATTACATTTTTGGTTGATGTTGAAGCCAAACTTCTGTGTAGAGTTAAAAGGAAGAATGTAGGCATCGGTGTTTCAAAAAGACTGTAATTTACATTAGACATAAACAAAATCCTGACTTTTATTGGCATTAGGGTATATGTGACTCTGAGATTAGAAAATTATAAGGCTAATAACATGAAAACTAATCATTAGATATGGACAATAATATAATATAGTTTATGGATGTGTGAGGTCTGTCCAGAAAGTATCTGGTCATGTAATATGAAAAATAGAGACATTTATTGAAGAAGATACAAGATGCATTGTACACAGGACAATGACATCTCAGTTCTATTCAAAGTAGGTACCTTGGGACCTCACACAGTTCTCCCAATTGCCACCAGCTGTCCCCTCATATTTTCCTGAATATCATCGATGGTCTAAAATCTTTTTGCTTTCAAAGGTGATTTTAGTTTTGGAAAAAGCCAGAAGTTACACGGTGCCAAATCTGGACTGTATGGGGGCTGAGTCGCCTGGGTGGTTTTATGTTTGGGCAAAAAACTGCATGAGACTTGACGCATGAGTGGGCACATTGTCGTGAGGAAGCTGCCAGTCACCAGATGCCCATAGCTGTGGCCTTCTGAATTATCTTAATAGTTTCCACGGAGGAATATTCAAGCTTAACGCAAAGTTTTATGCAGTTTCATTGCTCTGCTCACTCAGTCATTTTGAATGCAGCAGCCACACAGTGCACATGCTGACTCAACAGTGTCTACTGCCTCCACTGACTAGTACAGTGAAGTTGTTATTGTTCATGCATGCGCATTCCAGCCCACTCTCCTTGGCTGGCAGGTTATATTGATGTCACGCAAATCGTTCTCATTATAGTAATAATGGCTGGACTTTTTCTGGACAGGTCTCATATTTATTCAGAAATTATATCTGAAATGCATACTGAAAATGTAATACTTTTTTGGTTCTCAGGCCAGTACTCAATCCACTGAGCCACACCAGCTAGGGCTTTAATGCTTTTTTATATATATTTATATCAAGGTTCCCAGACGGCAAGATGATGTACGAAATAATATTTACTTGGATCTAATGCAATGTGACAATGAAGACAAATACACTCTCATGTTAGGGAGTGTTCAAATACACCTTTATGAGGTAATTCAGGTATGTATCAAGATAATTTTTTACTTGGTATCATATTATCCTGTTGGTGTTTATTTTTAAGGTTTATCTATAACTGATGGATTCCTTGTATTATTATCTGGTTTCAAACTCATGTGCTCAGGAAACAATATCTCCCTCTGGCTATTAAAAAAAAAAATTTGGTTTGTTGAAAATTTATTTTCTGGAAGGCCAGTAATACAACCTGAAAGATTAAGGATGTTTAATTATGTTTTCTGAAATGTATTAGTGGAAATCCTCAGTGGAGAGTGGTAGAATCTAGTGCTTGGATGAGGTAAAGGGACCTAATGACCAGACCCAAATTACAGCTCATGTTTGGAAGCACAACAGTGATCTTCTGTGGTATATATGGAGAGGACACAAGTGTTTTGTTTTGTTTTTCTTGTAATTACCAATTAGTATCAATTGCTCTCTGAATATATTCAGCGTCATTATGGAGGACAAACACCTTGAACTGAATTAAACAAATCATATATTAGGTTTTGAATAGCTTTATTAAAAAATTGATCTGTGGTTTAAATCATTAATCCCTGGGTCCTTCGTATCCCTGATACATGTGGGGTTCCTTTGAGGTTCTGAGAGAAACCAGAAATACGAGCTAATTATTAAGGCTTAGAGTCCAATAAAACACATGAGCATATTGGAGTTTATAATATTGCTGTATTGGTTATAAAAGGCAAGGTTATTATTAAATTTGTGGTGAATTATAGTACTATTTGTGTTTATTGGTTTGGTTCTATGACCCTTACCAGATGAGCCTAAGGCTAGGTGATAAATTCAACAGGCAGATTGATAGCCACTGTAATTACTTGAGGAAAGTAACAGAGAATTCAAAGGTATGGAAGATTGTTAGAGTAATGCCCCCTAAAAAATCATATATTTCTGTATCCATACTTTGAGTAGTCTACAGGTTTCCCCTCCCCGCTCGGCTTAGCCATGTAACTTGCTTTGGGCAGAGCAGAGTCAAATTCAGGACAGGGAGCCAAATAGCTCATTGCCATTCATTGAGACTCACCAGAGGAGCTAAGTGAAGACAAGCCTAAAGCTCGGTGGATTTCGATGAGGTGCACATTCAGGATTAATATTTTAATAGGCTCCAATGGAGGCTCATTCAGTTGGGCAGATGTGTGTGGGATCTCCAGAAATAACTCAAAGACATTTACAATAGTTAAAAGTATTACTAAAAGTTAACTTTTATATGAGGAAGGTGAGTCTATAGGTTAAGATCTTTGATCAAAAGCAGAGACAAAGAGTATAAAAGAAAATAAGAAGAAAAAAGCAGCCTTAGAACAGTTAGATATTTCCCCACCCTCCAACCCCACTTAGGAAAAGGGAAGTTATCAAGGAAAGGAAGCTATAGAGAGCAGATTGACAGAATCATTGAGGAATTCAATTTCAGTTATTTATGAATTTTCTGAGAAATTTTGTGATTTTTTTAAAAGATTTTATTTATTTATTTTTAGTCAGTGGGAAAGGAAGAGAGAAAGAGAGAGAAAGAAATGTGTGGTTGCCTCTCAATGCACCCTCTACTGGGGGCCTGGCCTGCAACCCAGGCAGGTGCCCTGATTGGGAATTGAACCAGCAATGCTCTGGTTCCCAGGCCAGTGCTCAATCCACTGAGCTACACCAGCCAAGATAAATCTTGTGATTTTTATATGAAGAACATATAGCAGGTCCTCAAGTAACATCGTTTTGTTATAACATTGATGACATGCCGTAGGAGCTTAACTCTTGTTTATATCAATTAGCCTATGGTAAAATTGGTATCATTATACGTCATATGGCTTAAAGTTGAGTGAGGACTCACTGTCTATGATATACTAATTCTGTATGATGCCTGCCATTATAACCACCTGTTATTTCCCTCATTATAATGTCTCACTGAGAACTGAGAGGGCAGGTATTAAATAGGTTCTCATGGATTGTTATGTTTTGGGTGTGCAAGGAGCACAAAAGACATGTGAACCAGATACCAAACTTTCCACTAATGAGAATTAGTGACTAGAGTATCTGAAAGACATCCCAGATAGTGTGAGGCTTAAAAGAGGAAAACTGTTTACATCTACATGGAAGCAATAGGAAGGAGTGTGGAGGGTGTTATTCCATCTCCTGACCTTGAAGTACATGGGCCTTCACTTGAGCTTATAGGGAAAGCAACATCCTTAGTAGTGAGCCAGGTCTCAGGTAAAGCAAAGCAGTGATGTTTAGTGGATCCGTAAAAGATGTAAGGTTGTTTGTTAATCCTGGAATGGGAATTCCACGAGCTGCAGTGGAAAATGCTGGCAAGAAGGCAACTGTGGGATGCTGGCCTGGTTGGGAGACCTGATAACACAGCAGAGATGACCAGAGGTGCTGACCACAGGTGCCGCAGGTTTAAAAGGTACCAACAGTCCCCGAAAAACAAAAGAAACCTCAGTTCTGTCAGGAGTCAGCTTATCCTGTCGATTTATGTATAAGCAACCCTTCAATAACTAACTACAGAAAAGATCCTCCAAAGTACTGTAGGCAGTTCCTCTAAGACTTCAAAAAGTGGGACTATAACTGGCAGGGACATTTTTGTTTAAAATATTAAAGTAAATATTAACATTTATTTTTGGTATAAGCTGGAATTTTGATTTTCTCTCAAATATTTATTTTCTCTGTATTTTAGCTACTGAGTTAATGTGTGCCTTACAATCACTACCTGATTTTTTAAAAATGTATGAAATAGTTTACATTATATACATGAGTGTGTCTATATTTAAGAATTTTATTATTTATTCTAGAAAGGGTGCTTTATTGAAGAATTTCAAATTTTGCATAAAAACACAGTAAGCGCTTTACTGAAACTTTGAAAGTTTTGCCTCTACACTTAACATTTCATATAACTTGACTCTGATATTGTTTGTAGCCTCTGATATTATTTTTATTTTTTTGTTACCCTACTAAACACAGTTTGATTAATGGAAATATATTAAACAGAAAGTACAATATTTATTCACAAAGTCTTCACCTCCACTTTTTAACAAATTCTCTGCTGCATTGTGAACAAGAAATTTAGAAATTATTGGGTAGGAGATTAAAATGCTTCTTGGACTGCATAACCTTGGGAGCCCCACTTGCTGAGGAAACATTTTTCTCCTTGAGGAGTTTCTAAAGCATTGTTGACAGGCCTTACTTGAATTTTTTAAGTGCTCAAAAATCATTGCCTTGATTAATTGACCTTCTATTCAGAGAGACTTCTGCTGCCAATAGCCAAAACAGGGACAAGGAACGTAAAAACCAGAATGGTGGACATTTGAGGTCATGACCTCTGACACCCTCCTTCATTTCACACATAAGCGAGCTGGGTTCAGAATGTAAATCAAAATAATATCTGAAAAGGGAAGTGGAGGTGGGAGAAGTGTGAGTGAATACTTTAAAATATATAACTTGTATACATGTATATGAATATATATACATATATATATGTATCTTAGTATAATCCTGCTAACAATTATAAACTAACATTCTCCACATTTTTAGTGATATGATATTGCTTAACTTGACAGAAAATTTTTTTAAAGTTCAGGATCTCCTCAGTTTCTTCTATAGGAGCTCCTTGTGTAATTTTTTTCTTTTTAATCAGGAAATTCGCGCTTCAGTTTTCTAACTTACAGATTTGTGAAGTTAAAATATCACTTGCTATTACTTCTTTATTAAAATATCTTTCTGATCAAATAATAAAATAAATTTGCCTCATGTTTAGTTTATTTGCAGGATTGAGGTGGAATTTATGTTCTCCTATGGCAACTTTGGTTTTGGATTTTCGCATCAGGTTAGTTCCCCTTTTAAAAATTCCTGTATTACAGCTCTTCAGTCAGTCATACCTTTCGGAGCCTCAGGCCTTTCCAATTTGATAAGTTCTTTAAAATAAATATTTTTAAAAGAATGCTTTTTTTCCTCCAGCCTAAAGAAAATGAAACTTTGCCATTATTTGCTTATCCAATTTAAAATAATGATCTTTTATTCAAAATATCTTTATTATAAACTTGTTTGTGTGTGTGTATATACACATACTTATGTAATTTAAAACAAAACTTTTCAGTGTTCAAGAAGTGAGTGTGGATTTTTAGATCTAAAACTACATATTAAAATGGAGTCATTGATGTTATTTAGGTATTATTTGTACTCTGATTATATATGCACCTTTCCCCCATGACTACTTCAATATCTAGTGCTATTTATATCTTCCTTGATTCACCAAGAAAGTAATATGCCCGAAGAAGATACCTTCCTAGCTTTGGCCTGTCCTTTTAAATTCACTGCATATATCCATGTTGCAGTGAAAATTTTTGTACATTAACCTATGTCCTTTCATTGTGTCCATAGGTTATATTTCTAGAATGGAAATTATTGTCCAAGACAATGAACTTTTCAAGGATTGTTCTAGAAAAGTTGTACCAACATATAGTCTCATCAAATTTTGAAAGAATTCTTGATATCCCTGGGCATTATCACAGCTTTGGCACATTTATAAATTCAGTCATATTAGTGCTGTGGTTGTATAGGGGAAAGGACTCCTATCTTTTGCAAACAATCTTTCATTTTTAGTTTTTGCTATTTTTTATAGTCTTGGTTGTTTTTTTCAATTACAAATTGAAAGTGGATAGTCTTATTGAAAAGTCTGCCACTATGTTAACTGAGAAATCGCCATAAAATGTATTTTTAAATTTTTTCTGTGGTAGATCATAATGATTTTTAATGCATTTTGAGTCAGAAGTAGGTAATATAGAGATGAAAGCCGGTAGGCACAAACATTGTTTTCCTTTTTCTTTCTCTCCTTTGATTTTTTTCCCCCTTCTGCTTATTATCTTTTCTTATCGTCAGTTAGGTCTGATGGGGCCCCTAATTGTTTAGTCTTTTTTTGTGACAGTCACAGTTTATGAATATTAACTTCAGAGGCAGGTTTTGTGTTTGAATATAACATGTAACAATTCCATTCCTAGGGAGAAATAGCCTTTTCAAATAAAACTGGGCAAGTGTTTTATGTAGGTGGACTCTTAAAAACGAAGAACAAAGGTATGAGGTGGAAATGAGTGGGAAGTATAATAAAAGTTCACCTCAATTTTCTGTGTATGAACTTTTTGGTAATATAGTTCCCTACTTACTTATCATGATAATGTCCAAAAAAAGTACTACACTGAGGACAGATAAAGCTGCATTGAAATCCTGGTTCTCCTGCCTTTTGGGTACCCTGGAACGTATTACTGAACTCCAATATTATCTGTAAAATAGGAACAGTTATCTACTACAGAAGATTACTGAGAAGATTAAATAATATGAAAGATAAAAGATTCTTGGCAAATATTTAGCATTCAATAAATGTTAGTTCTTCCTCTCTTAATTCCTTCTCTCCTTATATGTATTGTTTAAGGCCTATTTCATAGCTCTGGAGCATAGGGGTATTAGGGTGAACTCTGTCATTAAACAGTGTTAAAATATACATATCATTTTCTTCAGTTAAAACCTCTTCAAAAAATTGTGGAACCATCCATGTTTATGAATATTGCACCACCTCCAGAAAGAACAGACCCTGTCACGTAAGTGTTTTAAGTCTTGTTAACACAGTCGGATCGTGGGGCCTTTGAAACCTTTCACCGCTTGATGGGGTATTTTGGTTGTGTTAAGACATGGCCAGAATGGGTTAGACTCCACCCAAAGAGAGCAGTGAATTGTTTTGCTTAAAAAGGGGGAGAAAATTTGAGTTTCTGGGTATAGCGCTGAAGAGAGCTGGTGGGCGGTGGGGAGCCTGGAGATAAGAAAAATAAAGGAGGTGGGTGCCAGCTTCGCGGCTGAAGGTGGGAGGGGAGGGGTAGCCTGATGAAGAAAGTTGGCCAGAGAGATATTCCTTTTGTAGAAAGAAGTGAGGACTTTTAAGATCAAGCTGTCTTAATTGTTTTAGTTTTCTGCTCTGCAGTACAGTAGTGTTTACCTGACTTCCACACACTCCATTTGTTATTTTTAAATCCAGGCAAGTCTGTTGTCAATATATGTCATTAGGAAACCAAAAGTAACTTGAAATATAACATGTCAACCGGTCTTGAAATTTCAACAGTAAAAAATAGATCAAAGAAAAATGAGCACCTGAGAGAGACATTTTAATCTATAGTGCTCTCTAAGAATCAGAAATGGCAAATATCTGAAATGGAATTAGGGAATTAGATATAAGAGAGGAAATTATATTCTGAAGTATTTATTTTTTAGTTTCACCAACACTGGGTATTATTCTTAAAAACAAATTTTATCCAGTTGATACTGGTGATTTGTTGAAATAGTAAAGTGGAATGTTTTTCTTATGTTTATTGATTGTTCCCTCTTTATCCATTTTCTCATTGATTCAATAAACATTTACTGAGTCTGCTATACCCCCAAGGCACTGCAGATACAAATATAAATGAGGCCTGGTCCTTATCCTCAAGTAGCTCATGGTTTGATGAAGAGGTAACCTGTAAAAAAAATTATTAAAATAGATAAGAACCCCTGTAGAGGCAAACATAAAGAACTAAGGGACATAGCCAAGGAACTTTTCATACCCATTCTTGAAGGGTTCTGTGATTGCTCTTCTCTGTAGTCCAGACTTTATGATGGGAACCGCGCTCACTGAACTGGGAGTAATTGAGTGCCAGCGTGGCAGGAGCCAAATGATAGCACTCAACCACAGAAGGCAAGGTGGAGTGGTTACTGTAATGGACAACAGTCAACGCAGCAGTCAGAATAGTATGAGTCACACAGACCTATGACATTGGCTCGTTGATCAGGATATTTTTAGGGAAAAAAAATACATAGGAAGCCCACTAAATTTGTATTTGATCTGTATAAGCAGAAAAGCTCTAGGTAAAGTGAACAGAAGTCTCACCTGAATCATAAAAACGGAGTCACAGCTCCTCAACCCATCCCCAATTTAAGCCAGTCTATAGACCCAGAACCCCTTGAATGAAGGGGGGGCCTGGTGTCTTGAGGAGAGAATCTGGCACATTACTAAAAATTTATAATGTTAACTTTTTTCCTAGTGCTTTACTGGGGTAACTGTGTACTAGAGAAAGGGAAATAATCCAAGCTTTCAGAGATTGCTGGACACTAGCTCTGAACTGACGCTAATTTCAGAAGATCAAAAACAGCACTATTGTTCACCACGGTAGGGGCTTATGGAGGTCAGGTGATCAGTGGAGTTTTAACTGTGATCCGTCCCACAGGGGAGCCAGTGGGTCCTCGAACCCATCCTCTAGTTCCCTGATTCCGGAATATATAGTTGGAATAGACATAAAGAGCAGTTGGTGAATTTATACATTGGTTTTGTGACCGGTGGAATGAGGGATATTATGTTGGGAAGGTCCAAATGGAAGCCACTAGAGCTACCTCTACTTAGGAAAATAATAAACCAAAAGCAACAACACATCCCTGGAGGGATTACAGAGATTAGTGCCATCGTCAAGGACTTGAAAGATCCAGGAGGTGATTCCCATCACACCCCCACTCAACTTGCTTATTTGCCTGTGCAGAAAACAAGTGGCTTTTGGAGAATGACAGTTGAGTGGGTTATTGTAAGCTTAACCAGGTAGTGACTGCAATTGCAGCTGCTATGCCAGATGTGGTTTCATGGCTTGAGCAAATTAACACAACCCCTTGTACCTGGTGTACAGCTGTTGATCTTGTGAATGCTTTCTCTCTCCCTGCTTGTTAATAAAGACCATCAAGCAGTTTTCTCTCAGCTGGCAAGACCAATAACACACCGTCACTGTTCTCCCCAAGGGGTATGTCCATTCTCCACTCCTACGTCATAATTTAGTTCACAAGAATCATCACCTTTCCGTTACACAGCTTATCACACAGGCCTTCGCAGCGATGACATCATGCTGATTGGGTCAAGTGAGCAAGAACTAGACCTTTTAAAAAAAAATTTTAGTTTCAAGTGTATAGAATAGTGGCTGGACAATTATATAGTTAATAGCGTGATAATTCTAGCACCTTCCTGGCACTATATGTACCTCTAGACTTATTGGTAAGATATTTGCATGTCAGGGTGGAAAATAAGTCTGACAAAATTCAGGGGCCTTCTACCGCAGAGAAATTTTAGGAATCCAGTGGTAGGGGGCTTGTCAAGATATTCCTGCTAAGGTAAAGGGTAAGTTGTGTCTGGATCATCCTAAACCAAAATATACATATGCATAACATCTAGTGGGGCTCTGGATTTTGAAGGCAACATATTTCTCATCTGGGTGTGCTGCTCTGGCCCATTTACCAACTGACCTCAGGGGAATATATATATATGGGTGTGTATTTTTTTATATATCTCAAATAACTTTATTTTATTTCTTATCATTTAACATAAGATGTATTGATTTTATATCTTAATATTTAAGTTATATCATAGTATTTAAGTTTAAGGATATCAAGGGGAAGGGTAAATGCCCAAGGACTTTACACCTCCTCTTCTGGGGAAGGGGATAGTGAGCTTTTGGTTGTGTGCAGAATGGCTGTAGGAGGAATTATGACCTTGTTATTGTTTTCATTTGGAGATTAAAAGCATTTTAAGGAAATGCTTATGGGTGCCAAATTGACAAAGGGTGGACTTGTGATAGTTAATTTTATGTGTCACCTTGACTGCGCCATGAGATAAAGATTTGGATCTAGAGATTGGGAGAGAGGTCTAGGCTGGAACACTTTCAGCTTCCCTAGAACTTTATATTCTTGTCTCCTTTCCCATTTCTGCTGCCCATACTTTTAGTAGTAAGAGTACTCAAGACAGCACTTCTGTCAGGATTTCTGACTTTGGTCCTCTTTCCTAACTCTGTCTTCTGATGGCCCGAAGTGAATAGGTGAGTTTACAGCATAAAAAAGAGAGCAATTCAAAAGTGATAGCTACCGCTGTGTTTAGACGTGTCTTGTATAATTTCAGTATTTACCTTTATTACCATTTTGCAGAAATGTTATTATACCACAGCTGATAGAATATCCAGCATTCTTATCCCCAGACCTGAATGTGACTGTTGGGACGCCAGCCTCAGTACCCCAATCCAACCAGCCCTCTGCAGTGCGGCTTGAAAAACTTCAGCAACCACCTCGGGAAAGGTAAAAAACAAAGATTTAAGTCTTTAAATCTTATTTGTGTGTTGTTGGTATATTAGTTTTTTCCTTTGAGACATGGGCTTGCTGTTAGTTCAGAAACCTTCACTGTGGCTGCATTTCATGGGTTCAGAGGTTTTTCCTGAGTTTTGCTTAACATATTTGGGTGTTTCTTAAAAAGTCAGTGCTATGGCTAGAAAAGAGGTGAGAACTCATTTATAAGGTAAGGTCAACAAGATAAAGAGATAAACTGAGGCAAGCTCAAAATTGTAAAAAGATGAGTGTTTAAGAATAACAGAGGAATTGTAATTCAGGACATGCAAATTGTAGCAAGCTATAAGTGAGTCCATTGAAGGTTTGGGGTAAGCTGTATTTATGGGCAGGGAAATTTATATGCAAGGAGGGAAAAGTTCAGTTAGAGTCTGTTAAAATAAGACACAAATGGACACCAGCTTTAAAAATTCCTTGAGCTGACAAAACCAGTCAGCCAATCATACAAACAATGCTCAATTTAGCCTTTTTAAAAAATCCTTGTTTGAGGATAGATATATAGATATAGAGATATAGAGATATATATATTTTTTTTACTGATTTTAGCGAGAGATGAAGAGAGAAAAAGAGAGAGGGAAACATCAGTTGGTTGCCTCCTGTATATGCCCTGACCAGGGATCAAACCCACAACCTAGGCATGTGCTCTGACTGGGAATTGAGCCTGCAACCTTTTGGTGCAGGGGACAATGTTCCAACCCACTGAGCCACCCGTCCAGTGCTTAATTTAGCTTATTTTTAAAGGCCAACTTGACTTGGGTCATTTCTTGTTCATGACCTAGAAACCGTAAATAAAACTCCTCAAGGTTGATATGAGGCAACCCTGACCAATTCCCTATCATTTAAGAAAATTGCGATATTATCAGTTTTCTGTAAATCAAAGATTTATGGGAAATTGGTTTCTCAGTCCTTAAGTTTTGTTTTTCTGAGGTCACATGTGTGAGATTTTCCATTTTATATCCTCCAGTTCCATTTTAGATAGAAATGCTTTCACAGGAGAAAATATATTTGTTCTGCCCCCTGACTCAACAATATATTCTGTAGGTCTCTCATTCTCTGCTCTGTATATCTTTTTTTTTTCTCTATAGTTCAATCTACATATTTTCTTCTGACCTATTTTATAATTCACTGGTTCTTTCTCTCCAAGCTCTGCCTGCAGAACCGTGGCTTGTCTGGCTCACAGTGAGAGCGGTGGGTTGTGCTGGGCTTTCTTTTGAGTAGCGGCGTTCCTCCACTCCCTTCTTCCTGACAGAATCAGTCTCAGTGGGTCACTTGCACTTTCTGCCCACTGACTCACATGTATCTTTGTTGTATGTTTTCATAATCTTGAGAAGTTATTTTCCCTATTCTCTTTCTTCTTATAACTACCTTGGAATTTGGCCCTGATAGTTTTCTGTTGCTCAAGTTTATATGAAGTTAATTTTCCTAATTTTTGTAGGGAGACAGTTTAGAAAGCTTTCTCAGCTTCACAGAGCTCGCACTTCTGATATTTTTATCCGGTGTTTAAAAAATACAAAGACTTGATTTCTAAGATTTTTTTCTGAGGCCCTGTACTGGAGTAGAGACCTGGCTGGTCAGCTTTGAGCATTCACAGTGGTTAAATTGCTTCAGTCCTTTTAGTTCTTGCCATGAATCGTTTTCATTCGTTTACTTTTTGAATGGACAAACCCTTCCCGGTTTTAATTGCTATTCTTTTTTTAAAAGAAAACGTTTATTTATTTATTTTTAGAGAGGGGAAGGGAGGGAGGAAGAGAAAGAAAGAAACATCAGTGTGTGGTTGCATCTCGCACGCCCCCTACTGGGGACCTGGCCTGCATCCCAGGCATGTGCCCTGCACTGGGAATCAGACTGGTGACCTTTGGGTTCACAGGCCGGTGCTTAATCCACAATTAGCCACACCAGCCAGGGCTAATTGCTATTCTTAAATTGGTCAGCTGTGCTCTCCTGTGACTAATGGTAGCTGTTGGGGATGTTCTTATTCTCAAGTGGATCAGACACTCCTTTTATACTGGTTGCTCTCTCCCATACATACACTAATACCATGAAGATCTTATGTCTAGGGTTTGGCACAAATAATGCCTGTTTTTTATTACAAAATCTCTTCTTACAAAACCATAAACATGTAACTATGTAACATAACAATATCACACTCCAGCACACAATATGACATGTTAGGTGAAATGTTCAAATTAAAAATATAAATTATTAGACCTATATTATTACCCTACCAACCACGCTCAAGCAGGCCTTATTTATATGCTCAGGGGCTCACAGGAATACCTTGTTACATGATATTGTTGTAAATGTTGCTTGTAAGTTTTTGGATTTGGTATCTAGATGCTCTGAATATTTTTAGGTAGATATTTGGGAAGATTCAGAAACTCTGCTACCTCTGCTGACAATGTCTTTTTAGAATTTCCCTCTTTAGAGATATTTCATATTTAATAAAATTTTTCTGTAGGGGAAATTTATTTAAACAATCATCTACAAATCACAATTTTGTTTATTCATAATCCTTACTCTTTAATTTTGTTTTGTCTTACTATGCTAACCAGAAGTCCAGTCAGTGTCTGATTTGAATAGCAGAACAGGGGGATATCTTTGTTTCATTTATGATCTTTAAAGACAATGCTTCTAGCATTTAATAGTCAAAAGCATTCTTTATATGCTTCTTAGTAGATATCCTATACCAGCTTAAGTAAATTCTTTCCTTCTTTTCTAGTTTTCTAAGAGTTCTCTTTTTATTTTACACATGAATGAATGTTAGATTTTGCCAAATGCTTTTTCACTTTTAATCAGTTAAATTGTATTTCAGTTATATATATATATATTTTTAAATTATTTATTTTTTTAGCGAGAAAGGAGAGAGAAGAAGAGAGAGAGAAACATCAATGTGTGGTTGCCTCTTGCGTGCCCCCCACTGGGGATCTGGCCTGCGACCCAGGCATGTGCCCTGACTGGGAATTGAAACCAGTGACCTTTTGGTTCGCAGGTTGGCACTCAATCCACTGTGCCATACCAGCCATGGCTTTATTTTTTAATGGTAATTCAAAATATTCCTGTGTTCCTGTAATAAAACCAGTTTATTTATGCTATAATATCTTTACAACACTGAATTTTTTTGTACTAAAATTATGTTATTTGTAACATTTGCATCTACATTCATGAGTGAGATTAAACTAATTTTCCTTTTTTATCATGTCCTGGTTAGGGCTTATCATCATAAAATGAATTTGGGAAACATTCCCCCGTTTTCATTTAATTCTTGCAAGTTATATATTTAGATTTTTAAAGCCTTTGGATTATAAACTTATTTCTTGGATATTTTCTTGGATTAGAAGCTAAGTTTCTATTTTTAAATTTGTTCTTCTGTGAAAGATATCATACGTATATTGAATAATTTATAAAATATGTATATGTAGTTTATTTTTAAGCATATTTTATTGATTATGCTATTACAGTTGTCCCATTTTTTTCTCCCATTTCTCCCCCTCTGCCCTGCACCCCACTCCCACCAGCATCCCCGTCCCTTAGTTCATGTCCACGGGTTGTACATAGAAGTTCTTGGGCTCCTCCATATCCTAAATTGTTCTTAACCTCCCCCTGTCTATTTTGTCCTTACCAATCATGCTTCTTATTCCCTGTACCTTTTTCCCCATTCTCCTCTCTCCTGCTCCCTGCTGATAAATCTCTGTGTGATCTCCATTTCTGTGATTCTGTTCTTGTTCTATTGCTTGCTTAGTTTGTTTTTGTTTCTTAGGTTCAACTGTTGATAGTTGTGATTCTATTGTCATTTTACTGTTCATAGTTTTGATCTTCTTTTTCTTAGATAAGTCCCCTTAACATTTCATATAATAAGGACTTGGTGATGACGAACTCCTTTAACTTGACCTTATCTGGGAAGCACTTTATCTGCCCTTCCATTCTAAATGATAGCTTTGCTGGATAGAGTAATCTTGGATGTAGGTCCTTGACTTTCATGACTTTGGATGTTTCTTTTCAGCCCCTTCTTGCCTGTAAGGTTTCTTTTAAGAAATCAGCTGACAGTCTTATGGGAACTTCTTTGTAGGTAACTGTCTCCTTTTCTCTTGCTGCTTTTAAGATTCTCTCCTTATATTTAATCTTGGGTAATTTAATAATGATGTATCTTGGTGTGTTCCGTCTTGGGTCCAACTTCTCTGGGACTCTCAGAGCTTCCTGGACTTCCTGGAAGTCTATTTCCTTTGCCAGATTGGGGAAGTTTTCCTTCATTATTTTTTCAAATAAGTTTTCAGTTCCTTGCTCTTCCTCTTTGCCTTCTGGCACTCCTATGATTTGGATGTTGAAACATTTAAAGTTGTCCTGGAGGCTCCTAAGCCTCTCCTGATTTTTTGAATTCTTGTTTCTTCACTCTGTTCTGGTTGAATGTTTATTTCTTCCCTCTATTTCAAATTGTTGATTCGAGTCCCGGTTTCCTTCCCTTCACTGTTGGTTTCCTGTATATTTTTCTTTACTTCACTTTGCATAGCCTTCACTTCTTCCACTATTTTGCGACCATACTCAACCATTTCTGTGAGCATTCTGATTACCAGTGTTTTGAACTCTGCACCTGACAGGTTTGCTATCTCCTTGTTGCTTAGTTCTTTTTCTGGAATTTTGATCTGTTCTTTCATTTGGGCCATATTTCTTCATCTTGGCATACCTGTTATGTTGTAAGGGGCATAGTGTAAGGTATTTGCCAGGACGGGCAACTCACTTGGCTGTGTTGTGACACTGTATGGGGGGGAGGGGTCAGAGACGAACAATGCCACTTGTTCAGCTCTCCTCCGGCTTTCAGTCACTTCCCTCTCTACCACAAGCAAATTGAGCCCTTTTGGTGCTGGTTCACAGGTGGGTGGGCTTGTGTACATTCTAGGACCCATGGGTCTCTCCAACTAACTCTCCTTTGAGGTTGGAAGTTTCTCCCGCCATCATAACCCCTACAGGTTTTTACTGCCAGAGGTTTTGAAGCTTTATTTCCTTGCGCTGGAGCCCTAGGTTGCGCAGCCTGTGTGGCTCCCTAGTTGTTCCTCCTGGCTTATACATACGTGAATGTGTGACCACCCTGTCCTCCAGCCACCACCTCACCCACTCTGCTGAGCCTTGCTGCACATCCTCTCTGCCCCAGCTGCCAGTTTCTGCCCCTCCTACCTGTCTGGAAGAATGTTTCTTCTTTAACTTCGTGGATGTTGGACTTCCAAAAAGTTTGATTTTCTGGAAGTTCTGGTTGTTCTTTGTTTTTAAATTTGTTGCTGCCCTTCTTTTGGTTGTACGAGGAAGGAAAGCGTATCTACCTATGGCTTCATCTTGGCTGGAAGTCTGTATATATAGTTATGAGACCAATATGTATTGAATAATTTAAAAAACATATATGTATGGCTTAAATAAAGGAAAACAATTGCCTAGATATTTATAATTCAGGTTAAGAAATACAACATCCACAATATCAGAAATGTGTTATGTGTGTCCTTAAAAGATTACATCTCTCTCCCCAACTGTCCCAGGTAACTACTACCCTGCTTTTTGTTGTAATCATTCCTCTTTCTTTGACTATATCTTTAAACAATATAATATCTTTATATTGTTGGTTTGCCTCTTTTGGAACTTTTAAAAAATGGATCACACTGTATGTATTCTTTTGTGAATCTAACATATATATTCTTGCTTCTTAAATCTATAACTCTTCTTTCTTTAGGCTGGAAAACATGAAAAAAGAATATAGAGATCTGCATACATGGAGAGAAAAAGTTATATATTTAGAAGGAGTTCTTGCCCCTAAATTGGAACATAATGAACTTGAGGTAATTAACATAATATGTCCTCCCATATATAGCTTTTAATACTTTTTATTTTAAAAGATTATGATAATTAAAGTGATGATCAGATATTGTTTATGTTCTTGATATATAAAATGTTATTCATGGTCCATACACTTATTATTTTGATAATGGGACATTCAACAAATATTAATTGGTAATTTACAAGATTTAGTTTCTTAACAGTTTTGTTGATATATAATTTGTATATGTATAGTTCATCCATTTAAAGTACACAATTCAGTGACCCTTATTATATACAGAGCTGTGTGTCCATTGTTACAATTAATTTTAGAAAATTCTCATTACCCCACAAAGAAACCCGACACCTTAGTCTATACCCTCCAAATACTCATGTCCCCTAGATTTGCTTTTTGTAGACATTTCATATAAATGAAATTACACCATATATTGTCCTTTATGACTTGCTTTCTTTACTTAACATAGTGTTTTCCTGGTTTATTCCTGTTGTAGCATATGTCAAACCCATCGCAGGATGTTTGAAGTGGTATCACATTATGGTTTTGGTTTTCATTTCCCTAATGACCAATGATGTGAGCATCTTTCATGTGCTGGTCCTTTGTGTATCTTTTTTTGGGTAAATATTTATTTAAATCAATTGCTGATTTTTTTAATTGGGTTATTTATATTTTTATTTTTGAGTTGTAAGAGTTCTTTACATATTTTAGATACTAGACCTCAATTAGATATATAAGTAAGGTTTCATATTTAGAAATCCAGTCTAACCTATACATTTTTATCTGGCAATAAAGCACTTAAAGGGATTTCAGTAGATAGATAAAACATTGAAAAGAAACGGTACTTATATTGATATATTAATGATTTTTAATGCTTCTGCTATAATTGGGCAGAGTTGTGTTGCTATAGAATAATTTGATTAGCATTACCAAACAGAATTGATATTTTAGGGACAATTAGGAGGATTCTTAATTAATGGGGCTATGGACTTCGGGTTCTTATTGAAAAATCAGTATTTTACAAGAGCCAATAATCACACTATATTATGATTTTTCTTGGAATTTGTAAAGAGCCACATCACGTTTCAACTCATAAACCATAATGCATTTTAATAAAAAGGTAATCTGTTTCTTGGAGGTATCCTCTTATAGGCCTTAAAGTTACATTATGTCATTTATCTTGTAATTTCTTTCTCTCACACGTTCATCATTTAAGTACCCTATCAATTCTTAGGTATCCTCTCCCTGGCACTTCAACTCCTGGCCAGGGTGTTGCTCGTCTCACAAACACATATCCCTCTTGTCTTCTGTAAATTTTTAAAAATGTATTAAAAGTTTGAAGGCAGACAGAAATGTTTGAGCTCTTTGGACATTTCACCCAGTATATTTTAATATATTTTCTTTCTTTTTTTGCTTTTAGAGAAGTAATACCAATGAGATATATGAAAGGCAACTTGAAGAGAAGTCTGAAGATACTGTAACATCAGGTTAAAAAACTAATTTACTTTTTGAATTTATTATTAAGATAATTAAAAACAGTGTGGTTATATAACAAATATAAAATTAATAATTTGCTTTAAGTGGATTTCATATTTTGATAGGGAATACATATGTGTTTCATTATAGTTTTGGTATATAGTATTCATTTATAACACTTCAAAGAAAAGGCTTCAACTTAATTCAGAGTTATTTTAATTTTTTAATGTTCCTTTACTCCTTTAAGGACAAGAAAAAAGTTAAATTTCAACTCTGATTTATGAAAAGGTATTTTTTGGAAACAAAGAACAAACTGACAGGGACCAGAGGGGAGGGGGAAGGGGAATAATGCGGGGAAAAAGGGGAAGGGGCAAACAAAGGAGCAAATAGAGGACTCATGGGCATGGACGATGGGGGGATCGACTATGGGAGTCGGGGGGCGAAGTAGGGGAGAACAATGGGGAAATAGGCAGGACACCTGTAACTGAACTGCAATAAAAAAAAGAAAAAAAGACATGGCATTTTCGTTAATCATTGTTATCTGTAGAGCTGTTGGTCTATCATGTAGAAGTGTGTGTGTGTGTGTTTGTATGTGAGAGAGAGAGAGAGAAAGAAGGAGGGGGAGAGGGACAGGAAATTAGCATTAAATTTGCAAATATACCACAATTACCATTTAAGACTTTTTTTCTGGTAACAGAATATTTTTTTTTCTTTATTGTCAACACTATTACAGGTGTCTCCGCTTCTCTCCCCGCCTTTGCCCACCTCCACCCAGCCTCTGCCCCACCCTTCTCTCTGGCCATCGCCACGCTGTTGTCCTTGTCTATGGGTCATGCATATACGTTATTTGGCTAATCCTTCCACCTTCTTTCATCCAGTCTACCCTTCTCCTGACCCCTTTAATAGCTGTCAGACTATTCCATATGTCGATGCCTCTGTTTCTATTTTGTTCATCAGTTTATTTTGTTCATTATATTTAATTTATAAGTGAGATTCTATGGTATTATGTCTTTCTCTGATTGGCTTATTTCACTTAGCATAATAATCTCCAGGTCCATCCGTGCTGTCACACAAGGTAAGATTTCCTTCTTTTTCTACAGCTGTGTAGTGTTCCATTGTGTAAATGTACAATAACTTTTTTATCTGCCCATCTACTAATGGGCAGTTGGGCTGTTACCAAGTCTTGGCTATTGCAAATAATGCTACTATGAACATAAGAGTGCATATGTTCTTTCAAATTGGTGTTTTGGGATTTTAGGATATATATCCGGAAGTGGGCTTATTGGCAGAGCTGTCGTATTTTCAGCCTAGCAGAGCTGTTGTAATTTTAGCCTACTTTGCACCTAAAACATTCAAGTTTTAGGTGTAGGGGAACCACATTTAACTCTTCAATATCGTTGTTGAAGATTGTAAGTTAACCTTTTTTACTCACCAGTCGTGGCCATCTTTTCCTTTTTTATTTATATTTTTTCACTTATCCAAAAAGTTTATTTAAGGCCCATTGGGTCATCTAGTGACTTCTTTTGTTTTGGTGTTCTTTTGGCTTCCTATAGTTGTAGCTAACATTTATTGATCACAGCCTTCCAGGCACTTTATTTGGGTTCCATAAATCAATCCTCAGCAATCAGTTGAGGGCACAATTATTATTTATCCATATTTTTACAGATAAGAAAACTGAGGATCAAACCAATCAATGGTCACACAACCATTAAATGATGAGGGTTGAATTTGAGCGTAGTCTCTTTGACCCAAGAGCTCAAGCATTTAACCATATTGATGCTCACATCTTACATATACTGGTATCATATCTATAAGATGCTGTTAGCCCATTTTACATATGAGAAAACCAAAGCTCAGAAAAATGAGATGACCACAAGCACGCAACTAATAATGACCATATAATTTCTTTTTTTACTAAACTCATACATTCCTTTGTATCTCAATTCTTTATTCCCTCTCTCTTTCTTTTAGGTTTTCCTTTTCTACTTGCTAAAGATGTATTCTTTGTATTTCTAGGAAAATTTCACAAGTGCTTTAATTACATCTCTTCAATGGTCCTTTTTTTCACTGGTTTATTCAAATCTCTTTTTCAAATCCTATCTTACTAACAACCAACTGGGATTTATTTTATTTACTACTGGCTTTTAACAAAATATACTCTACACCTGTTTTTGTGTCTTAATTGATAGATCTGAAATCTCATCACTTTACATATGTTTTCATCTTATCTTCACTCTCATACATTTACTACTCCCTCATCTTCCAAGAGATTCATCAGTCTGTTTTTACTACATAGTGTTTGTTTGTATAGCTGCTTTGATTTAATTTTTCTTTGTTCTTGGTGAGAAAAACTATAATAATAATTTATTACTGTACATACATATAAATAATATGTTTATTTTACATGTAATAAAATATATTAATTTGTTAACAGATATCTCTTTTGTAAATGAGGAAGCTGAAATTATTTCAAGTGAGGTAAGGAAAGATGACTTATAGTCATTTTTTTAAAGGGGTGAAATATTTATAAATGGAGAAATATTTCTAGATGAAAAAAGCACTCAAGAAGTTATTCAGGTTATCCTGGTTATTTTTGTTATGGCAATATATTTACAGTTACATACAGTTAAGTAAAATTACACACTTAAAAAAGAAGTTTCAGGATAAAATAGTAACATTTAAAAAATATATATATATAGATGGGGGACAAGAAGAGTTGATGAAGAGAAGGGGGATACAAATAAAAGAAAACATGAAGTTCTGCACAATGATCTTAGAAATGGATACTACCCACCTGACCACATTCTTTTTCTTATCGAATAATAATCTATTTTTTAACAATACAAATAAATAAAAATAGAGTTAACATGATATTATATGCTTTTTATCTAATTTTCCAGAAGATATATTCCATAAAATAGTGAATCCCCATGTAAACCAATAAAAAATAAATGATTCTTCTATATTACTTAACAGGTGGGATTTAATGATTTCCATCCTTGGGTCACTGGCTGCCAAAACCAGTTGAAGAGTCATATGTACTATTTTCCCCAGTCCAAGGAAAGGGACAAAAAAGACAACATAGATCATTTTTCACAGTGTTCAATATATTTAGCTTAATAGTCCGTCCTTTATTATAAGATACCATTCTTTGTAATATTTTGCTATTAAAATTTCCTCTTTTTATGATATATTGGTGATAGTATAATAATAAAATGTTAGATCCCTCAATCTTCTTTTCTGAGATGTTGCTAATTTATTAAATTTTAATATATGAGAACCACTGATTTATAAACTAGTATGATCATTTTTATGGATAATTGTCCATGGTCTCAGGCAAGTAGAGAATTGCTCAACTCTTTTAATAAGGGTTGTAATGATTTACAAATATTGATGGTAACTTGTTATGATTAAAGGATAAGGGTACAAATGATTTTAAGTCCAGTTTTGTCAGTTTTAAATATTTTCTAATCAGTGATGATTAATTAGTAGCTTTTTTAAAAATATATTTTCCAGTTACTGGATAATGATGATAAGAAGGACCTGACTCTACCAACATTGAACCAGATGGATCAAGATCATTCAAATGCTGTTGCTTCTAAGAGTAGTGAATCAACAAAACAAAGAGCTACTCCATTGCTCATTATTCCCAGCCTGACAATAACAGAAAAGAACAAAATACTGCTTTCAGAAGACCAATTAGAAGCCGTGACAGAGAGAAAACTGAATAATGTACACTTTAAACCAAAAGTAAAATTAAAAGATAAACATCCAAAAATTTCAAAATCAAACTCATCTGCATCTGCATCAGAGGTAATGTTGAAAAGTACTCCTAATAAGTCCAAGTGGAATAAATAGAAAGAACTTAGATTCATCTCCAACAGAAATTAGGTGGCAAAGTAACAATCTAAGCTTAGCTAGAAGGAAGAGCACTGTTAAGTTTCCCCAGATTCAAAATCAAAATGTAGCTTTCAAAGCCAAGATCCAAAGCAAGGCCTTGTACTAAAGGTGTCTGCCCACACATTAGACGTATAAGACTAGGGAAAACAAAGTTGATTCACTTAACATAATAAATTAAATACAAGTAAATTGAAAATGCAATTAAATGTATGTGAGTGGAAGTGTGTCGAAGTATACTAAACATTATTACCCTATTTATACTCATCAAGGAGGAAAAATCTTAAAGAAGAAAAGCAAAGTGATCAGAAATATCAGAAATACAAACTAGTCTCATGGGTTGGTGTCAAATTCAGCTGAAAGAGTAAAAACAATAACAAAATGTAAATTCAAAGGAAATTTAAAAGCTTGGGAAGTTACTTCAGTGGAAATTTTTAATGTAACTGTTATATAATAGGGAATAACATATGTTCTCCCTATTAGAAATAATTTTATAGTTTACAATAGAATTATCTGAATGTGAATGTAAATGTAAAGCCTTTATCAAAATAACAGTTACAGTGTATTCTATTTAGATCTTTACATCTTATTTGAATTACTATTATAGGTAGCTCATAAAACAGTGTAAAAATGTATATTGGTTAGTGGGTAAACAATCTGAATTATAAGTGAGGCTCTGCCTCTAAATACTTTAACAAGCACAGGCACTTAAATCTCTAAGCCTCTTTCCTCATCTGTTATATGATGGATCATACTAGGTCATTTCTAAATTCCCTAACAAATTCAAAAATATGTAATTTTCTTATGTATCTCTAGTCAGGGAATTATGCTTAAATACCTAGATCAACAACCCAACCCTGTAACTTAAAAAGAATAACATTCTGGTTTTTACTGAATGTGGAAGTAATATAGTAATTATAGAAAATGTTCAGCATTAAAAATGCTGACTGTCATTGAGTTTGTTGGAAAAATGGAGCTCAGAGACTTGATCAATGCAGGACACGGACAACTGTTATGCAATGATTGTGGGGGCAGGGAGGTGAGTGGAGGTGGAAGGAGGGTGGAAGGAGGGATAAATGGTAATGGAAAAAATACAAGAAAAAAAGAAAAAGAAATAAATAAATACTATAATGTAACTCTAGAACTTAGATTATCCACCTTCTCCAGGGGACATTACTGTTAATTTTTGAGGGCTGCAGTCACCTGTTTCTTTTGTGACTTATCTAAACTATTTTTGAAAAGACTGTATTCCTTGTCATTGCTGGTCAGTCACTGAAGTCTCTGTTCCATTCTCTTGGTAGCCAAGTAATGACCTAATGGATTTCTTAAAATATCAAAATTTATCTGTCCTTTTATAATTAAACAGTCCCCTGCTGCTGTAAGTTTTGTATTAGATTTTGGAATTTGAAATAAGTGATCTGTCAGTCTTTGACAATTTATACTTGTTTCAGTAGAGGAGCCAATTCTTTGAGCAGCTGACTCCACCACTTTCTATAATGTCCCTTGTGCCTTCTTGACATATGTTTTCTTTGGTATCAATCTTATTTTTATTTTATCTTTTACATTATTAGTTTTTTCCCCTCGAGGCTTAGAGAAAACAAGAAGGGGTCAATGATATACAAAGTAATAGCACGTGGGTTTTTTCCTTGTTTGTTTTGATGCTTGAAATGTCCTCATCAGCCTACTAATACAGCGCTTCAGCCATGCAAGTTATCTTTTCTTATGTAAGATAAAGCCAAGTGGTAACATTGAATCTCATTTTATTATTATTTTTAGCCATAAATAATGCTGTTTAAAATTCATATTGATATTTAATTATTGTTCCTATTAACTATTTATGGTGCTTTATTTCAGAGTTCATATTGTTCCCTTAGCTCATTGAATGAATTTGGAAGGGCCTCTGATCATGTAGGTAAGTCATTATTTACATATAGTTGTAATTTTTAAATATTCAGTGAATTTAAAATATGAACTAATGTAAAACAATGATTATCAAGACTTTCAAAATATAAATCACATTATTTTCTGATAAGTGGCATGAAAAATCTATGGAATTACAATATTAGTGGGAAATCAAACAAAGCAAAATACCGGTGGCCTTAAAATCCTAGATAATGTTTATTTTTATGTATTATAATATTACTTAACCACTTATTATGTTTATCTGTGTACCCTGGAGATCTATCTAGTTAAGAGGTTTTTCTAAATCAAGGAGTTAGTTTTTCAGTGATATCATTATGAAGATATTCAACATATCAGTAAACCGGAAGGTGATAATCAAAACCGGAAGGTGATAATCAAAACATTGAACAACTGGTACAGCATGAGCATGGAGTAACCGAATCAGACCCCACTGCTGGGCGGGAGGTCTGGAGGCCTCCTGCTGCGCCAGCTGGGGTTGAAGGATGTGGGAGAACCCTGGGAGGAGGTAGCAGGGCCGTGAATGTGAGAATGGGTGCTGGAACGTTTTTAGGCAGCAACATTTTACAGATCAGTAGAGAAATGTTTTAATATTTAATCGTTGGAACGGTCTTAACTGTGTCGTGACTGAATAGGCATCCAGAGGGGACTGTAGTGATATAATTAAAATGAAGAAAAAATAAGAAGATAGATAGAACACTTGTCAGGGAGGATGAGCAAGCAAACATGTTTCTCTGTAACGTGCAAGCATCCCTGGTTTGTCGAGAGTGTTCTCCGATTATGGACCTATGGGGAAAAGTATCAATGAATGTGTAATGAGAAATATATTTTTATTTTATAATTTTCAGTTTTATTTTTTAATTTCTATTGGCACTCAATATTATTTTATATTATTTTCAGGTGTACAGCATAGTGGTTAGAAAATTATACAATTTACAAAGTTATCCCCCTGATAATTCAGTACCCACCTGGCACCATACATCTTTATTATAATATTATTGACTATATTCCCTACTACCGTTTACATCCCCATGACCATTTTGTAACTATCAGTTTGTAGAGAAGTATATTTTTAGAACAAAGTACCCAAAAGAGAAATTTGGCTTATCTTGAATAGTTGAATGTGGTAAAACAAAAATGATTAGAAGTTAATGCTTTAACCATATGTTTCTTGTATTTATACATATATACACATATGTATATGTATTTATATATCTGTTCTATACAATGATAACAGTTCTAAGAACATATTGGAGTGCAGGAAGTTATTTTGGAACATATGTCAGTTTCAGAGCTAATACTTTAAATGTCATGAAAAATTGAAAATACACCTAAGTTATTATTTATTCTACTGTAGAAGAAAAAATGACCATTGTTAGTAACATTCAATAGTAATAAGGTATCTTGGGAGATTGGGATACTTGGGTAACCATAATATGATTTCTATAAAACTTTTATTCTAATATCTTTGGGATTCTTCTAACGCTAGAAAAACTTTGGGAGCAAACCTAGTAGAACAGCAAGCAAACTCCTTATTCTATTATTCCCAACTAAAATATTAATGAGAGTATAAACTGGATCTCACACCTGCCTGGACACTAACTACATCTGTGACCTTAGGGTATCATTTGTCTTACAAAAGCCTTAATTTTCCCATTTAAAAAATGAAAGAGTGGAACTAAATACTAAAAAATAAGTATTTGAGTACTTCCGGTGGTTGCCTTATATTGCATTATTTAATCATCATAACTTTGTAAATACTTTATATATATTAATTTATTTAATCTTTTTACAACCCTGTGAGATTGACACTAATATCCCAGCTTTACAGGTCAGGCGGCTGAGGTAGGGAAAGGCTGAGTAATTTGAAAACTCTGTAGAAAGCATAGGAAACAAGCCAGTAGTAGCTCACTCTCCTCTGATGAGTGAACAGCCTCAAATCAAGCAGTGATTTATTTATTTACAAGCAGTGTCAAATCAAATGCAGAATTGGAATCAAATGCAGAATTGGAAAGAAAAACTGTGGTATATCTTTTTTTATAAAAGCAAAGGCTTATGGTAGAAAACAGGGCTTATTTTCTTATTGTTCACTCCTATCTTGCTCTTAGACAGGTCATTAAGTTTACCGGATTTTTTCTCATTTTTAAAATGAGGGAGATGGTTTGCAAGGGTGTCCAACCTTTTGGCATCTCTGGGGCACACTGGAAGAAGAGGAGTTGTCTTGGGCCACACATTAAGTACGTTGCGACATTTAATCACATACAACAAAACCGCCTAATGTTTTAAGCAAATTTACAATATTGTGTTGGGCTGCATTCATAGCCATCCTGGGCTGCATGCAGCCCTTCGGCCATGGGTTAGACCCCCCTGCGTGACTATGAGAATCTCTTATTTATCTAAATGTCTGCATTACTGGACATAAACTATTTAAGATTTCTAGTATATATTTTAAATGGTTTTTTTGGTGCTTTGCGTTGTGCTTTTCAGTTTATTCATGCAGACCAGTCTTATATAATTAACCCAATACTTCTATAGACACATTATATAAAATAAAATGCAGTACATTAAAGACTTTATTTAGTACGGCTCATATGGCGCTCCTGTTGAATTTCTTGAATTATCTTACCTGTAAGCAGATTAAAGGCATGAGCCCAGCTCAGTTACTTTGCAGCTGCTTTCATAGATACTCTCTAACTCCTGATATTTATGCACATGTATTTTATCGTAGAACCACAATTCATTGAAGACCATGGTTGTTCCTCTCCATACTATATCAATGCTTTTAGTTTATTACATAAGAATTCTCTCTAGGGTCATGAATTGAATTCTCAAGGAAATGACAGCATTATTCATGACAGCTATGTAGAATGCAGATTACCATGCACAGAGTTTTACAGAGTGGGGTAGTATGGCAGATGTATGATGGAAGATCACCCGAGGGGCTCCTAGAGGATGGGCTAAAACGAGGCTCTCAGACGGATGAGTAAAAGCAATCT